GACTTCATCGTCGAGTTCTCTGCGTCCGAGCCCCCACCAACGTCACAGGCTCTAAGAGAGGACGTTTGGGATCTTCATGTTGATGGATCCTCGAACGCAAGGTGGTAGGGATAGGTATTGTGCTAGCCAACTTAGAAGGATTCATTATAGAAAGGGCAATTAGATTAAAATTTAAGGCGTCTAGTAATGAAGTCGAGTATGAGGCGTTGCTAGCAGGACTGGATTCTGTATGCTTGATCGGAGTCAGACACCTTCAGGTATTTTGTGATTCCCAACTAGTTGTGAACCAGGTAAATAGGGATTTCGAGGTCCGGGATAGCATAATAAAGGCGTATCACGAGAAGGCAAAATCCAGGATAGAAAAGTTAGAAAAAGTGGAAGTTTCCCAAATTCTTAGGGATCATAATACCCACGTCGACGCACTAGCCTATTTGGCGTTCGCATTGGCCTCGGAGGTAACTCGGCGCATACTGGTTGAGAACCAAAAAATTCCAAGCATAGACAAAACAAAGGCCGAACAAGTGTTGCCAACCCTAATGCAAACACCGTCGGGATGGAAGAAGGCTATCATTGCATATTTGACGAAAAGAGTGCTTCCCGAAGATATCAGAAAGGCCAGAAAGATTAAGCTCAAAGCTCCTAGATTCTAGATGTCAGATGATCAGGAATTATACCAAAAATTATTCTCGGGACCACTGTTGCTTTGTGTCCCCGAGGATAAAGTGGAACCCCTGTTGTATGAAATCCATGAAGGGGTGTATAGAAGCCACACGGACGGGAGGTCTCTTGCGCACCGAGCAATGACGCAAGGATACTGGTGGCCATACATGCAAAAAGATGTGAAGAGTTATGTTCGAAAGTGTGACAAATGTCAAAAGTTCGCCTCCAGTATCCGGCAATCTGGTGGAGATTTGAACTTGCTGACAAGCCCTTGGCCGTTCTCACAGTGGGGGATGGATATTGTCGGACCTCTCTCGAGATCTCCACTAGGCAAGAAATTCTTGTTGGTAGCAACTGACTACTTCACCAAATGGATTGAAGCCGAGCCCTTAAGTCGTATTCGGGATGTGGAGACGAAAAAGTTCGTATGACAGAACATCGTCACCAGATTTGGAATCCCCAGGGCTATCATTTCTGATAATGGAACCCAATTCAACAGTGACCCATTTAGAGAATTCTGTTCAGGGTTCAAAATATATAATTACTATTTCACGCCAGCCTATCCCCAATGTAATGGACAAGCGGAGGTTTCCAACAAAACCGTGCTGGTAGGAATCAAAAAGAGGCTTGAGGCAGCAAAAGGAAGGTGGACCGAGGAATTACTTAACGTATTATGGGCATACAGGACCACACTGAGGACATCAATAGGAGAAACCCCTTATGCCTTGATATATGAGGTCGAGGTTGTCATCCCCTTGGAGGTGGGAGTCCCAACAATATGAAGCCAAGCCTTCGCATTGGGAAACAATGACCAAATGCTCGCTAAAGATCTCGATTTAGCCGAAAAAAGGAGGTCATCGGCATCCATCAGACTGGCAAGGTACCCAAGGGAATTGTCACGGCAGCACCGGAAGAAGATCCGAACGAGAGATTTCCAAGTCAGAGATTTGGTACTACGAAAAGTGGTGGGCAATACTCGCGACCCTACTGACGGGAAATTGGGACTCAATTGAGAGGGCCCTTATAAGGTGGTCTTTGTGGGGGGCACAGACGCATATCGATTGCAAAGTATGAACGGTGATGATGTAATCCGGCCATGAAATGTATCGAATTTAAAGAAATACTATTACTGAATCAGAGTTGCCTTTATGGTTATATTAACATGAACCACGCGCTCGGTTGTTAGGGGTACGGCCCTGAGGGATGTAAGACTCCACCTTTGGAGCAATGCCTTCAAATTATTAACACGATCCTCGCGCTTGGTCATTAGGGGTACGGCCTGAAGCATGTAAGACTCCATCTTTGGAGCAATGCCTTCAAATTATTAACACGAGTCAAGCACTCGATCGTTAGGGGTACGACCCCGAGGGATTTAAGAATCCACCTTTAGAACAATGCCTTTCAAATTATTAACGAGCCTCGCGCTTGATCGTTAGGGGTACGACCCCGAGGGATGTAAGACTCTACCTTTGGAGCAATGCCTTCAAATTATTAACAAGTCACGCCCTTGGTCGTGGGGGTACGACCCCGGGGGATGTGTATACTTGGTCCCGAGGGGTTCAAAGACCCAGGAACAAGTTCAACGCGTTTACTAGGAATTTCTCTGTGGGGTTTTCCTCGTCTTATGGGTAGCCCTAGCCCTAACGGATGTCTCCCCCTAGTTCTACTAGTTCTGGCCATTGGTGGGCGCCAAAAGGAAGAAATGTAGAGGAAATAAAGAAAGAAAAAGCTCAAGTGAAAGTACTTACAGGAGGGTGGTCTTCAAAAAGGAAGCTTGGAGGACGAAGGAAACTCGGAGGAGAACAAAGGAGCGCTCGGGGTCTGATTGCCAAAGAGAGGCTGAGGATGCAAAAGTTCTGAAGCATGAATACTTGCTATTTATACTACCTTACAGGGAGCGAGAATCAAAAAGTTGGGTCATCATTAGGGTATTTGAAAAGGGAGGCGCCAAACGTGCAAGTAACCGTCGCTATTAATAAGGCGTGATGATTGAGCCTCCAATCTCTTTACGCCACTTGTCTTATACTACAAAAAAAATTGCGGATGGGGGGGGCAGTTGGCGAGACTCTAGGTGGCTCTACAGCCCCCAGGATGACACGTAGAGTAATGAAGTCGTTGAGACGTCCAAAAGACGCCGAAGAGGTAAGTCAAGGTATGGTGACCTAGAGCAACCGAGTACGACTGTTGACATCGTATTTAATACTATGTGACCCCTCATTTATGGCGGAGTGAGTGATAGTGACAAGACAAATAAATGTGTGCCTGCAAGCACCTGCACTCTGAAAGTCTAGGCCTATTATCATGATGGCTAAGCATTTATGACTGATGCGCCGAGACAATGCGATCGTTCCCCGGAGAACTGTTTTCCCGAGTATTCAATGCTCAGTTGATGTTAGATGCCGATCTGAGGGATTTGGGTACTCAGGAAAAGCCATAAATGCTCGGCATTAGTCGAGCGCTCATCCCATCGTCTTAGCATTTAATAGGAGGAGACGTGAGTAAAAAACACTCATTGCACGAGGAATGATGTGGCAGATGTCAGACGTTTAGATGAGACCGGAGACCTTTGGCAATCATTGTTAATTCAGGTATAAATACTCCTCACAAAAATGGACAAAGGTACGCAAATTTGAACCAGAAAAAGATTGTTCATTGAGCTAAACTCTTCGACCTTAGACTAACTTAAGCTTCGAATGGGATAAGTCAGGTGTTCACCTGACCTCCCTTTTTCTGACCCTGTTGTTTCAGGTTCGCCAGCTTGGAGATTGTTGTCTCAAACTATTACAGAAATTATCCTGTATAGATGCCAATCCACAAAATAAAGAAAGAAAGACAAGACAACTCCAACTATACCTCTGCTTTAATTTTACTTTCATTTTGGGGCACAAAATCATCTACTAACTTTATTTTATGACAAATTGTATGCATTTTAGACTTATTTTATATTTTTTAGCTAAATTATTATGTCGTATAATTATTATATATTTTTTATTTTTTTATTATATGACTAGTTCGACCAGTTGACCCAATAGTTGAACCAGTAAACTATTGACTCGGTCCCCTTGCTGGTTTGATGATCGGTCCAGTTCTGATAATATTGGTGTAGAGTGCTTAGATGTGACAGATATGTGAGAGATATTCCCTTTCTGTAGGTGGGGCTCATAATTCATTAGCCATTCTTGTAACATATTGAGACGTCATTTTTGTAACAGGTGAGATAGTTCCATAGAGATAGTGTCATTCTCGTATCAGGTGATACAGTTCTGTGGAGATGGTAACATGCACCTTCAAAAGAGATCTCCTCGTATATTAGTTGTGAATTGAATCTTTCACCATAACACTGCTAACCTAATTTTTTCAAGCTGACACAATTGACCTGACTTAATTTTTTTCATTATGTGGTGGACTTGACATGTATGTTTGAAGTGACTTTAGTCTGTATTTTTAAGCTAAACTTTTGAACTGTACCTGATTTATAATTATGGGCTTGGTATGAGTCGGGCCTATCATAATCGATCCTTACATATATTCTTTGTTCCTGTATCAGGCTCAACACCACGAAGCTGCAAAGATGAGGACTTTTCAAACAACTTGTTAGACAAAAAAAAAAAAAAAATTGTTTGTGTGTGTATGTCCTTTTTTATTTGTCCCTCAAATTTGAAGAGTAACTGTTGGACTAATAATCACCGCAATCATATTAAGTCGTGGATTCGATCATCACCGCCCACGTCCTCATCCCTTGTAACTATTAAAAATAGTGGGAAAAAAAAAAATCTCTATCAAAGTGAAGACCAACCCAATGGTCTTTATCTTTTCTATTGTCTTTTTACTCGTCAAGCAAGACTCAGTCTTGCAGCTCAGCCTCTGCTCTCAAACAAATGGAAGTTAGAGTACGCAGCAAACAAAGTCTGATTGTGATGGGATCGAATAAAGCCATTCCATTAAGCCTGTTAATCAAATACAACTTTGGTTAAATCTAATTAGATCATACTTTACTACGAATTATAGAATTTTTACTTTGATAATGATTCGATTCAAAATATAAATAGATTAAAAGTTCATTTTACATAATTTGAAAATATTAAACTATTATTTAGATGCAATTTTTTAAATATTAATTTGGTTTAGGTATTGCGTTAGATCACATTTAACTTCAACTTTCGAGAAAGTGGCTAAATTAAAATAAATTAGTATAATAAAAGATTTTTTTTTTTTAATTAATCTACCAATCAATCAAGGGGTAAAATTGTAATAAAGCCCCCCCGAAATGGTCAACGAGAAAAGCTGAAATGCCGGGCCCCCAGTAATTAGGATAGTTCTGAAATAAACCTCAAATCATTCCGTTATTTACAAAGATAACAACAATTTGCATTTTTCCCAAATCACCCCTACTCTGGTATTGCACTCAACAAAGCCTCAAAAACCCGTCTCCTTCCACCACGGCCACCACCACAGGCATCGGCCACTTGTCTCGGCTGCCTAACAGCCCTCTCGCCGGAAACCAACACAGTAGACAACCTTTTCCGGTGACACCCACATGTCTCACCGCCACTCTTTGTCAATGCAGAGCTCGCTTTCACGGCCAATGCCGCCATTTCCTCCGCCTGTAGTGGGTGTTTCAACCGACTCAAAGGCAAAGCAAAGTAAAGCTGACCCGGTTGGAGCTCCTCGTCATCGCTAATGGCTGAGACGACGTCGTCAAATTCCATTTCGTCCGAGTTACAAATGAAACTGGCTGGGTTCTTTTGTAACACATACGAGACTTTAACTGGGTATGAAAATTCTTGTAGTCTCCCATCTTCTAATATCAGCTTAGCCGTTGCCACCGATGTAGCCTCGCAAGAGCTGCATAAACCCATCTCTATTCAGTCGATACAATTCGAACTCTCCGGGTTGACTCAGTAAAAAAGATGGAGAAGCCACCCAGATATATGTGTTTGAGAGAGAGAGAGAGCAAGAGAAAAGAGGTATCGTGTATGTCAGGATGGAGAGACCGAGCGAGAGGGACGAGAGTAGTGGATTTATAAAGGGAGATTTACTCTGGTTGTAGGCTTTTCAATTGTAGGGCCCACTTATGTAATGATATTTGAAAAAATTTAACTTGAATGAATTTATTAAATATAACTTAATTGATCAAGTTTTATGATAAGGTCCATTAATTTTCTTAGGAGGTTGAATTATAAAGCCAGCAGAATTCATTTTATGATTAGGGCATTACTGAGTTTGATATATTTTTATGGGGCAGCGTGCAGGGATTGCCAACCTGTAAGTTTGTTTGTGACAGGTTGTCTAATAACGTACTATAGTACTGTGTCTTTGAACAGTTGCACACGTGTTATGATTAAATTCCGGATATAGGGACTGAGCTTGGACTTCCTGATAATATTCGTCGTTGCCGAGAAAGAAAGAAAATTGTTATTTGTCTGAAATTGGTTGATTTTATTTTATTTTATTTTTTCAGGGTTATAGCTGCAGGTGAAATACCTCGGGGACTTACCCCATCTCCTATAAATTTTTATTGCCACTCAATTTTTTATTTTAGAGGATCAATTATTAAAATTTTATCTGATTTTTTATATAATTTTTTAAAATAAAGAGTCTAATTTACAGAGTTAAAATATCTATAACCGTGCATCTTTATTAAAAGAAATTTTAATAGAGTAACGAGTGAGTATAACTTTCCAAATGTTGAGTGTTTATTAGAAAAGAAATTTTAATAGTTGACTCCTTATAATAGAGAAATTGATTGGGAATAAAAGCTTTATTGGAGATGCTCTCAAATTCATTCTCTACTCTATTTTTTGGAACAAAAAAATGGTATATTTATCTTTTCATTTAAGATATTGAGGATAAAACATATCTCAATTTAAAAAAAAAAGAGGAAGTGGTATACAAAATTTTACTATATATTTTAATTTTTTGTCAAAAATGCTTTTTGTTTTTAAAAGAAAAAATTTCAGCCATATATTTTCTAATTTATTATATTTTCAAGGACACCAATTCTATTTTTTGAATCTTCACTGATACTCCCAGTCAGATTACAAACTAATAAACTATTTAAAAAAACTAGCAATACATAAATTTAAATAATAAATTAAGTGCCGAATAATTGATTGTATTTTAATTATTAATTTATTTTATAAGTTTTTGAGTACTTAATTTGTTATTTATTTACTTATGTATATTTTCAACCCCTGCTTGGCCCGCAAATTTTTTTTCGGGTTAGGCCTGAGTAAGGGAGGCCTAAGTCCTTACTCAGGTGAGTTATCGAGCAGGCCGGATCAAATTTTGAGTAGGGAGTAGGCTACCTGCAACCCAACTAATCACTCACTAGGTAGGCTTGTTAGCGCGGGCCTATGGGCTTGTTGGGTGGGCCTGCAGCCAGCCTATTGGACTAGCTTTTTATATACAATTTCTTTTAGAAATAATGAATATTTTTGTAACTTAATATTTTTATAAATTATATTTTTGAATTAAAAATATACTCAAAATGTCCAAAAAATAAATAATTAATAATTTTATTTATAAATAGGGGAAAAACTGTATCACAATAGAATGGATAAATCCCAATTAGGTTGACACCTATCCACCTATTAATCTTTTTAAAATTTCAAATTTAACATGTTTAACTTTTTTTCAAAAAAAGGTGGGCGGGCTCTTAGACTGGGTTTTAACGGAACCTGTGGACAATCCAGCTCATGGACACCGCTATTTGCACATCTAATTATATTATAGAATTATTAATTTTATTTTGTTCAATAGATTGATTAGATTGTTCATAATATTATTATATATGAAAAAATAAAATATAACATAAATTTGACCGTAAAATTCAATCTGGTAACTACATGTGTATAATAATTTAACATAAGTAATATTTTATTTTTTCATATAGATATAAAAAATTATATATAATTGTACTACTAATAAATGACTTTAAAAGCATATAATTGGATATAATTAAATTTATTATAATAATCATGAATAAAATAATAAATCAAATTTTTTTTATAGATGTTAACATTTATAAATAGTATAAATATAAATATAAATATAGATATAGATATTATGATTTTTTTTCAACTTCGAGTTGGGATTCCCACATGTAATGTACCAACAAATATTATTCAATCTATGTTTTCAAGATTAGAGTTGTTGCATATGGGCTTTCAAAGTCAACTTTGAAATGAATAACGACTAGCTAGATGTGCAAGTTGTATTACTGAGAAATCGATATTCTATCAATTGAAAGCTCTATAGGCAAACGACACAAATTTAGCAAACCATGCAAGATACATAGACAGTAAAAGAGTAGGAAATTTCAAAAGGGTATAAATAAAAATCATTTATTTGAAAATAAATTAATACTGCAAGGGGTCAAAAAAGAAGTACCTAAAATTTTGATTTCTAACTCTCTAACTATAAACATACAGTCACATAGACTAATGGATAAACACAATATAAACATAAATATCAAAGGTTAGTAGACGAGTAATTCTACTTACGCTTAATTTGTCAACTTTAATCAATCCACTAATTCAATTGACGTGACGAATTAGATCAACAAATTAAGTCTAACTAATATTATTATTAAAAGAAAGGAGCTCTTTGGGGTATTCCTTTTCTAAGCCTACGCCTGCGCCTGGGGGGAAGATCTGTGGAAGGGTCTACCGCTGCTGCAATCCTCTTCTCACCTCTAATCTGCTGCGAGGCCAAACCATTCCCTTTAATCTGCAAGGCCAAACCAATTCGAGTGAGTTTTGAAATCCTAATTAAAATTCAAAAAATAATAAGACCCAAAAGTAGGCGTATTAATCGAGCCAAGTTTTTTGAGCTTTAACTCTAGTCTGGCGAACTTGTTTTTTAAAATAAGTTAAAAAAATTATTCAAATTCGACTTGTTTAAAACTTAAACCAAGTCTTTTAGACTCGTTTTTCTAAACGTGTATAACAAATTATTCAAACTCAGTTCGTTTAAAAACAAGTTGAGTCTTATCCAAATCGAACTGGAATAACTCGTCTCGATTAACATCCCTACCCACATAGACAAAAGATAAAGAAGTCTTACTTTGCAGCTAATGGAACAAAACCTAATCTTATCTTCATTCTTTAATACCCGTTGACATGTCTCACATAAGTTAGTGCGACCATTACTCTCTTTCTCCTTCTCAATCCTTGGTCTTAGATTGAGATACACAACTTCATGGTTGTTGATCGAAAAAGTTTGAATGTCTGAAATATCCAACCATTCTTTTGCATCCTTAGCTTCTACTGTAGGATACCAAGAAGCTCTATATAGCTTCAAAAACATGAAGGAAAATAAAAAAAACGTGTAAGACCCTCAACAAAGAACAAGAAGAAAACAAAGAACGATAATAATACTAACAATAAGGACGACAAGAACAACAATTATAAGTGTTTATTTTTCAAGAAAAAATCATACGTGCAGAGTTTGGTGACTATCTTGAGATTTAGTGTGTTTCTCACACTTTTCACAGAAAGCTTCCTTGCAATCGTAACAAAAATAGTTCTCTAATTTGTAATGGTTGACACAACGGCCATAGAATTTGGTTTCCAACAGTGGCAATAACCATGGTGGATATTCTGCTTCTTTGATTTCCATGGGATGTGATTTTTTTCCCTGAATAAGAAAATATCAAAAAAAAGAAAACAAGAACCTTTCTCCAAGATAACCAAGCAAGCAAACTATTTTCTTTCACATTGTTATTTCTTTCCATGGGGCCATTGGTATATATAGTTAAGGGTTTAATCCTTATTTAAGTATGACAAGGATGACTTTTATCTCTGTAAACAAGGGTTAGACTTGGAATAAATAGGTCGTCTTGTCTGAGTAAAACAATAATTGGGCAAATTTAAGTTTACTAGACCTCTATCTTCTTTAAAACATACTTGTTATGGTTGGAATAGAAAACCTTTATTTTTATTTTTTTTTTATTTTCATTTTTTGTCAAGTTGGTTGCAATGGTTATGATACTAGCTAGCCCATCAACAATGTTGCACATGAACAAGTCAAAACAAGAGTGTCACAAAATCTATGATTTGGGCCCTACTTAAATTTTTTTTTTATAATTATAGGGGTATATTAATAGCCTAAATAAATATTTTAAATTAATAAAAAATAATCTGATTAATTTAGAACAGAACGTACAATTCTTGAATACTTGGAATTATATGAGCGAAAATTACTTTCTTATCATTCAATAAACATCTTGTATTTCATAAAAATTGGGGGCAATATAATCCATATGTAAGGGTCATCCTATCGAACTTTCAGGCATTTAGATTTAAATTCAAAAAAAGGATTTAATTTGAGTAAATTGGACCTAATTCAACCCATGAAATTTAAAGATCCTAAATTTCAATTTTAAAAAAAATCAAGTCTTTAATCTCTCAAAAAAAGTTTAGGAAAATACTATATAATTCAAAAGTTAAAATTCAAATACATATCATCTCTTAAATAAGTGTTAAATGAGTGAGTCTCACTAAAAAAATTAATGAGACTCACTGATCTAAAATATGAAATGCATTTAACTTGTAATTTTTTGAATTTTATTTGAATTTCATTTAGGTTTTGCAGCATTATTTAAAAATTTAAGTTCAAATTTATTATCATAATTTCTCTCTTTTACGATCAAGTTTATATATTGTAACAAAAACTTGAATATAAAAACTTTTATGTTTTAAAAAACTAAAAAATAACCCCCCCCCCCCCCCCCCCAATGCCTTCAAGAAGCATTTCATCGGGCATTGTAAATGTACATCAATCATCTCCAACATGTCTCTTCCATGAGTGTTCCACTATCAACTCATCAACCCCCCAGTCTTCCGCTCTCGGAGCTCCATCCATCTCGTAGTCTTCGTCGGCCATGGTTGCAGATATGGACACGTTCTCCCTCTTTCTCTCACTTCCTCTTCGTTGCTCACAAACCCCAACTAGAGCAAGCCTGAGGAAACCTTTATTGACAAGCCCGGCCCATACATAAACGTCACAAATTTTTGCCCCAATTAAAAAAGAAAGTCCCAAATTTATAGGTTAAAAAAGTTTTTGGAGTGTGAGTACATGTTTTTAGATTTATTTAAGAGAAAATGTATGGATAAATATTTTACTCAATTAAATTTAATTTTAATAAAATATGTTATGAATAGATAAAAAATTCAAATGACATTTAAATTTATTTACTTACCATTCTTTAAATTATGTATAATTTTTATTATTTGACTCTCTATATCTCTTATTTTCTCTCTTTATCTTTTATTGATAACTTTTTTTGCAAATATGTAAGATTTGATTTGATTTTTTTATCTCTATCCCATATTTTCTCTCTCTCACTATTACTCTTTCTCCTTATTTTCTCTTACTGTTACTCTTTTTCCTTATTTTCTTTCACTTTCTATTTATATCAACATTACAACAACACAATTACACTAATTAGTTACAATTGTCCTATAATATACCAAATAGTTACTCATTTGTTATAATAAACCAACCACTGACACCAACCGATTATATAAAATTTTGACACCAACTCAATTTATTATTCAGTTGCTTATATAATCACAGAGTTTGCATCATTTAGTATCACAACATGGTTAATTCAATTATACATCAAATTTGGTATAATTGTAAACTCCTTTGTGTAATAATAAACCCAATTTAATGTATATAATTGGTATAACCATGTAATTATATTAAATGATTCAACCTTTTAATTTATGTAAACAGCTGAATGACAATTGAGTTACTGTTGTAATTTCGTGTAATTGTCTAGTATAACAGTTTGGTTTATTAGAACAAATGAGTGTCTGTTCAGTATATTATAGGATAATTGTAACTAATTGGTATAACTGATTGATATAATTGTGTTGTTATAATTTTGATATAAAGATAAAGAGAATAAGGAGAGCAAGAATAATAGTGAGAGAAAATAGGGTGAAACAGAAAGAAAAAAAAATAGGGGAGAAAGATAAAAAAAAATAAATTATCAATATGTGTGTGTGTGTGTGAAAGAGAGAGAGAGAGAGAGAAAATAAAGAAGAGGAGTAATGTAGTAATAAATGACCTTTTAATCTTTTTTTTTTAAAAAATGTACTTAGGGTCAAATAAATTTTGTTAATGTAGTTTAGTTCAATTAAGTCTAATTTTTTGCACTAACTTCCAAATTTCCCTTTATAAAATAATTCATATTAAAAATTTAAAACCCATAAAAATTGATTCCAACAAAAAACTCAATTAAAATTTTAAAAAACAAAAAATTCTTAGTTAAATGATTTAGGCTAAAAAATTCAGCCCCATGCCACATAAAATTAAATTTGGCAAAAAACTAAAAAAGATTGAAAATGTGTAAAAAAATAATGTACATTAAATATCACTAGTCATTCACTCACTCACACACATTCTTCATCTAGCTATTCTTTTGTCCTTATCTAAAATTAAAACATAAACCTAATTGTTCATTTTCATTCCCTCCACCTTTTAATCCCACTCTATGCTTTTTTTTCATCTATTACGAATGCAGTATTTTTATAAATAACTAAAGATAGAAAACATTAATTTAATAATTCTCTTTATTTTTTTTCCTAATAGGCAATATTATGAGAGAATCCTTGTATCATATCTTAATTTCGTGGACCACAATAATAAATTAAGACTTATCGCTTTATAATTTTAAGATTTTTTTAGTTTCAAGATAGTAATACTTTTTTTATTATGAAACTGTTTTGTTGATTTATAAATATAACAATAAAGTCAATAGTATTGATTAGGATTGATTTTGTACCACGAAGGACGAGAGGGCGATTTGTAACATAGACGCGGTCACGCGGTGTTGTTGAATACTATAGTATTGGACAAGGGACACAATACAAATTTGATATTAAGTGGCCACCAGAGTAATTTAGTCCAAACCCACCCCCTAAAACCCGGAACCAAACATGACCCACGTACATTACTCTTGCTCTTTCTGACTACATGTAACTTGGATTAGTTTCCTCGTTTGCTTCTCATCTCCCTATATCTTTGTGCTACACAACATATATTGTTGAATAATATACCGAGTAAATTACAATGAGGCAATGTCTATCAGTACTATTGACTTTATATTGTTGCCCTCTTTTATAGTCAAATTGCATGGTATCATTCAGGATTACCTGTACATTTGAACACTATTGCTGTAGAAGTATCAAATTCAGAGATAACAAAATTTCTCAAAGTAAACCATTGATTGAACATATATATAGCCTATAGAGATGGGAGAAGCCAAAGATTGAAGATAGAAGAGGCTAATGACAGAAACCAAGATAAGAAGGCCATAGCAGCAGAGAGTTGATATCTGCTGCATAATTTTCCAACGCAGAATGGACCACTTGAAGTGATCAATAGATCTGCCACACTAGCCGTCGAGCAGGCTGCAGCCAGTGTCAGAAATGAAAGAACCTGTGATGGAATGCGTTACATAACTTTTCGGTCAGTATTAAGCAAAAATATCACAAGGTTTTATATAAAGCGGAAATGAGAAGGAGAAAGTGGGAGTGGGGCACGTACCCAATCTCCTATAACAACGATTGACATTATTCCTGGTTGGGGAGATGGGCGTTTGACAAAGACAGAGAATGCATCCACCAGGGCCAATGTCAAACTCCATGGAATATCTAGACCCATTATAGTAACCAGGAAGCTGCAAAAATAATAAGAAAAATCGCCCATTGATCAGAGAACAGTGGAATAGAATCAAATTCCTGTTAACGGAGACAGAAACGCATGAAACTGTCGCACACTTAGAAAGAGCATATGAAACTTACAGGTTGCCATCAAGCAGAAAAACATTTTATATGGGAAGCTTATGATGGTCCAAGTTGGGTCTCTTTCCAGATCCCAATTTCTAGATATTCTTCACACTATGAGGAATATGATGCAGCTTCATTGTCACAACGAAGATCAGGTTTGCATGAAATGAAATATACTTCCCTAGATCCCAAACATTTGTCCATTTGGTTAAAGTCAGAAGTAAATTCCCCTTTTAAGGATTTTACAAATGCACTTCTGCTATCTCAAACACTGCAGTCAGTGTTTTAAAGTTCATTCAGCATACTTACAGACTGTGTTGTCATGAAGCAGAAGTCGATTTCATAATTCTAGTATCTACCAACAAGCACAATCAAATATGTTGTATTCATCCCCTTAAATCAGCTTAATTCTATTCTGCAAACTAGTGTACACGAGTTTCTTTTTCTCCAATCACACGGGGCAACAGGAATTGATCAAATTATCCAGTAACAATATGCAGAGATTTCCATGTTCATAAATACCAACTTGAATTCAATTTCATTATTATGAGAATATTATCACTCCATAGATGTCGCCGCCTAAGGATACTGCAAAAATTAGTCACCCGAAATCACACACGACTAACCTATTCTCTTAAATCTAACTACTACTGGTAATAAAATGATCTGGTCCAAGGGTCGATCATCGTACTACATGACAACTTCAATAGAAACTTCATGTGCAATAACTATAGAATAATGGGCAATCCGACAAGAGAAAACTATGAAAGTTTGCAGAGTAAATAATTATGAATATGAAATTAGAAAAACACTACTATGAACAGGAAGCATTTACCAATCAGTAACGTTAAACCAAAAGCAATTAAAGTGTACCATGCATAAAATGTAAGCATCCAAAATTAAGGGAGTGAAATTAAGAGAGACAAGTGACCAAAGAGCCTATCTGATCCTCTTAATAGTTTCTAATGCTTTTCATCAAAATCCTCCTCTTGTGATATAGGGCATTCATAGCAAATCTGACTTTCTCAAAATTGCCCTTAGGAAGAGGATACAACTTCCAAGAAGAAGGCATAAATATGACATAATAAATATAGTCATCATCAAAATTGACATCCTCAGCCTTGATAGCCAATTATGGTGCACACCCATGGTGCCATATTTTCACCTTGCCTCTGAAATTCTTAACGCATTGACCTTACCTCAACCTTGCCAATTAAACCAGTTTAAGGATAAAGGACAGTACTCAGCATAACTTCCCTGGAGGCACACTCTGCTTTGGTTGTGCAGTTAGATTTTCTAACAATGATACTAATACTAGGTATTTATTTTACATAATTAAAAAGCCTTACCTAGTTATCTCAAACATTCATCAGTTCATCAACCAAAAGCAACAGCATCATCACTTAATTTTGCCCAAAAAGTACAAAACCCACTCAAGTACTCTGCAAAAGGCAACCCACGATGAATATGGAGCATAAGAGCAATTTGCTCAAGGAAATTAACATCTTTGCCCTTGCCTTCCAACCAACAACTCTGACAAACCTGTCCACACCCACAACTGAATGGTAACAAGACCTTTCATTCCCTAATCCTTTTAGCACTTCAATGAAAACTATAATACCTGCTGAGATGAAGTCTGACAGCACATAACATAAAATTAAAAAGTTATGTTCTCTATTTTCTCCATATCTAAAAAATTGTGATTAGGAGTTGCTATTTTTGTAGTTGTGAAAACAAGAGCTAGTATATCAACAGGCCAAGCTATATCAATCTTTAGTGCCTTTCGTCGAGCTCACAGTCAAATCACTTAGTTTCTGCCTTACTATGGCTCCATCCATTGAAATTCCAAAAAGAGAAACTTGTGGTATTCTAATCCCTTATCCCCCAGAATTCATTCAGTGCCTTTTATTCTCTACGCAACTTTGTCATCTCAAACCTCCCCTCGAAAGTATCACTGTTGGGTAGTCAAAAGGCTTTTTTGCTCCATCCATCCGACAATCTATATATAAACTAGAGAGATTCTTCACTATATTTGACTCTTTCCATGAACAGTTCTTATGATGACATTTTCATTTGGTTCGTGATAACCACTACTTTAATGGATTTGTAGGTGGGCGAGGCAATAATTGATCACAGAATCTGCAATAAGCCCCCCCAATTACATAATCACGAGAGCTTTCTAGTTTAAAGTAACAGAATAAAATCAAATTACAGAGAACAGAACAAAATCCAATGAACAATCATAACTACAGAATTAGAGTAAAAACCATAAGCCGAGTCTCCAAAATTAACAAAAACAGAAGCAATTCAAAAATACCCAATCGAGAACTGATAAAGGGATAGTGATCGGAATTACCAAAAAGCGGTATAACTGTAGAATTCAACATCCAAACACATAAAGAGGAGTGAAGCAACAGAGAAGATAGCTTGTCCCAATCGCAGAGCCAAGCTGGCACTCGTCCCCAAAGCCCCTGGCAATTCATCCATCTACCTCGCATGCGATGCGAGACCCTTCTTATTTTGCTTTTCTATAATTCTCTCTCTACGCCTATGATCGCATGCACAACCCACCTCGCATAGTTTCGTCATCTCCATTCAATTCTCCGTATACGCCATGCCACGTTTCTCATCGGGGAAAATAATGGAAAAGAATCGAAGAAGAATTAGCTTGATTTTCGGGATTTGAAGAATGGATTAGAATTCAGTAACGCTCTATTATTATTTTGCCGAATGGCGAATAAAAATTGATTTTCTCGGGAAAATGGGAAAGAAACGGCGAGAGGTTACGGTGGAAATGAAGGAGGGTCGGAAAACTTTTCGGATGGCTTTTGTGTAGCCAAAGAGTTTTCCGTTAGTGACGGGAAAATGGAAATCCGAGGAATGGGAGGTCAACAAATTCACGCGCGCACATGTAGCCTAGTTTCCTTCCTTTTTTTGCCACGTCAACAGCATAGGGTCCCACTTAAATGAGAAAATATTACAGATAACGATGTAACTAATTAATAATTAAATTTTAAATAAATAAAGTGAATAGTTATTGACTTATATAAAAAAAAATTTATAATTATTGATTTAGACATATAATTATTAATTTATGTGAAATTTATTTTTTATTTATGTACATATTACTAATTAACGATATTACATAATAATATTAAAATAATATCACCATGAATATTTTTTCCTAAATGAAAGTGGCATACGAGATTCTGTCATACCATAGCCGTCCTCCTTCTATAAAAGAAAGTATTTGATAGCTGTACGATATTATCGTTTCTTAGTGTCAGCAACTAATAAAAACAAAATAAGTGAACAAACGAATGTCATACAATTTAATAGCCACTTAATCACATAATATAATAATTATTTTATATTTTGATTTTTTTTGTTGAATGTAATACTGAATATTCACTCCTATTTAAGGGTGTTTATGAGTTGAGCCGGATTAGGTCAGCAAAATTTTTTTCAGGCTGGATTTGGGTAGTTTAACCGACAAGTTTGTTAGGCAAGCCTGCTCACGGGTTTTTTATATAAAATTTTATTTAAAAATAATAAATTTGTTTGTAACTTAATATTTTTGTAAATTATATTTTTGAATCAAAAATATAATTAAAATAGATAAAAATAAAATAATCAATAATTTTATTTTTGATTAGGGGATGAACTACATCCAACAGAATGAATATCTCTCAACTAGGTTAACATCTACTCACTTATCTATCATTTGCATTACTCTACCTTTTAAAATTTGTATACTTAATACATATAAAAGAAAATAATACAGTATTTGTAGTATCTAATTTTTTAAAACTTTAAATTTAGATATTGAGAGACTTCTTTCAAAGTTTTAAACTTAATTTTCTAAAAGTATAACATTTTTTCAAATGAAGGGCGAACAAGTTCATGGGTCGAGTTTTTTTTGGGCAGATTACTGGGCCGGACTTTGGGCAGGATAATGAGTTTGGGGACAAACTCAAACTCTCTTTTTTAAAATATTAGACTCAAATTCGGGCAGACCGATTATCGAAACCATCGAGTTTTGGTCCTCTTTATTGGGCCGATTAGTAGGATCTACGGATAACTCGACTTATAGACACCCTACTTCTACTGGTAAAGGTTTTAAAAAGGTGAATATTCCAGTTACCTCCCCAAAGATTTATTAGAATTGAGTTCTTATGGGTAGTGTCATATCCCAAATAATGTATAACATTAATAGTTTTTGAATAGTTAGTAAGAATTTATAAAACCATTGTTCTTATGGTTTATAAAAATTAATTATTTTCATATAATACAATTACATGAATTTATCATATTTATATTTGTTTTATGTGTATGACATTAATCTAATTTATTTATCATCCATATCGATTAATTATTTTATTTTTAAATTTAAATAATATAAAAAAAATAAACATCTACGATCTTCAAGATCTTAATTAAAATACAGAGTTAAATAGCGCGTGACAACAATGAGATGTGAACGAGTGTGATTTGGTGTTACGAATACCTCCCGTTGGGAGTACTTTGATCCAAGAGAGAGGAAAAAGGTACATTTTAAATAAATTTATCGGTAATTTATAATTTATACCCTTGAAATATGCACGTAATTTTTGCTGTCCCTGAAATTTTAATTAATATAATTGCATCCTTAAAGTTTTAAACGAGTTTTAATTCAGTCTTTTCATTCAAATTTATTAATTTGTTTCAATAGAAAGACGCTACAAAACTTGTTCATAAGGGTATATTTGTCCAACAAAAACTATATCTCTCAAATACATCGATATTCTTTCTTTATTTTATAATATCTTTCAAATTCTCACACACTGTCTTTTTTTTTTCTCTCAAAATTAGATAAAATAAAATAAAATTTTCTAATCTATAAGTAACAAATTTTTCACTGGACAAATATAACCCTTTACCCAAATCATGTGTTAATCATAGAACACCATTCTGTCATAATAAATTTGTGAATTTTGATGTAAGGACTAAATTAAAACTCAAATGACTTGATTATTACAATTAAAACTTTAAGGACGAAATTGAAACTAGGTGTATATTTTAGGCATATAAATTGTAATTTACCCGAAATAAATACAACACAGAAATGGAGAAGAGAATCTAGTAAGATTCGGCATTCTGTGGTTGGGATATGTCTGAATTAATCATACTAATGTTCGGATTGAAATCTCTTTCAGCATTATTTTTTTAAAATTTTCTAATATTGTATTCTTGATTATTTAAATGAATAATGTGCCCAGTTTAAATTAATCATAAGTTATTAATTATGAGAAAATTTTAAAAAAAATGTATTAGAAAGTATGTCCCTTGTTATAAATCCTTTTTATTTTAGCCAGATCACACATCTCCTTAATAGATACTAATATTAATTGACTATTAAGTAGTCTACGCCATATTTTTTTTTATATAAAAACCCAAAATAATACGTACATGCTAAATGAATAGTGTGATTTTTCGAAGAATAGATTTTACGTTATAATCTTAAAGTTAATTCTTACCTCAATTTACCAAATGTATATGTTTTTAGATAATTATATGTACTAAAAACTTATATTTTGTTAAATAAATTTGAAAATATATACTCGAGATAATTTTACATTGTTAAAAGAATTGTCACGCAGTTGTATTTTTAATGAAAACTTGCATGGCATAAAGCATAACCAACCATTTTCACAATATATGATTTATTGAAGTGGTTCAATTCTTTATAGTTTTTTTACACTTTTTTATGATCATCTCTCCTCATCAATCAAATTCATTAAGGCATTGTGGAGCGTAATTGATAAGCAAACATTCAATTTAAATGTTATCTTTTCTCTTGCATATAACTTTTTTTTTTTTAAAATAAAAAAGGCAGACTGGTGTATGATTCTCATAGGGGGTGGGTCAAGGATCCGGTCAAGATGTTTGAATACCTTACATAGAAAAATAACAAAAAATTAGAAAATTAGAAAAATAAGAAGAAAAAGAGCGATGATATTAATATATATGATACTGAGTAGAAACCCTAAAAAGTGTTTTAATTGTTGAGTTTAATCTTTGATAAATTAAAAGTTTCAAGTTCAATTATTTTTCACACTCCTTAAAATTCAGTGATCTTTGTCCTTTAAGAATATACTCTAACTCAATTTAAATCACGATAACAACTATTGAACTCGAAAAAATTGTTGACATATGCCTGATCCGAGTAGAAAATGGCCATGGGATCAAATCAAGTGCAGTATTGGAAATTATGGTTTTGTAGGAGTTGGTTGCGACTCAACTGGAATAATGTTACGACTTAAGTGCATCGGTCATGTCTCACTCGGGTGAAGTTAGAACTCAAAAAAAATTATGACTGATAAAATGATCCCATTTTCTAGTGATCTCATTTAATTGAGTCCTAATATTCAAAAAAAAAAATCAATATCATAAATCTTTTTAATGGAGTCTTCGCCTTATCATAAAAGTTTAACAAGAAAAAGGGGTGTGTGTGTGTGAGTGTATAGGTCTTTCCGCTACTTCCACTTTTAAGTGGTTGTATCGGATTGGTTCTATTATCTGTTCAAAAAAAAAGTCAACCTAATTCAACACCCTTCTTGATCATCATTCCCATAATCTAATCAATATGAATATTATGAATCATTCGACCAGGAGTCCTCCTAAAAAATAAATAGAATTTTCATATATAATTACTAGTTATTGTCTGTACCTGAAGACACAGAGTAATAAAAAATAGTAAACAATATTCATATCTAAAATTAAATCACAAACATGAAAAAGAGATAAAAGAATATAAACATCGATTTTGTAGTGAGGGGTGAGAGATGGTGGACGACAGTGGTGCTAGTGGGAGAAAATGTTGGTTGTGGTGGGTGACAATGATCGTGGTGGAGGTGGTGGCAACGGCGACGGTGATGATGACAGTGGTGGTGGGGGGGTGGCGATGGTGGGTGTGGCGGTAATGGTGGCAGTGGTGAGGGGTTGTGTGGTGGGTGTGGCAGTGGTGGAGGCGATGCTGGTGGCGGTGGCAATGGCAATGGTGGTGGTGTTGGTGATGACGGCGATGGTGATGGTGGCGGTGGAGGGAGGCGGGAGTGGTGGCGACGACGAAGGCAGCGACGTTGGTGTTGGTGGTGGTAGAACAGTTTCAAACACTATTTTTAAAAAAAATATTTATGAGAAATAATTTTTAAAAGTACTTTTAAAAAATTACTTCAAACACACCTTTAGTGATCTATTTTTTCTTAAATTTAAGGTGCTAATATTAGCCGTTAGATTAACTTTAAAGTAAAATTTAAAGCGATCTCAACTGTAAATATCAAAAGTCATTTTATTTATTTTTTAAGATTTGAATTGTAAAATACTTTATTACATTGATGAGAGATTCTCATTTATACATCCAAAAAATTTAAGAATTTTTAATTTGCACTTACAAATATTAGATTTTTCGCATTGCACTCTCAATATAAAAATATTTTGCAATATGTCCCTCTTATTAACTTCCGTTGTTTTTTTTGTCAAAAACCACTCCATTGATATTAGCAAAATAAGTAACAAAAAATAATGAAACATGCCATATTGCAACACTTTTGGCTAGACATGCCAACGGATCAGGGTTGGATCAAATTCTGGCTAATTCAAATCCAATCCGAATGCAAGCCAAATAACTTAATTAACTAAATTTTAACAAATCATATCTAAATTTTAGCTAATTTTTTTTAAAAATAATCACTTAATTTCTTTAATATTTATATAGGAAATGTATAAATAAATTGGATCGAATATAGATATAGTCAAATCCAAATACGTGAAAAATATAAGATATTAAATTCGAATTTAGGTTCGGATTATCGGTAAAAAAAATATTAATCCATATCTGGGTAATCGGATTCGGATTTGAATCAGAATCTGAATTTGATTCATTGACATAACTACTCTAAATAAATTGAGGGTGCAATATAGAAAATCTAATATTTAAGAGTAAAAAGTAAACATTCTTAAATCATTGAGGGTACAAATTGTAATTCGTCCTATAAATATTTAAGCTTCTGGTTTCAGCAGGTCGTTGATGGGTCCATACCGTTAATATCGTTAAAAGGACACGACTGACACTGTTTCACCGCCTGAGAAATCATGGAGACATTGGGATTTTGATCTATGCCTTTTGGCTAATCGAGATTTCTTTTCTTTTTTCTTAGTTTTGTCAGCAAAGCAATAAAAACGAAGAGGGTTCACAAGCCACAAGCAGCTTCTTTCACTACCCAGATCACTAATCAACCAACTCTTTTCCTAAGAAGAAAACTGAAAGTATAGATGCTTTCAAAACTAACTACTAGCCTCCCACCTCATTTGAGTCTTAAGTTCCTGAAGGTATACTGTAGGTCTGGAGATTTGATGCGTGCTCGGCAATTGTTCGATAAAATTCCTGAACCAGATTTACCTACCTGGACAGTTTTAATATCTGCTTATTCCAAACAGGGATTCCCAAAGGAAGCAATAAAAATGTATGCTGAATTGCGAAACAGGAGTATCGTACCGGATACGTTGGTCTTGTTATCAGTTGCCAAGGCTTGTGCGATGTCAGCGGATATTGTAAAAGCCAAGGAGATCCATGAAAATGCTAATAAATTTGGGTTTCGCTCTGATCTGCTTCTAGGTAATGCAATGATTGATATGTATGGGAAATGCAGATACTTTGAAGGCGCAAGAAGAGTTTTTGATGATTTGAAGGTTAAAGATGTGATTTCTTGGACATCGATGTGTTCTTGTTATATAAATTGTGGGCTACCAAGAGAGGCCCTTCGAGCTTTGCATGAGATGGGGTTAAATGGGTTGACGCCTAATTCGGTCACATTGTCTACGATTCTTCCTGCCTGTTCGGATTTGAAGTATTTGAATTTGGGTAGGGAGGTTCATGGATTTGTTATTAGAAATGGAGTGGGAGATAATGTGTTCGTGAGTAGTGCGCTTGTGGACATGTATGCTAGTTGTTTAAGCATCAGGCAAGCTCAATTGGTGTTTGATAAGATGGCTCATCGGGACATCGTATCATGGAATGTGATCATAACAGCTTATTTCTCGAATGGAGAATGCGAGAAGGCTCTTAATCTATTCTGTCAGATGAGAGTTGAAGGGGTCAAATTGAATTATGCCTCCTGGAATGCTGTAATTGGTGGGTGCATGCAAAGTGGGCGGACCCAACAAGCGGTTGAGATACTTGGCCAAATGCAAGAATCGGGGTTGAAACCCAATCAGATCACTATCACTAGTATCTTACCTGCTTGCACGTATTTAGAAAGCTTGAGGGGAGGCAAGGAGATTCATGGGTATATCTTTAGGCATTGGATTTTGGAGGACATGACTGCCACAACTGCTTTAGTTTTCATGTATGCTAAATGTGGTGAGCTAGAACTCTCTCGCAGTGTTTTTAACATGATGCCCAGAAAGGATAAAGTTGCTTGGAACACCATGATCACTGCAAACTCGATGCATGGAAATGGAGAGGAAGCCTTGTTGCTCTTCAATAAAATGCTAAACTCGGGGGTCCAACCAAACTCTGTTACTTTTACAGGTGTTCTATGTGGTTGTAGCCATTCACGGCTGGTAGATGAGGGCCTCTCGATTTTCCATTCCATAAGTAGGGATCATGCCATTGAACCTGATGCGGAGCACTACTCCTGCATGGTTGATGTCTTGAGTCGTGGTGGTCGCCTAGAAGAAGCTTATCGTTTCATCCTCGAAATGCCCATAGAACCAAGTGCAGGTGCTTGGGGAGCCTTACTTGGTGCATGCAGAGTATATAAGAATGTAAACTTAGGTAGAATTGCCGCAAAACGGTTGTTTGAGATAGAACCACACAACCCTGGAAATTACATACTATTATCTAACATCTTCGTTGCTGCTAAACTATGGGGAGAAGCCTCAGAAACCAGAAAATTGATGAGAGAAAAAGGAATCAGGAAACTACCAGGTTGTAGTTGGGTTCAGCTGAGAAATAAAGTCCACACTTTTGTCGTCGGTGATAAGAGTAATGACCAGAGTGATGAGATCTACAGATTTCTGGATGATATGGGTGAAAAAATGAGGTTAGCGGGATATTTGCCTGACACGGACTATGTTCTGCAAGATTTACATCAAGAGGAAAAGGAGGATAGTTTGTGCAATCACAGTGAGAAGCTTGCTGTTGCTTTCGGGATACTTAATTTGAATGGGGAATCATCGTTGAAGGTGTTCAAGAACTTGAGAATATGTGGTGATTGTCATAATGCCATCAAGTACATGGCAAAGATTGTAGGTGTGCAGATTATTGTCAGAGATGCCTTAAGGTTTCACCATTTTAAAGATGGGTTTTGCTCTTGTAAAGATTTTTGGTGATCCTACATCCAGCTTCTGGGTGATATGCCACATGGAAAAATCAACTCAATGAATTGAGTGGTTCCATACCATCCATTGCATTTGCATGGGATTCATAATACACAGATGCTGGAACTTGAAACAAATGAGGCAGCTCTTTACAAGAAATCACTACATGTGACCGAGAGGTACCTTGTTGCCATCTCGAGTTGAAAATATGCATATTCCTGAGTGCTGTTCAGAAGGTGCATATAGAGATATATCCATTAAAGGGAGTAGAACTAATTTTGCCGAGAGAAGATTCATTCATAGAGGGAGAGAAATAATCCTTTGAAGCTGTGATGACTGTCTTCCTTCACAACACAGTGGCCGCTTCAATGCTTCCAAATATTTATAAGGGATTGCCGATTCCAATTGCAAGAAATTAGTGCATAGCATGTTGATTAATATAGGCCCAAGTACTTTTCATCGTACAGAGCAGAGTGGCTGTGAAAGGTAGACATGGAAATGTTTTTTCTTTCGTGTTTTTGTTTTATTTTTTCTAGTGGAAGAACATGACTCAATATTTGAATTGCAGATTAACATTCCCATCTGAAACTGACAGGGAGTTCCCTTGGCATGTTCCAAGAAACAAAGCCAGTGCCAAAGTTTATGACATGGTATCAGGATTGGAATTATGAATAATCCCCAAGCTTGCACTTATTATAAAATTCAACTTTTATGCATGAAGTGTATACAGACATGCAGCTGTTCAGTAGATATCTTTTGCAGAGAATTCAAAAATGATGATGCCCCAATTTTCAACTGTGGCATGGAGCCAAGACAGAGTAACTATGTGCAAGCAGTTTTGCCCACAACAGGAGTCCCGCCAATTACTGTAAGTTTCACCGCATGCTTGTCTATTACTTTTTAATATTGGTTTTATGTTTTCTAATCTTAAATTTTATTTCTTTGACGCCATAATTACTCAAGTTAGTTGTGCAACAGAATCACTCAGCTCATTCCACTTCCCAAGGAACTTCATCTGACCTGCCTAGGGAGATTTCATTAAACATGTACCTTAAGGAGGAGGTCCGTGCAATGCCTCAATTTTGGGAAGCTAAAACGTTTTAATGAGCAGTATATCAAACTACAATCGCATAGTGTATTGGGTTCAAACTTCTCTACATTTTATCATCATCTAAAATGATACTTGAAATTTGAAAGCATTATCATAAGATATAAGGATAATATACAAGCATGATAATAGGCTCGATTGGGCAGAGGAAAGTTCAGCGACATCTTCAACAAAATCCGAACCAAAAAGAGATTACATGTGCTAAAGCACTCTACTTCTCAAGTTGAGCATACCAGATTCCTTGGATTTTCACTTCCTTGGGAGCCTTTGATCCCAAGTCAGTATCAGATGGCTGAATGCTCTCAAAAACTCCAATTAGCTCCCCAGTCTCAGGCTTGGTTTTAGTAACACTCAACGTGATTTTTCCTGTTGAAGATGCAACATTTTTTATGTTCTCCTTTGCAAGCTCCTCCTCATCGCCTCTCCCTCCAGCTGGCAAAGCAACTGCATTGTCATAACCAGTAGATCCACCCCTTCCCTTTGGGTCTAGGAAGGATGAACCTCTGTATGACGGCACAAGAAAGTCGCCCCCAAAACTGTCCGGTTTGCCTAAGGCTACAAGCTGTTTGATGGTAAAGAGGAAGGGCACACGCTCACCACCAGGAAGCTGAACTGTAACAGCAGCATAATCAATCCCATCTTTCTCCTCAAACTTAACAGTGCCATCAGGAGATACTACAAATGGTCCCTCAATCTCATCGAGGGTATAAGTTAAGCGGGTCATGAGCTTGGTCTTTTGAAACTCGGGTGGGGCATTCTTGCTGACACCTTCAGCCTTAACAGTGAATGATGTGGGTTCCAAGCAGAACTTCTTGGCATTGTATGTGCCTGGTTTGAAGGCAAAGCTCTCAACTCCACCATCAATAGTTGGGCACTGGTTAGCTGTACCAGTTCCCTTTACTTCAAGGTATGTCTTACTCTGGATCTCATCGTATGTTAGACGCTTTGGAACCCCTTCAGCATTTGCTCCCTGTACAACCAGTGCAAATATTAGACTACCACCTACTGGCAATACGATATTGTCTACCATCTAGCACCCAGATCTAGGATGATATTCACGTATGAACAACATAGATTTGGCACTCAAGGAGTTGATAGCTTCATGACATAATAAACATTAAACACGACACAAATGTCCCTGTAGTACCAAATTTCTCTCATCCAGGGCCATGTTTTCTACTGAATCGTTAGAGAACATAGAGAATTTCAATGCTCAGCTCTTAATCCTACTTGGGCATCCTCCGGCCAATAAGAAATTTGTTTGAAAAGTTGTTATCACAAACCCTTCCAGTTTTATATTTGAATAGACTCGTAATACTTTCTTTCCTTGGTGCAAAAAGAAGGCACGTGCACACACATGGGAACCATACAACAACAACAATAATTACTTCTTGCGTGTAAACTCGAGAGGAGTCCATTGGTGAAGAAATGATGCATGATGAAAGAATCCCATCAATTGGTGAAGCAATGATGCATGATGAAAGAAACCCACCATGCCTACACATGAATCATAGTAATATATAATCATTCATAAAGCAAATCCTGAACTGAATCGTGTTTATAAAATAAAATTAAAGAAAAATTCTGATACAATGGCATGACTAAAACCCTCCTCAGGAAGATATCGTGTTTGATTCTTCAAATAGTATGTTCAAATTTGAACAATCTCACTATGCTGTCAAACTAACTTAGGTATGAAGTGTGTGACAATTTATACATTTCGCATTTATGAACAGTTAATGAGATAACATGAATCACTGCGACAGGTGAGTAAAGCGGTATACCGAGACGATGAGGGCCGAAGTCGCGAGCGCAAAGCCGGCAAGCTTGGCAGCATCGGCACACCTCTGAGCCAAGTCCTTAAGGTCGGTTTGTAGAGAACAAGTCAGCCTAGCGCCAGCAGGTTCTACAGCAAAGGCCTTGCAAACACTCTGAGAGGACCTGAGCTGCAGGCTGTTTCTAGAAGGAACTGCAACCTTGGTTGGTTGCATGAGAGTGGCCGCTGCTTGTAGTGAGGCTGCCATTGTTACCAATCTCTCCTCTCTCTCTCTCTCTCTCTCTCTCTGGTCCTCTGTTTAGGAAATAAAAGGGAAGTGATTCGTGTGGAGAGGAGGGTGGACAAATAATTTGGTGGCTATGGTGCGAGTAAGATAAGGGATAGGATAAGGTCTTCTTCCATTGGTTGATCTGATCTGAAGTCACTGGTTTCATTGTTGGCCATGTGGCATGTCTGTAACTAAGGATGAAGATACTCCCTCATGCTGGATAATGGTGGGGACCATCCCCAATTTTAATTCCAATTCCAATTTTTTAAGCAATAATTCATTTTTCATTTTTATTTTTTTCTATTTTCCTAATGAAATTCAAGCTTACTTCTTTCTTCTAATCATAATAGGTAGTTCTAGTATTAAAAAGCTTCTATTTGTTTAAAAATTTGCTTAAAAAAGCATTACCAAACAGTATCTAATCTACATTCCCTGTGCATCAAGTATCAAACCAATTAGCTTAGTGATGGGACTTTTCATTAAACGGGGGGTCACAGTCTTTGCCTCCAGTTAGCGTCGTCGGAGATAAGTGAATAAGGACAGGTGAAACCGATGGACCTCACTCACATATGAAAGGGTTTTTGAGGGGCAAATCTCGTGAAAGAGTGGCCCATTAGCCCATGCAGGCCCCAGAAAAATGTTTTTCTATTGTTGGTCCGATGGGGCTCAATAATGTTCCGTGCTGGTCTCTTTTTGGGGCATCTTTGGAACCTAGGTGAGCCCAGGTAGGCCCAACAATGTTAGAGTAAAATTCCTCAAATCTTGGGCCGTGCTGGTCTTTTTTTTGGGTCATCTTTGGAACATAGATGAGGCCCATGGAGGCCCAATAATGTTACATTAAAATTCTTCAGCGGTTGGTCTGTGCAGGTCTCAAACTTTACCTCATTGGAGCATTCCTTTGGGATGGCGATAATTTGGATTGAGAAGGACAATCACATTTTTTAATTTATTAATTATTATAATTAGTAAATCAATAATAAACATCTAGAATAAGCTCATTATTGATAATATCAAATTTATAAAAATAAAAATCTCAAACTCATCATCAATAGTGATAATTTCATATACAACTTAATTAGACGTTCTAAAAAAAATTCAAAATTAAGGACAAGCTCTCCTTAAAATCAAGTTATTTCATAAAATAAAATTCATTACTAAAAATAAAATCTTCCCTTTCCTTTCCTAATTTTCTAGAATTTAGATTTATTTAATTATATTCATCCAATTAATACTGCAACATTCAGCTCAAGTGAGTGTTAAGTTTGTAACTAGCTCACCACTCTCCTATGACTTACTTATTCAATATTTTTTTTAAAATGCTTTCATTTCCATTAACTTTTCATGATTATAGGGAAAATTTTAGATACATCACTTCTAATTTATCATATTTTCAAGGATAACTCCTCTATTTTCTAAATTTTTATTGATACCCTTGTCAGATTAAAAGTATTAATTAGAATACAATCTATATAATAAAATAACTTATAATTCAAATCTCAAAAGATAAACAAAATGACTTTTACTATTCGCTGTTGAGATCGTTTTAAATTTTACTTTAAAATTAATCTAACGACTAATATTAACACCTTAAATTTAATAAGAAAAATATGTTCCTAAGGGTGTGTTTGGAGTGATTTTTTAAAAGTACTTTTAGAAATTATATTCTCATAAATGCTTTTTAAAAAAATAGTGTTTCAAATCGCTCTATTACCACTACTACCGTCGTCGTCGCCGCCACCACCGCTACCCCTACCACCACTACCGCGGTCACCCCCATCCCCGCCATCGCCGCCATCGCTGCCGTTACCACTACCACCATAGTCGTTAATCTCGCTGCCATCACGGTCATTGTCACCCACCACAACCATCACTGTTTCCTACCAACCCCACTGTCGCTCACCACCTCTCACCCTCTACTATAAACTGATACTTAAATTCATTTAACTATTTTATATATTTGTAATTTAATTTTGGATATGAATACAAATATATTTATTGTTTACCATTTTTTATTACTTTGTGCCTTCACCCCTCTAAAAAGGCAAATCTTCAATGAGAACCCCCTCTATTTTTAATTTTTTTTTATATATTAAAATTCAGACCGATTAAAATTTGATTTGAATTAATTAAAATTTATTTTTTATGTATCAAAATTCGAGTTAATTAAAAATTATATTTTTTATGTATTAAAATTTGAGCCAATTAAAAATCAGCTCAAATTAAATTTTAATCAACTTGCATTGAATTTTAATCGGCCCAAATTTTGATACATAAAAAAATATAAATTTTAATCTAGTCAAATTTTAATTTATAAAAATTTTAATAAATAAAAAAATATAAATTTTACTTTACTTGAAACGAATTTTAATCGACACTAACAACTTAAGTAAAAATCAAATCGAGAAATAGAATTTAATGTAAAAAAATTGTTTAAAATTTATTTAGGAGTCTTTTTAGTATTTTAGATGAATTTTTTTTTTGTTAAAAATAATAATTTAATGACAGGAAGTGTTAGTGATTGTTAAATATAAACTAAAATTGGCATCAATAATTTTTTAATAATAAAGTGGATATCTTTGATGATATAGTAAACTGAAAGAGATTAGATTCAAATTTTACAAATTTTATGCATAACACCGGTGCAACCCAAGTACCAAGAGCATTTTAACTACTCAAAAAATAAAATTTTTTATTTTAGAAACTCACATTTTGACTCTAACAGATTTTTTATATTTTTAATTATTCTTTTTAAATATTATTCCTCATTCTTTTTAATATTTTTTGAAAATAATAAAAAGGAGAAAAAGAGAGAATGGAAAAAAAAAACGAGGAAGAGAAAATAATATAAAAAATTATAAAAAAATTTTACATACCACTACAATGATACTCTTAATACAGTGATACTTTATTTTAGATGTTTTGAAAATAATTCATTAGAAAGAAATTTTTGAGATAAATAACTAAAATTTAAAGATTTTCTGTTTTGAATTATCTGTTAGAGATGTTTTAAATAATGCTAAGAATTGAGATATTCATTGTTGACTAAAATTATAAATTTTCATATTTTGTACATGTCTTGATTGGCACTTTAAACTCTGAAAAATTATTTTTTTATATTTTACCCTAAATGTTATAATTAATTCTAATGTGACCCTCAATTAACATTTATTTTAAATTTAGTTAAAATTTAATGCAAATGCCACCGGCGTTGGACAAAAATATAAACTCAACATTCATGTTCTAGAGTGTAATGTGTATCAATTTTTAACAAAATTTGAAACAAATGTTAGCCCCAAAAATCAAGTAAAAAAAATAATCTTTTAAGGTGGGAATCGGGACGTGCAGAGTGCGAAAAATCCTTAAAAAATTACTATCATTAGGGTTGATCTATGCAGGCATATTCAAAAATGATTGCATCACATAACCAGATTTTCATCTTCTGTATGCATGGAAAATAGTTAAACAATAAACAACTGGTAAAAATATATTTTTTTTAAACAACTATTGCTATGATGATCAGGAAATTAGCATTTTTGGAAAAGGAAGAAGAAGGACAATGAAAGAGGGGTAGGGCGTTTCTCTCAGACAAATGCCTCGAATTGTCGTCAGGATTTTAAATTGAATGGATCGGACTCGTCATCGTATTGTTCATCACCGAGAAACCAAAACCCCACTTCTATAACTCAGGAAAGAAAGAACACTTCAAAACAAATAAAATCGCAGAAACAAACTCCATGAAAAGAACAGAACAGAACAGAACAGAAAAACCTATATATATCCAAGATGAAAAATAATAGTTCTGCACCATAAAAAATTGAGAAGAATAAAACATCTGAAACACCAATCAGAACAAACCCTAAACAGAAATGTATGAAGCTTGTGGAGGCGCAGAGAGAGCCACACACAAACACCAAAAGCTCTGTCGCAACGGGGTCTACTTATAGGCGCCAACTGAAACAGAACTACGTTAGGGTTTAGGTTAGGAATGAAATTACTAATATAACCCCGTATTATCAACTGCTTCGGGAATTCTGGATCAGGTCCACTCGGTCAAAAGTTGGGGACGAGCCCATACTCGAGTACACAAATCTATGATATCCCTCAATAAAACAATCATGTGTTATATTAATGACCCTAATGCTACAAATTTTAATTGTGGATGGCCTTTTAACAAATAGTTAATAGACAAACATCGAGTTACAAAAAGAGCGTAGAAGAATAATGACAAAATGAGTCACAAAAAGAATATAGGAAAGAAATCATGCACTTACGTTTGCAATTTTCAACTAATATTTTCACACAATTACAACTCCAAATCTCAGGTTGGTCAATGCGCATTGACATCGATTTCCTTACACCGTACATCGTTTGTATCAGTATTATTCTTCAAACAAGCTCTATATAAACATTATTGACTCAACAGGATACGATAGTATCCAACCAAAACTCTCTCTCTCCCCCCATTATTTATGCTTATTCCCACCATTAGTAATACAGCTTGTGTTGATCGGCAACCAATGCGTCTTCAAGTTTTGGTCTTATCTGCAACAAGGAACATTAACAATTACTAGGCAATACTTTTTTAGTTCATAACGGCCCGCGGCTCATGGGTTGACCCATTAGCTAGACAATTCATTGGGACACGTTTGAATGATCCACATGAGAGAGGTTTGGATTTATGATATGATTGAATTAGATTGGATTGAATTCCATATAAAAATCCTGCGGTCTATCGGATATTTTTTTAAGACTTCCTTCCAAACCAGTCCAAACTCAATAAACAAACCGGTCCTTGGTCTTTTAGCCTGACCCACCAAGGGCAGTCCAATAGTCCGACGTGGCAGGTTGGAATGCCCGTGGCTCGCCATATTCAAGAAAAGAAAAATGTCAATGTCCAAGAAAATTTGACATGGCCACATGGGCCAATCTCTAAAGGCCGGACTCATGAGCAGACATGGGGTGCAGATCTCTGGCTGGCCCAGCCTGGGCAAATTTGACATGGCAACATGGGCCAATCTGTAAAGGCCGGACTCATGAGCGGACATGGGCTACAGATTTGTGGCTGGCCCAGCCCGGGCCATTACCGACCCTTAATCATACAATTTTCATTCAAGATTAAGTTTCTAGTTCAAATTGATCATGAATGGAATCGGAACCAAAATGAAGCTATCATCCATATTCAATCCTCATTGCATCATTTAGGACAGTGCAAAGTTTGCAGAATTACCGTTGGTGGTTGAAGCCAAGGCTCCGGATGGTTGCTCGGTGGTTGCCTCCTCGGACGGTATGACAACCCCAGGCCAAGAGCGACACATGCAGTGCCTCCCTTTATCTATGGAGGCATAGAGGGTGGTCAGGTGATTACCACACCCACCCCATGAGTATTTCCCACACTGTTTACACTCAACTCTAAAGCACATCCTTACCGGAATTATTTCTTCCAAAGATTGATATAATTTTGTAGTGCCTTAGCTCACTTATCTACTTGCAGTTTTATAGCATCAAAGTCACTTTGATTGCATCGAGTTTGGGTACTATGTGACCTCTTTGTGCAAGAACTTAGTTATGAAGGTATCGCCTCACATAGTTATCCACCTACTATTCTCTTTTCACACTCATCAAAATTACTGTTTGGCCGCCCATGTCTCAGGCTGCCTAACAAGATGCAATTGGCATCTTCATCAGAGGAGGATTTTTCAATTTTTATACTTTTAAACCACTTTTTAATTAGTGTGTTTGTGCTTTTTCTTTGTCCACATTTAGTTCATTCGTATACAAGTGTAACCCTTAAGATAGTCCAATGGTCAAGTATGTCCTCTTACAAACAAGAAATTTCAGATTTCATACTTTCAACACCCTCATTGGGCCAACCACCCGTGTTCGTCGAGAGTTATGTCCTTAAACTAGCTCGACTTACGGTGGCTCATCAGAGTTCAAAGGAGTAGTTATCGCAAGCCTGAACACCCTATGACCCAAAAAAATACATATACAAGTGTATTATATGTATAAATTACTCTTGTAAAATAATAATCAAATATAAGCTATTAGAAAAACAATAATAAAAATATAAAATCTTCATCGCCTTAAAGATGGTATGAATTACTTCCGCAGAACAAACTAATACGCAATTAACATAGAACAACAAATCCAGAGTAAAAAATACTGCTCTGACGATTAGAAAGCCATATGATGATAGGAAGCTCATACCAGAATCTCTACTTTGAATTAGGAGGACATATACTATCCTACAGTGCTAATAAGTAGGTAACAAAGGCTGACCCATGATATATCAGTAATTAAGACTCCAAACTCAAATCATCAATTGGCAAGATTTGTCATCCCAAATTCTTGGTATCACTTCACACTAACAGTTTCCAAACAGAAGCATAAATAAAACCTTTAAGAGGCATTGCAATCACCTTTGTATTGTGATTTGTGAGGGATCTAATGTGGGCTTTTAATCTGCACTGGACACTGCTGTGCCTGAATCCATCAAAACCCGCTTGACTCCTCTACCCACCACGCCAAGATGTGTCACTCCAGCAGCACCATTTGTGTGTGCAGTGGAAACAGAAGGAGATTCAAAATCTCCACTGCTGCTAGCAGTACCCATCTGTGACGAGCTCATTATCACCGAAGCAGCACTCTTTTCGGCACTTTTTGCCTTAGCAGATACTATTCCAAGTATATCTGAGAGGATTGATTTTGGGTTCGAGACAACCTGTTGGAGATCTTCAAGCTGCAAATTCAAAGAATTCCACTTAACACACCACAGTGAAATACTAATGCAGTGACATCCAATAGGGTGTCAAGACCAACTTGCCTTCTTTTCCAGCTCAACAGAGAGGCCAGTGAGTGTTTCAATCTCGGCTTCTTTATCTGCAATAGAAACAACCAACTGGGATGCACTAGAAGAGTGTTGGACACTTAGCTCTGATTCAGGAACAGCTGATGTTGCTGTTGCTCCTGAAAAACTCTTTAGGTCACTCATGAGACGCTGCACCCGGGACTTGCAAACTGAAATAGCCTTTTGACAATAAGGAATCGCATCCTGAGCTTCTGAACCAATTTCCAAACACAAGCATATCCTGAAGTTTCTGGATTCTCCTGTCAAGGTGGTGACTTAGAAAACCTAAAGTACACAAAAATCAATAATTCTAAGCACAATTTATATGAAACACAGGTTTCAACCTTAAAAAGGATACAGTTCAGCTATATGTCTGCTGTCTGGTTCAACCACATGCTCCAAAATGGAAAGTGCTTTCAGGTAATCACTGAGGGAGGTTTCAATGTCCTCTGAACAGAGCAAAACAAAGTTAAAATGCACTAACCAGAATATTAAGCACAGAATTTCCAGAATGTGTTGATCTAATGTGTACTAAGATTCTCATTTTAGACAAAAGATAACGGACCTCTTTCCAAAGCAACCTCTGCCAATGTTGACAATATTTCAACTTTCTCCATTGTGTCATCAGAGTGTTTCTCAACAATTGCTCGAGCAACATCTAGCATTTTCCATGCCAAATCCAGGTCAGATTCGTCCTCATCTGCTTCAGCCAGGTCTTCGGCATCGCTTTCCTCATCTTCTTCTTCCTGATCCTTCCCACTGACAACTGCATCACATAAAACATAAAGCAACAAATTGTGAACAATTTCTACTTGTGCATACTATAGATAAACAAGTCACATAAATGCCAGAAACTCAGCTTTCGATGGACATAACACCACAATTCTTAGAGTTCTTATCCAACAACAGCAGAATTTGCCAACATAGGTCTCACTTGCTAAGAATTACAAAGGTCCTTCCAAACATTGAAATCAATAATTCAATATCCCCTTCGATATTATTTTTCTAATAACACCAATTTAGTTGTTTGCTGGTTAGTGACATAGCAATTAGCAACAGACAGGATGCTCCTAGTGTGGGGATAGAATGTGGAAAAGTTCTTCATCTGTTTTGGACAGTATGGATTCAATTGCCATGTAGTTAGCCTTTGGACCTGTATTCACTGCCAAAATGTTCCATATATATTGTCGATGGGAATTAAGAAAAGACTCCTTAGAAATTGTTCATGATAAAAGACTGCATGAGATTGGTGTATTTGGGTATCTTAAAGGTTGATGCACGAAAGTTACAAAAACATGAAAAGAGATGATATTTTGGTTTCAAACTAATCTTCAAAAGTTACAGAAACCAATCAATGGCATTTTCAACATTAGCCACACAGCATAATGGTCCATTTCAGATTATTTATACCTCAGAGAGAATTGTCTATTATCAAATTCACTTTAAATCCTTGGAATGCAACATTTGCTGTTGCCAAATAAATTTCTGAATAAAACCAGAAGTCTGCCACACTGATTAACTGTTTGCTCCATTGTCAGGTCAATATTCCTGAATGATTCTAGTAGTTTCAAGTGATCACCTTTTGGTGTGACCACTAAAGAATTGCTTATACACTAAACAACTGCTTATATACGCTAATTAAAAGACTGACTTTCATTCATTAGGCCAACATGAAACTAAGAAAGAGGTTAATGGCCAAAGCATTACGCACAAAGCTATCTGTGAAAATAGGCTGTCCAAGAAGATAGATTCCTTGACGAATCAACAATCAAGCAGCTGACCTAGTTTCATTGTTTCGGGATGCCTCTCGTCTTGCTTGCGTCAATGAGTTTACAAAGGCTTCGAGTAGTCACGGGATAGGCTAATCATCTCTAGAAAAGGTTAATCGCCGAAGACAAGAATGAATGAATCTAGTTTCGAGAGCCTGACAAATGGTCCAGTCTAATTGGGTGCCCATTTAGGTACAAAACAGACCCTGTCATTGATTAGAGATATTGATAAGGTGAATACCCAGTTCTTGTCCAGTAAATCCTCTATGGACGATTGTCCGCCATCGCTAGCCATGTTGCATAAGAAGGAAATATTAAACAACTTACTCATGGAGGGACAACTTAAAGTTTCTAGGCGGTATGGTCACCTAATCCTCTACACCTGAGAACCGAATTGGACCAAAAAGAAGATGTTCCACGGCATCCTCCCTTTACTACAACATACATTCAAAAGGAAACCTAGAACAATGTTCAAAAGTCCCACAGCCTGACCAAAATAAATCAAACCAGAAAGATTTAAATATTGGACTGATAAGAATAGAATAAATAAAACCAACAAATACAGTCAGGAAGAATCTGTGCTGGTTAATACAAGACATACAGGTTTCATAACTTCTTCCATAAATCACAGCCAAAGTCTAATAATATTTTAAGAGTCAAAATCCAATACCAAACAGACTTTAATGGGATATTAAGTTTTAAACAAACTGACTTAAGTATCCAAATGTAGACCAGAGATTCATTTTTGAAAGGAGGAAAAAAAATTACACAAAAATGAGGCCCAATCAGAAGTACGCTGATTCATTGCAAGCAGATCAACCAAAGAAAAATAAGTGTACAAGTTTAATCATACAGGAAGACTGTTTAATGCATAGATATAGATTTAATATTCAAACAAAATAAGCAGAAGCTATACAAATCAACTCACGAAGAACCACTGATTACTTCACAGCACATTATTTCTATAACGAAATTGGCCATCACAAAATTCTACAAGTGTCTAAAATAGTAAATATAGGTGTCATCTTAACAATTATAAAGTGTGGCCATGCCTATAGGATTTCCCTACAGTTCATAGCCAGAAATGCAATTATACATTAACCTGTTCTGAAGGGAGGCATATATCTTTTTCACCTGTAAGCATGCTACAAAAAAATCAAAGTTCATGAATAAATATCATAAGCATCTATACCAACCATCAGCATGCGATCCTTTCTGGGGATTTGAACTCCCCACTGGTACAGCATTACTTGAAGCAGAAGATTCACCATTAATGACACTCTTAACAGATTCATCTTTAACAGATTCTTGTTGAGATTCTCCCTGTTTTTTGGGCACAGCTGCCAATGGATCAGCCTCCTCTTGAGCTTTATACAGCAAGGCACATCCATATTTATAGTACGCATTGACACATTCAGGAGCAAGTTCACCAAAATGTGCAGCCCTGGTCAGATAAAACAATGATTAGAATACTTGCCATCAAGTAACCATGTGTAAATCTTTTTATGTTGTGATTGTAGTGCTGCTGTAGCTCTACATTACTGATTAAACATCTTACTAGAATATCTTTGCACGACATGTAAAGAGTACAATCAACAAAAAAACAAACAGAGATTAGCAAATCAACCAAGCAAAATTTTTTTGAAGCATTATGAAGCAATCATGCACAGCATGCATATGCCCGGGTGGGTCTTCAATTTATTTTATAGAGAAAAAATATTGTCTCCTGAAGAGCAGAAACCTCAGTTTGAAGGAAAACTACACTGGCTGGTTAGACAACTTTGACATCCAATCTCCAGCAATGGAAAGGGTATTTGTGCACCAGAATAGGGTATACTCTAGTCAATAAAATTATTTTATCAATGCATTTGCGACAACAACCATCAACTATACATCTCTTCAATGTTGCGATGCCGGGGTTCCACAGAGGCACAAGACAAAACAAATAACTCCTTTAGATGTGTCAGTTTGGGTTCAAAAGGGCAATGCTCATACATACATACCAAAATCTCAATGTAGGCTAGTTAGCATTCTCTGGGAAAATATTATCCAAAACTAATACATAAATGTAGTTACTGAGCCCTGATTCAACTGGGTCAGGCCCAATAAATTAAATAAGCCTAGATCAACTAAAAGGTTCAGTTAAGCTCAACTCATGGAGTCAATCCAGTCCAAAGGCCCAAAGGATCCAAGAAGATTAGAGCACGTAGAACAATCGTCGAAATAGCCACTCCCTCGAAGATCAAGACAATCTTTAATTGTACTTATCCTTAACTGTAGCTATCATCCCTGAATAACTAGTATTTTTACCCTCACATCACCGCCTTAGCCAAAACTCTGTACTTGTAAACTCTCTCTACATGAGAGGGTATCTCTTTACACACCTCTATATAGCTATCACTCTCATAGCTACCGTACATCTCTCAGACTCTCTCTCATCTTACTTTATTAATAAAGGTTTTCCGGCCACCGTTGTCATTTACGGAATGGAGTAAATCCCCCTACTTTATTTGCTTTAACCCAGTATTTGCTTTTTACAATTAACTGCTTTATTGATTGCCTCATTGATTACTCTACTTTATACACTAGATCGTTAGGAATTGGGCACCGGAGAATGAATCAATAGTCACTCTCACTGTGGCCCTTTCAATTTCAGTATATCCTTCTCGTCCATTATCTGTGAAGTAAGTTAATTAAGTATTACCCAAAACTAATATTTAAATGTACTCACTCTAACTATGGCCCTTTCAATTTCACTATATCTTTCTCGTCCATTAGCTGTGAACTACGTAAATTGTATTTTTTTTTTTTAAAAAAAAACTCTAACCCACATGAAGGCAAACGAACTATCTGAGATTATAGAACAAAAGGAGAGTAAGCAAACAGACCATGAAAATTCCAAGTTCGCGTCAAATTTCCATAAACCTAACCTGATTTCTAGGGCACGACTGAAGCAGTCGGTCGCTTCAACATAATCTCGCTCTTTCGCAGCATTCGAGCCTCTTTCCATCAACTCGTCAGCGTACTCCAATGACTTCTCGCGGTCGACTTCGGATATCAGACCAGAACTCTCAACATTGTCGTTGTTGTTACACGAAGAATCTGTCCCTACTTGAGCGCTCAATTCCATAACCGCTTCGACAGAATTTTGCATCTGCTCCACATTCGGAGCTAGGGTTTCCGATTTCGCAGCTTCGTCGGCCATATACAACTTCGATGCGACTTGAAATGGAGACGAAAACTCTCTCCCTCCCTCCCTCAAACTCAGTTCTGGCGGAAAAATGGAGACGAAAATATACACGAGGGAAGGGAAACTTGTTTCTTCTTCCAGCCTCCAAATAAAAAATCAGAAGAAAAAGAAAAATAACCTGTTGGGCTGGGTCGGTTTTCATGTAGGATACGATGTCGTTTTGCTCTATTAACCACCAACAATTGGTATGATATCAAATCTATATAATAAAGTACTTTATAATTCAAATCTCACAAGAAAAATAAGATGATTTTTGTTACTTGTGGTTAAAATCGCTTTAAATTTTACTTTAAAGTTAATATAACGACTAATATTAATACCTTAAATTTAATAGAAAAAATAGGTTTTCCTAAGAGTGTGTTTGGAGTGACCAATGAGTCTTTGGTCCAATGGTACTCCTTGTCTTGTAAAGGTTTTGTCTTCTTGAGGTCAAGGGTTCAAGTCTCCTTCTCCCCTTTCCCAAAAAAAAAAAAAAATTATTTAGAGTGACTTTTTAAAAGTATATTTAAAAAAAAAATAGTGTTTGAAACCACCCCACCACTACCTCTACCACCACCACCGTCGTCGTCTCCGTCGTCGCCAGCACCATTGTTGCCACCGCCATCATCGTCGTTGTCGCCGCCACCACCACCATTGACATCGTCGTCGCTGTCGTACCATCGCTGTCACCACCACCGTCGTCGCCGTTATCATTGCCACCGTCGCTATCACCACCACCACTATCGCCACCACCATCGTCGTTGCCGCTGCCATCACCGCCGCCGCCATCGTTGTTGCCACCATCACCACAGTCATTGTCACCCACCACAACCATCACCGTCTCCTACCACCACCACTACCGTCCATCACCTATCACCCCCACTGTAACCGATACTTAAATTCATTTATTTTTCAACTATGTTTATGATTTGATTTTGAATATGAATACAAATATGTTTATTATTTACCATTTCTTATTATTTTGTGCATTCAAGCACAAATAATAACTAGTGTATATAATAAAGTATAATACAATTCAAATCTAAAAGATAAATAAAATGACTTTTACTTTTCGTGGTTGAAATCTCTTTAAATTTTACTTTAAAGCTAATCTCACACCCATCATCACCCATGATTGCCACTACCACCATCATCACTCAAAACACACCACCACCATCACTGTTGTTATCCATAGCTGCCACCATCACCACGGTAGTCGCTACCCACCGCAACCATCACCGTCTCCCACCACCACCAATGTCGCCCATCACCACCACTGTCGCCCATCACCACTACCACCCACCATCACTCATTCCACTACAACCGGTGTTTAAATTTATTTCTCTATCCTTTATGTTTGTAATTTAATTTTAAATGTAAATACAAATATGTTTATTATTGATAATTTTTTTTTATTTTGTGCATTCATGCACGGGAAATAATTTGTAGATATATATGAGAGAGATTTTTTTTAATATTAGTCAAACTCCTAAAATTTATGAGTTGTTAATTTTTAAATTTGTTTTAATATTCTTGAGTAATTTTAATAGTGTTTTTTTTATTATATAATTTAAAATTAAAAAAATAAAGAAAAAATAAGTAAAAAGTGAGAGAGAGACTAAGAATAGAAAAGTGAGTGCAAATTAGTGAAATTGTTTGACATTAAGGAATATATTAATTGAATTTTTTGATATTAAGAGCCATGTTTTTGAGCTCTGGAAAAAAACATTTTAGATAAATTTTATATTAGTGAATCAAAATAAATAAAAAATAGATATATCTTAATTTTTTTTGAGACTTCCAGCTATAATATTAGATAAGTTATGTTTTCCTATTCAAATATTGTTAATGTGTTTGTGTTTGGGTTATCAAAATATGACACGACTTGTTAATGCGGTATAAAATTGGAGTTTGTGTTTTTCTTAAACCATTCGTTTCATAAAAAAGTGGACCTGACACCACACGATTAATAAATGAATTAGGTACGTGTGGAGTTAATTAAAAAAAAATTATGATTTGACTCATTTATATATCAGTTATACATAATTTATATATGACACAAATCTGATGTGGCATAAATTAATAAATAAATAAGATATAAATGAACTAGTTATTTTCTGTGTCTAAAGGCACAGAGTAATAAAAAATGGTAAATAATAAACATATTTGTATTCATATTCAAAATCAAATCATAAAACATAGATGAGAGATAAATGAATTTAAATATCGGTTGTAGTGAGGGTGAAAGGTGATGGGCGGTGGTGGCAATGGTTGGAGACGGTGATGGTTGTGGTGGATGGCAATAACTGTGGTGATGGTGGCGATAATGACAGTCGTGGTGGTGGCGGCGGCGACGACGACGACAGAGGTGGTGATGGCGACAGCGGCGATGGTAGCGGCGACGACAATGGTGGTGGTGGCTGTAATGGTGACGGCGACGGCGACGATAGCAATGGTGGTGGTGGTGGTGGCGACGAAAATGGTGGCGGTGGCGATAATGGTGGCGGCGATGGTGCTAGCGACGACGACGACGACGACGACGACGTGGTGGTGGTAGAGATAGTGATGGGGTGGTTTCAAACACTATTTTTTTTTTAAGTACTTATGAGAATTAATTTCTAAAAGTACTTTTAAAAAGTCACTCCAAACACACCTTAGGGAAACCTATTTTTCCTATTAAATTTAGGGTATTAATATTAGTCGTTAGATTAACTTTAAAGTAAAATTTAAAGCGATCTCAACCGCGAGTAACAAAAGTCATTTTGTTTATCTATTGAAATTTGAATTATAAATTATTTTATTATATAGATATTCATATATAAAATAATATTATTTATTTATCTTTCTCATATATATACGCACACACATATAGTAACATTCAAACACAAAAATAGTACCATTTAAACACACAAAAAAAATAGTAACATTTAAACATAAAAAAATAGTAATATTTAAAAACATAAAAAAATAGTAACATTGAGTATTAATATTTGAAAAAATAATAGCAGTAACATTTTCAACAAAAATAGTAACCTACTCACAAAAACAATAACATGAAACATTCAAAAAAAAATAGTAACATTAAAAATTGAAAACAATAACATTTAAAAAAAATTCAATGTTAAGGGATAATATTGACATCAGTTGTTATTTGAATTTGAATTTGAAATTTATGTAAAAAAATTTATTGGCATATCTTAATTAATAGTGAATTAAGGGATAATAATTATCAAGTTATGAACTAATTTATAATTACTTTAAATGAAGAGTATTTTGGAGTTTTAAAAAAATAGTTGACTTAATTATTTATTAGTAAGATTAAAAATGAACTTATCATTAAATAAGTTTTCTTGACGAATTAAACTCATTATAAGTCTCTTAAGGAGAACTCAATCCCAATTTTTACTTTTAAATAAGACCTAAAATTTTAGGGCCCAATCAATATTTAGTTATGTTGAGTCCAAAATTACTCATCACATAGTTAAGCCCAATAAAACCCTAAAATAAAAATTCTAGAACTCATCCAATTCAACTCAATAACTAACATCTCTCATTGCTTTTGTATCTCTTTGGCTCCTTCTCCCTACCATTGAACAAAATGACAAACAATCTTCAACTTCTTAAAACATCTTTTTAGTGAAACATATACTCATACTTTCATTCTAAAGATATGTATTTCTTCTTTTGTTTTTTTTTTTTTGGTTAAAAGCTCAAATTTGAGATACAGTTTTTTCCCTTTTTCTAGACTGCATTCACCCCACATTATATAACAGAGACTTGTGGGCATTTTCACTACAAGTTTTCAACATCTGCCAAGCTATACACCATGAAGCACTTAGAGAAGAAGTCAACATAAATATACATTAATAGTGATGGGTCAAGCTCAAGAGCTCAACCCACCTTGTGAGCCCAATTTAAATTAAAAGCCTAACTTAAAGAAATCCAGTAGGTTCAGCCCAAAAGGGTCCACACCCCGGTCAAGCTCATCAAGGTTCTAGGAGCTACATCACTAGAGAGTAAATAGGGTCATCAAAGAGCCTCATTCACGTCGCCTTGGAAGAAGTCAACCACAACGTCATCCTTTAACCGGATCTAATAAGGAGTGTTGTAACTACCTCATCCGTTGAGAAGATCGCACCAACTCCAGCAAATTAGCATTTTAGTTACTAATAAACCGCCTCAATCTGTTAAAAGATGACTATAAATTATAAAGTCCTACCAACACTTGGGAGACATCTCATACAATTGAGCACATCTGCTATCACTCTTATCTCTCTCTCATTACTTGTATCTCCCTACACTCCTCGAAATAATAAAATATCCAGGTCGCCTTAACCTTTCATAGTGGACGTAAGTCAAGTTGATCGAACCACTCAACATCTTTGTCTTGATTGTGTTGCTATCTTACTCCTTAATTACTACATTAATTATCAGTCACTTGACAGGTGGTGCATAAGACCAATTTATGTATCATCAGTTTGACACCGTCTACAAAAATCAATAAAATTCTCACCTAATCATTTTTCTTGTTATACCTATATCGAACACCACCAGATCCATGAATCAACCCAAAAATAATCTACCACAAGAGTAGGAGGTTGCCCCTCCACCAACCAACTCTGTTCTGAATGCAAAGCAGATGCTGGAAAACAACGCAGCAGCTCGTGACTCAAAATTAACAGATCCTACAGCTGATGCCCATTGGACAACAAGGAAAAGCATAACCTGAAGGACCTCAAGCCAGAGGAGCTCCACGCCCTAGACGTCAATGAGCTCCCCTTTGGCCTCATACAGGGGAGCCCAGCACTAGAACCATTAGGGATCTCCACCTCCTCCTCAAGCTCTCTATTCTCATGGTGGAGACCTTTATTTTTAAGAGGATGAGAGCGAAAATCAAAGCTTGGAACATTGGAGTCAATTCCATAACTATTCCAAAGGAGCTCCCAATCATTGGGATGAAAAAATCAAAGAGGTGCAGAATCAATTGAGTGACGTCTTCAACACCATAAAGGCATAAGGACCCGATATTGTGGATTGAACTGACATGCATTTTGTGCCAGACGTGGCAAACTACCCCTTTTCTCAAAAATTCAAAATGTAATTCGTCGAAACCTTTGAATGTACAAATAGGGGTGTCCAAGCCCGGCCCAAAAAAATAGGCCTGAAACCCATTAGGTCCGATAGTTGGCCCACCCGAGCCCGAGCTCAATATCCTTAAAAAGAGGACTTGAGTTTTCTCCTAAACCCATTATTTGGCCCGAAATCCCAACCCAAGAGCCCTCCCGTCAAGCCCGCTCGCCAAACTCAACCCCCACATAGCCTGCCCACCCTTCATTTGAAAAAAAATTATACTTTTAAATCATTAAATTTGAAATTTTGAAATAAGTCTTTTAATGTCGGAGTTTGAAGTTTTAGAAATTTAGATACTATAAATAATGTATTATTTTATTTTCTATATATTAAGCATACAAATTTTAAAGGGTAGAGTAATGCAAATAACAGGTAAGTGAGTAGGTGTCAACTTAATTAGAATGTATTTATTCTATTGGATGTAGTTCATCCCATAAGTAAAAATAAAATTATTCATTATTTTATTTTTATTCATTTTGATTCAAAAATATAATTTACACAAATATTACGTTACAAAAATACTCATTATTTTAAAATAAAGTTGTATATAAAAAAGTCCGCGAGTAGGCCCGCCCAATAGGCTCGTGGGTTGGGCTGTGGGTAGCCTATCCCTACCCGAAGTTTGACCCGACCCACTCGATAACTCACTTGGGTAAGGACTTGGACCTAAACTACCCAGGCCCCACCCGAAAAAAAAATTACGGGCCGAGCTGGCACCCCCAGGTACAAAAGATCCATTTGATCATCTCGAAACCTACAAGACCTTAATGAAGCAGCACAACGTCCCCGACGAAATTATGTTTAGGGCATTCCCAACTACCTTGAAGAGATCAACTTGATAATGGTTTGCTAAGCTCTTCCTAGCCTCCATTGGCTCATTCGTCGAACTAAACAAGTCCTTTGTGTCGCACTTCATTCAAGGACGCCTCCACCAGAAGCATGCCACTCACCTACTCAATAAAAAACAAGATCGAGACGAGAGCCTGAGAAATTATCTCACTTGTTTTAGCAAAGAGGTCCTCCAAATTGAGGAACCCGATGACAAGGTCACCATAACCGCCTTCTTGGGAGGTCTTCATTCATCAAACTTTCTCTTTTCAATGATGAAGCGTCCATCAAAGAGTATGCCAGAGCTACTAGCAAAAGCTCAGAAGCATATGAATGTTGAGGACATCGCTAGAGCTAAGCGAGGTGAGTCTTCACGAGCAGGAAATAAGAGAAAGGAATGACACAGAGAAGACAAAAAGGAGAATGGAAACAAATGGGGCAGGATAGAAAGGGTGTCTGCCAAAGACCGACTTGGTCCAGCCCCTCACAGAGATCGACAAACCTTCACTCCCTTTAACGCCATTGTTGGACACATCCTATTCCAGATCCAGGATGACCCCGCAGTAATGTGGCCCGGAAGAATGCAATCTCCACCAAACCGTAGGAATCCGAGCAAGTATTATCACTTCCATAGGAATCACGACCACGACACTAACGATTGATTTAAGCTTAAAAGATAGATTGAGGAGCTCATACAGTGTGGTCAATTACGCCAGTATGTTGCTGGTAGAGGCCAAGCGCCGCCACTGCCTCATAACCAAAAAGGATTAACAACCTCTTGGAGAGATTCACACCATCTCTGAAAGGCTAGCAGGAGGAGGAGAATTCCTCTCTTCCATGAAGGACATACCCAAAAAGCTAGACACCTTGACTATTTGCTCCCATCCAAGGCACTCAAGCAAGGAAGTAACGAGGTTATATTCTTCTCAGACAAGGACCTGGAAGGAATTCAGCATATCCATGATGACTTGTTGGTGCTAACCATGATTGTCACCAACTTTCAAGTACGAAGGATTTTTGTAGATAGTGGTAGCTATATGGACATCTTATTTGCAGAAGCCCATAACAAGCTTAACCTTGGGAGGGAAAGACTATAGTCTATCAGGTCACCCCTCATCAGACTCTCAAGGGAGAAAGTGTATCTCCTAGGGTCCATCGCCTTGCCAGTCACTATCGGCACGGCACCCCAGAGCTTCAAAGTCATGGTAAATTTCTTGGTGATAGACTACCCGTCACCCTACAATGTCATCCTGGGGCGACCCGCTCTTAACACCTTAAGAGTCGTGCACTCCACTTATTATTTGATCCTCCATTTTTCAACTCTAAATAGAACCGAAGAGGTCTGAGAAGATCAAGTTGCTACAAGAGAATGCTACGTCTTCTCCAATGAGGAGCATCTAGACAGAAGAGTGTACATTGGTTTTTCCCTTCTTGAAGATTTAGTCTATTAGCTTTTAGATTTTCTAAGATGCAGTATGGATATTTTTGCATGGCCACATGAAGACCTCGAGGCCATCGACTCTAAGGTCGCCAGCCACCGCCTCAATGTCAACCCTTATTACAAGCCTGTTCGTCAAAAGTTAAGGAACACCTCCACTGAAAGGGCGCAAGCGATGTACAAGGAAGTGGGAAAGTTGATAAAAAATGGGCCAATTAGAAAAGTGGCCTACCCAGTGTGGCTATCAAATGTGGTGATGCTAACTAAAACCAACAAAAAATGGCACCTCTGTGTCAATTTCACGGAACTCAACAAGGTGTGCCCTAAAGACAGATACTCATTGCCACAAATCGACCTTCTCATCGACGCCACTGCAGGCCATGAATTGCTCACCTTCCTGGACGCGTACTCTGGATATAACCAGATCAGCATGTATCCCTTAGACTAGGAGAAAACATCATTCATCATTCTGAAGGGGACCTACTGTTATAGGGTTATGCCCTTTGGACTGAAAAATATGGGAGTAACCTACCAACGGATGGTGAACAAGATGTTTCAGTCTCATATTGGGAGAACAATGGAAGTATATGTGGATCATATGCTGGTAAAAAAACTCATCGTAGCAGATCACATAGACCACCTTCAAGAAATCTTCGATGTTCTCAGGTCATATCACTTGAAGATGAACCCTGAGAAATGTGCCTTTGGCATCAAGTTAGGAAAGTTCTTAGGTTTTATGGTCAATCATAGGGGAATTGAGGTAAATTCCAACAAGATCAAAGTCATCCTGAACATGAAATCACCCACCTCAACCAACGGAAGAATTGCATCACTCAACATATTTGTTTCCAAGTCTACAGACAAATGCTTACACTTTTTTAAGATTCTCTAGAAAGCCTTTGAGTGGAGACCTGAGGTAGAAAAAACTTTTCAATAGCTCAAAGCTTATTTGACTACGCCTTACCTCCTTTTACATGTTTACACCTAGTGAAACTCGATATTTGCACGTCTTTGCTTCTCTATCGGCAGTAAGCTCTGTCATTATCAGGGACAACCAGGGAGTGCAAAAACCTATTTATTACGTGAGCAGAGCATACCGAGTAGCATAAATAAGATATTCAAGGTTAGAAAAGCTGACACTCGCCCTGATCTCAGCAGCAAGACATCTCTGACATTACTTCCAAAGTCACACCATTGTTGTTGTCACAGACCAACCTCTAAATAGGGTTTTGGGGAAGCCAGAAGTCTCTAGAAGACTCCTTAAGTGGGCAGTAGAGCTGGACGAGTTCGATGTTCAATACCAACCAAGGGCAGCCATTAAAACACAAGCTTTGGCGAACTTTATTGCAGAGCTCACATCGGCGGAGGAGGATGGCAGTGGACCCTCGACACCTCAAGAGGCCTCATCAGAAACTTACCCAGACGTCCAGGTGCCCAAGACAACCTGTAGGGTGCCCAGGGCATCTAGGCGCACCCAAGCTCTACTGCCATATAATGGTGAGAGGATAGGAAAGAAGTTTTGGGGCAATACTTGGAAGAAGTTGTGCTTGATCGTCCATGCAATTTTATTGGAGCTTCTTTAACTATTCATCAGAGAGCAAGAGAGGAATAACTCGAGCTAGAGCTTGATGGATCATGGATGTGTGTTGGTTAGAAAGAAAGATGTGTTGGGTCTGAGGAGTTGAATTAGAGAGCGAAGGAAAAGGGTAAACAAAGGAGAAGACAAAATTTTTGTAGTCAAGAGACAAGACTTGTGTTTGGTTTATTTTTTTTTAACTGGACTTATATTTGGTTTCATGAATTATTATACAATACCAAAAATAGTCATTGATGATTGACTGCGTCCACGTTTTTTATGTGCATGGTTCGCACTTAATATGCATATTTGTATGTAGTTGTGTGTGTATTACACTTGATAATTGCCACAAGTCATTTTGATAATTATGTGACAATACACAAGTATTCCTACATTTTCACTTAAATACTAAAGTGGTAGCCAACAATTAGCAAGCCAAAAATAACATAGGATTGGATAGGATTCAAGTATAAAATGATCAATTAATATCAAAGTTATGATATATTTAAAAAAAAATTATAATTTATCCATGACTCCTCCACATTATAAATCATTAACTAACTCAGGGTTTGGATAAATCCATTTGCTTTTATCCAACTAGAAATCCGGCTTATTGGGATTTCATGGTTTGAAATTTAAATCCAACCCAATCTACTCCATCGCTGATTTGCCAAACAACCCCCCGGAGAAACAATAGTTTGGTATTCCTTTCTTAATAGAGTAATATCCAGTCTGGTGTCTACCAAACTCATAGGATGAAGCCAAACATCTTTGCAATGGTATCTGGTAGGTTTGCAGATTTAAGATTCCGCAGTCAAGCTCAACTAACGCAGTCAGTCTACAATCTGTTTCTGTGCAAATCCTTTTCACTTGCTCTTTTGTATATATAACCTTCCACCTAAAACACATACATATACAGATTAGAGATTACTCTCTCTCTCTCTCCCTCTCTGGCTCATGATGTCTTTGGCAAGCAGAAGCAATCTTATACATCTATCAGAACGTAAGAATATTTGGGGCAGAAATCCATTAGGTGAGGTGGTGTACTAATAAAACCCATTTTAGTTTCTCCTTGTAGCATATTTCAAATGTACGTTCTGGTTCTTTTGCTCTTGCTTTTGAGCAAAGAGTTTCTTTGTGCCATTTTAAAACTTGTCCCTTTAATTTGTTTTCTCAATCAGATTCATGTCTTCCTCGACCAGTCATCGTACGAGCACAAAAAAACGCTGCTAAAAATGTTGCTTCTGTAAGCAAACCATCCATATTTTCCATGTAAACGTATTATAAAGAAGTGAAATCATTGAGAAGATAGACATTAGCATTCTAATTTTTATACAATTTGGAATTGTCTAACAGAGTGAACGAGGGCAAATTGCAAGAATCAGTAAGATGTTTGACAAGGCTGAGCTATCGATTTCTTCTTATGACACTGCGTGGGTGGCTATGGTGCCGTCTAGGGACTGTCCTCAAAGCCCGTGTTTTCCTGAATGCCTGGATTGGGTATTGCAAAATCAGCACCCAGATGGGTCATGGTGCCTCCTTCCAAACCATCCATTACTAATTAAAGACTCCCTTTCTTCAACATTGGCATGTATAGTTGCCCTCCAAAAGTGGAAAGTCGGAGAATTACTGGTAAAACGAGGTATGTTCTCTCTCTCTCTCTCTTAAATCAACAAAAACTCTCATTTTCCGTCTCATCAATAGGCCTCGACTTCATTCGGTCAAATAGTTGGTCTGCAAATGACAAGAATCAGTATTCTCCAATGGGGTTTAATGTGATATTTCCTGGCATGATTAAGTATGCCAAGGATTTGGAACTAAATCTTCCTTTAGACTCAACTTTTGTGGACACAATGCATCACAAGCAAGATTTGGAAATCAAGGCAAACAGAGGCCGTCTAGATTATTTTGCTGAAGGATTTGGCGAATCATATAACTGGAAGAACGCCATGATACACCAAAGAAGTAATGGGTCGCTCTTTAATTCACCAGCCACAACTGCAGCTGGTTTGATTCACCTTCATGATCATAAAAGCTTCGAGTACTTACAGAAGATTTTGGAAGTATACAAAAATGCAGGTAAAAAACATTCCTAATTCAATTGTTTTCATTATTTGACAGGATAATTCCTATTTTCTATGCTCCATAATCCATTCTAATGGCTACCCTTTTTTCCTTTCCTTCAGTTCCTACAATTTATCCACTCGATATCTACAGTGGGCTCTGCATGGTTGATCGTTTTGTGAGATTGGGCATAGATCGATATTTCAAAAATGAGATAGAAAGCATTCTCCATGAAACTTACAGGTATTTTCAGGAGTATGTTACAACTATATCTAGTATAAATCATGCTGTTTAGACTTATCGTTAGTTGGTGAAAGGTGCTGGATACAGAGGAGTGAAGAGATACTTCTGGACATCACTACTTGTGCCATGGCATTTCGCCTGCTACGAATGAATGGATACGAGATTTCCTCAGGTATGTTATAGAAGTTTTAATAGACAACATCATATGTGGATGTGGATGGTGAATCTAATAGATAGGAGATGCAGATTCATTGGCAGAATTCGATAATCAAGTACACTTCTTCAATTGTGTAAGTGCAAAATGCACAGATACGAACACAATTCTTGAGTTATACAAGGCTTCACAAATCAAGATATCCCAAGAAGAACCCATTCTTGACAAAATAGGGGTCTGGACAAGCTCTTTTTTGAAGAAACAAGTAAGGAGTCAGACAATTGAAGACCCAAGACTACACAAAGAGGTAATAGGTCTGGAAACCACATACACATTTGCTCTTGCAGCAACCTGAGGTTGTACACTTTGCTTTTTTTTTTTTATCCTTCTATATTTGAGGTTAAGAAAAGGATAAAATTGGGCCATATTAGGTGGTGTTGGTTTTGCATAGCGATTAATCAACACTGACACGTGTTGTTGGCATTACTTTGATTAAAATAATTCTGCTATCACTGTTTGGGAGATAGAAATTGAGATAGGAAAGAAAAAAACACAAAAACAAACATATACGTGATTCGGTAAACAGTACCTCCATCGATGGACCAAATACTACGTCGATGTATTAGCAATCTAGGAACTCATGACATGAAACTCAACCCCATTTATTGGGTGAGGAATCTATAAGATAAAAATAAAATATGTAACCCATGACTAATTAGATACTACTGTATCTTTATGTTTCCTATCAACCCTCTAATAAACATATTTACGGTGTATTAGGACACTCAGTTTGTTACTTATTCAATGTGAGATTCTCTCATGTGATTTTTTAACAGGTGGAGTATGCTTTGCAGCACCCCCTTGGTTATCTCGACCGACTTGATAAGAGGAGAACCATTGAGCAATATGACATAGACAATCTTCAACTTCTTAAAACATCTTGTAGGTGAAACATATACTTTCATTCTAAAGATGTGTATTTCTTCTTTTTTGGTTAAAAGCTCGTATTCGAGATACATATTTCATTTTTTCCAGACTGCAGTGGCTCCACATTTTATAACAGAGACTTGTGGTCATTTTCACTGCAAGATTTCAACATTTGCCAAGCCATACAGCGCAAAGAACTTAGAGAACTTGAGAGGTATATATCTGTCCTGCTACAATTTTCTTAGCAGAAGGAAGGCAACATATATACATTAACACTATGATTATAATTTGATACATGCAGATGGGGGGAAGTTACGGGATTGGGTGGTCTCAAGTTTGCTAGGCAAAGGATAGCATCCTGCTATTTCTGCATCGCGGCCACTCTTTTCTCCCCCGAATTATCTGATGCTCGCTCCTGTTGGGCCAAGAATGCCTCTCTTGCCACGTTTGTGGATGATTTTTTTGATGTAGGAGCCACCAAAGAAGAAATGCTAAACCTTATTGAATTGGTTCAAAGGTATGATTCCTCTGTCCAACTACAATTTTAAACATCATTTTAACTTCTTTGGATGCTATGTCCATTGAATGGAAACAAGAATTACGACCATATGCAATGATAATAGGTGGGATGGACTCTCAACTGCTGTTTACTGCTCTGAAAATGTTGAGATCCTATATTCTGCACTGCATGACACCATAAATGAGCTTGCAGCCAAGGCTTTGATACAGCAAGGACGATGTGTCAAACATCACCTAATTGAAGTAGTAAGGGATTTAAACACTTGATATCCCTTCTTTGATCCACATATTGATTGATGGGATTCTAACTTAGGCAGATATTAATGTGCAGTGGCTTGATTTTCTCAAATGTATGATGCAAGAGGACGAGTGGGTGAGAAGCAAGTCAGCAACGACGCTGGAAGAATATTTGCCCAATGGCCGCATATCAATAGCCTTAGGACCTACAGTTCTAACAACACAATATTTTCTTGGATCAGCATTATCCGAGGAAATAGTAAGAAGTGCAGAATATGGTAGTCTGTTCCTCCATATGGGCTGTACCGCACGACTTTTCAATGATCTTCAAACAAGCAAGGTAAAGTTGTTTATTTCGGGCTCTATGCATTGGATAGAAAATGTGATTATGCAAAGCAAATAATGCCTACTAGGAGTGCTAGCAGCACTATGACTAAAAGTGCTCATAGAACGGTGTTCATTTCTTTTTCACAGAGAGAAAGCGAACAAGGGAAACTGAATTATTTGTCGTTGCTGGTACTGCACAGTCGTGGAGAAATTACAGAAGATGATGCCATGGAAACAGTGAGGGGAATCATTGAAAGTCACAGGAGACAGCTTCTATCGATGGTGGTCCAAACAAAAGGGAGCAAGGTTCCAAAGCCCTGCAAGGATATGTTTTGGGAGACAACCCAGGTACTTCGCTATTTTTACATGAGCAGCGACGACTACACCTCTACAAGCAAAACAATTGGTGATATTAAAGCGGTCATTCATGATCAACTCAGTCTCGCTCCATGTCTAAGCTGATAAAAAGACCAAATAGAAAAGAAACAATGAGATTGATCGGAATAATGGTATGGTGAAAACAAGCATTTGAAGTCTTTACGAGATTAAATTCATGAACCGATTGTTGGCTATCAGGCTATGTACTAGTTTATGATCATGAACATGTGTTGACCAGAAAACTGAAGATCATGAATATATGCTACGTCTCTACATTTGGTTTTTTTCATCGCCATGTACAATCGTTGCATTTTGCAAGCCTTAACTTGGTGGCGCTCTTGCAAGCCTAAAGATGGAAGGTGCAACAACAGCCTAGACGTGTAAAAATCGCTCTGGCAATTCTTGACACCATCCAAGAAACCAACGAAGTGGATACTAGACACATTAAATAAATGGGTCATCACGAATTCACACTTATACAAAATACTAATTTAATGCGATATGATTTCAATTGTATAAGATTAAAATATCAGGTATGCATGCAAATTTACCCAATTTATCTTTTCACAACATGCTAACCGCTAGCACATAAAAACTCAACTTTTTTTAAATTGCTTTTTTGGGTGAACAACTTCTTCTAGTTTAGTGTAAACAACTCATTTTCTTAATTTTTCCAGCATACTTTAAGAACACTAGGACTCATTGTTGATGAGAAAATGTAACCCTAAACTGCTTAAACAATATTTTTTTTTTGGATCAAGCTTATACAATATTTAAGAAGTAAAAAGTTGAAAATGATTTTTAACATTTATCGTAACTTAATTTATTGCCATTAGGGATACTAGTGGACCGGAAAAAACTAAGTATTCATTTAAATTCGTCTCGTTTGAATTGAGAGTGGACTATATATATTCGACGACAGACGTATATGAGAATATCCATATACCTGTGCAAAGATAGAGACGGAGATGAATTTTGATTGTAAAATTTAAAATATTTGATATTTTACCTTTAATTATAATATTTTTTGTTTAAACATAATATTTTAAATTTGAATACTGTAAAATATTATACACTTATAAACTTTAGAAAGTTTGAATATAATTTACTAACGGATATACACATTGATGGTAGGAATCTAAGTATTACGTGTAGATTTATATATAATATTTTAAATGTTAAAGGATCTAACTGATTAAATTAGGTGACAAATTTCAAAAAATTTGGGTGTAATTCTTTCCAAAAAAAAAAAACAGAAGGCAAAACCCTAACCCTAAATCGGCAAAAAGGTGAGACTTTGAGCTCCGAAATGATAGCGGGAAGAGAAGAAGATAGTGACTCCGACGCTCCTGACGAATTCACATCCTAATAGGTTTGTCACTCTCAACTGTTTGATTAAGAAACGTTTTTAACTACTCTTAATTAGAGTTTATATTTTCATTGCAGGGAATTCGGCAAGACGAAGAGATAAGAAAAGTTGAAGTAGATAATAAAGCTAGGTATGGAGGTTCTAATTACATCTTTACAAGCATGCATTTGCTTGATCTTCGCAATTATGTGATTTATTCTGAAATTCAATTATTGTTCTTCCATTTTTTCTCCTTGGGATGGTGGATTTTTTTTCTGGTTCTTCCTTTTTTTTTTCCCCTGATGTAGTGGCTTGGTGAATTTGTGTATGCAATATGATTTTTTTTTTTTGGGAAAAAAATTACCCATGGCCTTGAGGTGGAAATTGCAATTTTAGTGATTACACTGCTGTTGTCTCTTTTGGCTTATTGCTTGATGCAACAGCAGTTACTTTGCTTAAAATATATGCTGATGGGGCTGCACAAACAAGTTTGATTGACAGTTCTCATGGAGAATGAGTTCTCAAATATGAGAGATTCTATAGCTATTGCTAAATGAGGTTAATTAGGAGTTTGGGAAACTAGCACCGCTCATGCATAATGTTTTTGCCTATTTTTGATACTCAATTTATAATGATCCGATGATCTATTTTCCTACATAGTAGAACATTTCTCCTTGGTCAGTTATCAGGGAGAAACTGGTTTACTTGCCAACAGTTCTTTCTTAAAAAGTTGGTTCCCCTTCAAAGAGCAACTATTTACACCCTTTGTGTATGGTTCTTCCCTTCCTTTGTTCAAAGAAACGCTTAACTTGGGTACATTGAAATGCCTGTAAATTCCCATCCTGTGGGTCATTATAACTGAAGCAGGTTGGCATCACCTCCTTGGAGAAGATGCCTCGAACAGAAAATGTTTTCCTCTGCACAAAGCACCTGAATTACTGCACCTGCAAATTTATGCATAGTAAACTTTCCAGTCTTGAACCATTTTACATTTAGTAAAAGAGAGTCTGTACCTTGTTCATGTGTAGAAACCATTGACAACCTGTTTTTGACCTGTTTAAATTCAGGGAAGTACATTTTACATTGGAATATGAGACACAAACAGTTCTTAGAATGATTGATGCAGAAAATGTGAACCTACTCAGTTGCTTCATGCTTGTTGTAGGCCAGGTCATAAACTGTCACATTTGCCCTCTTGTAAGCGAGTCGTGAAGTAAACTGCTTGCTTAATTAAGAATCAACGTCGGTGGCGGTTTAAATTCTTTGAAGCCCATTTAAGTAGCACATTGTAGATGCTATTCTGTGTGGCTTGATTTGGTGCTGGTGGTGTTATATTCCACATGCTCTCTTTAGGATTGTTCATGAAGGAAAAGAGCGTCGAAGGCAATGGGCTCAAAGTTAACACCACGGCCATCACGTGGGGATGTCAGTGTTCAAGATGTGATAAACACTGAAACACACCAGAATTCTCAGGATAACCAGGGAATGCTCCCAGATGACATTGTTCAACTTCTTGCTGCCCGTGAAAAGTATGCTATGTTACTCTCTTCTTCCCCCCACCCCCACCCCTGTCCTTTCCTCTCTTGTTCTGTGTGCTCGTGTGTGCCTTATAAGATGACAATGTCATCTGCAGGAAAGTTTTCCCGTCAGACTCAGAGGAAGACAAGATTGAGAAAAAGCCTACCTCAAAAAAGAAAAGGTCCAAAACCTCTGGGTGGGTTCTTTTTTTCCTTTGTTTCTTCCACAGCAGATAAATTATTTGTTTGGATATGCAAGCTTTTGAGCCAAAGTAATTTTCCTCTTTTTTATTGATTGACAGGCTCGAACCTGTTATTTTGAAGGATATACCGCCGGCTCAATGCTTACAGAACTCATTGGAGTTCTTAAAGAAGCGGAAGATGCAGGTTTCAAGATCAGTGGCAGTTTTGAAAAACTCTGACCAAGCACTACGCTTCCTTTCTACGTCTGGCTTGTTAAGTAAGAAGTAATTTAGAACAAGTGAGCAACGACGTAGCTTTATGTTGTTCTGTTATAATGATGTAACTGCTGATTTATTGCCCCCACACTGAGTGATATGATGATACTTAGAATTGCAGATGTGAGACATTACCATGACTTGTCATATTAGCAACTAAATATTACAGCGACCATTTGTGAGAAACAAATGCCTGATATGATTTTATCTAGAAGAAGAATATTGTTCCAAAAAACATACTAATGTATGTTCTCTCGTGAACTTGATAGAAGTGAAGGAGAAAGAGGAAAACTACTACCCTTTGGAGAGCTGATCGATTAGTCAAAAAGCTGCTGGCTTCTCTGGCAGTAGGCAGCAATTTGCATCTTCAGCTGTTCGAAATATGATGACTTCCAGCAAATTTTCATCACCATTTATGAGCTCGAAGACACAAACATCACCCACAGCCAGAAAATTGTCTTGTACAAATTTATTCCAGCCTCTTTGGATTTTGGCATCGCGTGGATAGATAGTGTAATTAGCAGACCATGTTCGCCCATCTGGAACTTGAAGGGTAACAGTTGTATGCTTCTTAGCAAGAAATTTCTGAGCAAAAATCAGTGGCATGTTCTGTAAAAAAAATAAAATCATATTGTGGATTAAATTAAATCACACATGCAAAGAAAAATAGAGAAATAAGAGTCTTCCTGCTCTAAAACTAGCCATGCAAGGAAAAATCAAGAGTAATTTAAGGGGAAAGAAAATGTTTTCCGTATCGAAAGAGGTATACGGTGTCGAGATGGATCCTAAAATGTCTAAAATTGGGTGAATCGATTCCGACACTTCCATTTTGTTGGCATACAATGCCTCAAGTTGAAAAGCTCACCAAAGAGAATCCGGCAATGTAATGTGGTCCCATGATAACCATAAAGAAAGGGTTTTTAGATTTGAAAGCTTTAGCCAATTGAAGAGCTCTAACTCTTCCGGTGTCACTTGCCAAACGCTTCCTGCAAGTTGGAAATTCCAAGTGCTGACATCTCTTAGGCCCATCTGAAAATAAATCCACATTACACACGTCATCATCCAAAATAGTATATCTTAATTAGAAGGTTCAAGTTTTGAAATCCACATTAAGATTTGATGACCAATTGGTTATGTTAGTTTAACTATATTCATTTTTAAGAAGAATAACGGGTGCGGTTGGAGATCAATTGATCCCACTAATGAGGGTCTACCGAGATAGTCTTTAGCCACTTTTCTTTATTCCTTTATTAAATATCAAAAAAAAAAAACAAAAAACAAAAGTAATAATCACCATCTATTTTCGTTGTTTCACTCGTTGACAACATGGAAGGGCAAAGGCCTACAATAACGAACCCAATTTCCTTACCTCCAACTTTCTGCATGGAACAGTGTAAATATTGGTCCAACTCTGATTTCACTGGCTTCACGCTGTTAGCTTGAGGAACTGTGGATTGATTGTGATTGGAACTATTCTCTAGTTTATCGGTTTGTTTAGGTCTCCTCCTTGTAATGAACCGAAGATGTGGTTGTAGTGATTTCTCTCTTCCTCTTTGGCTTGGTGGAAAATCATCCAAGCTTTTAACTGAATCATCTCTTGCACTTTCTTCCATTTTGGGAACCCTGCATTCCCTTTCTGCGCTAATTGGTTCAGTTTTCATCTTCTTACAGGGCCTAGAATATGCTACTGGAGATTTCTCCCTCGTAGTCTGGCATATTGGAAATTCTTCGAGGATTTCAACAGAATCATCCATCTCAACATCATGGGTTTTGGCTTGACATTTCCCAGTGAAGCCAGTCCGCGGCAGGGGTGATTGCAAGCTTTGGGGAAACGGATAGGGAATAGGATATCTCACAGCCTCATTAGAACCACACTGATAAAGTTCATCATCACTCTTCTGTTTTGAAGATTTCTCAAGCTTTTTGCCCATCGTAGGATTATTGATTTTATTGATGATTTTTCCACTACGGAGAGTGGAAACATACTCAACATGTTCCACTTGTGTTGCAGCTTTTGTGGTGGCTGTAGCTGTGGCACTTGAAGGATATTCTATTTCCGAAGCACTTCTACCAAATATAAGAACATGGAAATGGGAATTCCCGTCATATCTGAATACTAAGAAGTACCCAAAGCCAATTGAGTAATACTCCTTAAATTTCTGCCACTCTAGCCAAGAGTCGCCATTGCATTTTCCCAATACTACTGGCCATACTGCACCATTTGGAACGTTGAGGAACACACGATTTGGCAGAATATTTCCATATTGTCTGATAAACTCTTTCGGGATCCTCTGTAAAAAAAAAAACTTACATAAAAACCTCAAAGGATTTATAGAACGTTCAAGACAAGTGAAAAATTATATCTTCACTACATATGGTATATCAATACAGAACTTTCGTCGAACACATTATATGAAATAGCCCTTGTACTAAAAACACTAAATTACAGGGACCAAATGCAGAATCTATATGTCATTTTCGACAAAATTATCAACAACAAATCGTCTAAATTGAATGTTAGGCCTGAACGAAACTGGGTTGGGTAGGATTTGGGGGAGGATGTGCTATCTACGTGCTTGCATAAATGCCAGTTTGCTTGCGAGAATGAGAGATTGGACACTCACCAGTCTGTGATTTCGAGAAGAGCGCGAAAAGATAATGCTGAAAAAGTGCAGTGAATTCGCCGGAAAATTTGTCCGGTTGGGCTCCATGTTGCTTCGCCGTCGCCGCCGCCGCCGCCGCTGGGAACTCTCAGCTAGCAATGGCTTCTCTGTAGAGCAATGCCGGTTGTGTAATGACTATCAGTTTTGCCATTAAATAGCATGACTCTTCAGTTGAACTTGAGACTGAGTGGTGGTTACTGGTTGGGCTTTATGGTAATTCAATGCTTCCTTCCTCGTACGCCGCATGGCATGAGAAAAGTAGATGAAAAAAAGGTATTTAAACTTATGTAGATAAGATAGTTAGTACTTTAAATTAAATATAGTCATTTTATTTACAAGTTAATTTATTATGAAATAATGATAACAAGTGATAATAGAAAAATAATTTCACTTTACATTCAATATTTTCTTCTGAGCCAAAGTCCAAATGTTGAGCCAAAAAAAGTTGATGTGTTAAATTTTTTTCAATAAAAAGTTGATATGTGTTAAATTTTTTATTTTATTATTTTTATAATTAATAATTATAAATATATCAAAGATCTACATTTATCTAATTAATTTTAGACTTTTAGTGTGATACTTAAAAAATTAGATACAACAACTTAATCTATCTCAAACTATGATAAAAATTATCTCAAAAAATATTATAATGTCTTACAAAATCATATAACACAATTTTTATTATATACTAGGGTTAATAGTACTTTTAGTTTCTAAAATATGCATTTTATATCAATTTAATCCTCATTGTGTCAATTTTATTTATTTAAACCCTAAAGTATTCAATTTGTGACATTTTTGTCTTTACATAAATGAGTCGTTAAGTTTTTGATGGAGTGATTATGTGTTGGACACGTTATACCATTTTAAAAAATGACAAGTAATCACTTCAGCCAAAAAAATTGACTAATTATCTAATTAAGGAACAAAGTGACACGGATTGAATATTTTAAAGACTAAGAACATCTCTAATCCACAGGCTAAATCCATATTTTTAGCTATTTTGGCAAGGTTTTACTCCCAAAATATGCTCGAATCGGATAACTATGTTGCTCGCCTAAACCTTGGAGGCCCTTCATGCTCGCCAGATCTAGAGAAGGAAAAAAAGCTTGCCATCCTTCTTGCCACCTTTTTCTTCTTCATCTTTTTAGATTGCTACTGCCAAGCATCATCCCTCATTTCACATCCCCCATCCCTCCATCTTGCTGCTGAACCCCTACCCCCCACCACCCCAAGCCGTAGATCCCCCCATTTTGAAACCCTTTTTCGCCTCCCCATGCTGTAACCCACCCTCCCCCTCCCCCCATTTTCTGATTACTATTGAATTTTAGTTAAATATATGGTTAAATTGTTATTAATTTTTGGTTAAATTTATACAATGTATGGTTAAATTGCTATGATCACTTGATTTTTGTTGTTTGAAGTGGATGAGTGTTAAATTGTTATTAAGTTGTATTATCTGAAGTTTAATTATAATTATTGTTATGGTATGATTTTGATTGAGTTGATGATAGTACATGTTTTGAGTTGAATCACATGAATAATGTATGTTTTGTGTTAAATTCTAGGCATTTTCGAATTATATTATTGAAAGTTAGTTAAAATTAATTGAAGTAATTAATTAAAATAGAAAACATAGTTGGAGTGATCTTGTAAAAATAGTTAACCAAAATAAAAAAATGTAATATTTAAATATATTTCTACTAACCATTTTAGAGAGCTGGATTGAAATTGATAAATTTGGTACAATAAAGACTAAAAATACTATTAATCATATCTATTATCTATATATAGCCTCAATAGTTGTACAGTAGTGAAACTGCTCTAACTTCTCTCTAACTTTCTCTCTCTAAAAAACGAAAAGGAGAAGAAAGAAGCCAGAGGCTTCATCATCCATCTTTCACACCACCAAGGCAGATCTGCTACGAATGGACGAAGATCCACGAGATATGCAGAAAATCTTTGAAGAAGAGGAGGACCACTTAGAAAGAAGCACAAAGAAAGTTAAGGAACACCATGGGAATCTGGAAAATGTCGGAATGCTGATTGATTCAGGGGCCTCAATAGCCCAATAGTCCAAAGATCTGGTATTGCTGGAGAAACCCACTACTGAAGAAAGAAAACCACAGAGGAACTATAAGGAAACGCTTATGGAAGATGATAACACTATCTATTTTGACGTTGATAACTATGAAGAAGGCCCAGAGGAAATGGAGGAAGAATATCAGGATATGTCACCAGAAGAAAGTAACAGGCGCACTACGATTGATACATCGGATGAGTTGTGCCCTAGTATTAACCTTCCCCCCAAAATGCTCCAGAGAATCAGAAATAGATGGAAAAAGGGCCTACTGGTCAAGTAATCGGGGAAAAGCATCGGATACAAGGTTCTATGTATGAAGGTAAGAAATTTATGGAATCTCCAAGGTGACTTTGATGCCATTGATCTTGACAATGGATTCTTTTTGTTCAAATTTCATGTTAGGGAAGACTGCCACAGGGTTTTTACTGGTGGTCCATGGGTCATTATGAACCATTATCTTACAATTAGAAAATGGGAACCAGATTTCATACCATCGAGAGCAACAGAAATTGCTACTGCCCTCTAGTTAAGGTTACCAGAACTGCCTCTTGAATATTACGATGAAGCTATATTGTTCCAAATTGCAAAAACCCTAGGGAAACCAATCAAAGTGGACATTAAAACTACTACTGCAGAGAGAGGAAGATTCGCTAGAATATGTGTTGAGAAAGACCTGAATAAACCACTTATTTCTCATTATCGGCTAGGGGGAAGGCTATTCAAAGTGGAATATGAATGTATCCCTTCCATTTGTTTTGCCTGCGGTAGCATCGGCCACAAGGAGTTCCTCTGCTCCTATTCCACCGAGAAAAAACCACTAACGACTACAGAGGACCATTGTCAATTAGCTATTGACCCTCACATCACAGAGTCTGCAAGACCTGACACTGAGGAACGGTCGACTGCAAAATCGAATGTTGCAAATCAACCTCAAGATGATGACAAGAACTTTGGGCCTTGGATGATAGCCCAACCCAGAAGAAGAAGATTCCAGCAACAGGGAACAAGTAATGTAGCAAACCCAAATAAATTTAAGGCCCTAAAACTCATGTCTACTGACCCATTCGATCCCCATACCTAGTCTTAAGGCCTATTTCAGAATAGATCACAACTTAGAGGGAAAGAAGAGGAAACCCACCCTAGTAGAGGCCCAAGATTAGGTCATAGAAGACAACATGACCAAGCTGCAGAGAAAGATACAGCCCAAGGGAGGGCCCAGTCCTTTTGGAATGACCCAGTCAGCCCAATGGAAGACACTACCTTCTGGAATGACCCAGACATCTGTCTCCTTGAGCTTAGTGCAAAGATCCAACGTTGTGCAGAGGGCTTCGAAAGTTGCAGCAAATCCAAGGGCTTAATTATCTTCAGAATTTCACATGGCTTTTGAGACTGGAGCAAGTCCCCTCCTCCAAGGATCTCCAGACCTTTCTTCTCCTCACAATACAGTCTCTTTGGATGTGCTCAGGAAAACTACATTGGAGGACATCCACATGATACCGAAAACCCCTGACCAAGAACCCCTTGAGAGTATGCAGAATGGAGCAAATCCCCCTAAGGTACTTCAATCTGATCAACAATACCGTGGATCTTGTATTCAGAGCGAGAGAGGAAAACAAGTGGTTAGCTACTACCAACTGGGAGATCGGAGAGATTCTTTTAAGGATAGAACCTTGTTCTCTCAGAACCTCGACAAATAGACTAACTATAGTCTCTATGATGCCAACAGTCACGCTCATCAAGAGGAGAAACCAAGCCAGGATGGTGTTGGGTTTTAGCGACGATGTCCCCCTCCCCCCTTTTAATGATTCATTCTATGAAGATCTTGACATGGAACTGTAGAGGAGCAGGTAATGAAAGGTTCCGAAGGGTGTTCGGTGATTTGTTTAGAGCTCACATTCCAGATGTGGTGGCACTTATGGAAACCAAGGTCCATAGTTCTCATTTGGGTAATTTCTTTGAACAATTTGGTCTCATGAGATCAGAAAAAATTGAACCACAAGGAAGAGCTGGAGGCATTTGGCTCCTTTGGGATCCCTCAAACATCACGGTCCGTATGCAGGAAGCTATATCCCAAGCCATCCATGCTCATATAGCATGTATGGATTTCAACGAGTGGTTGCTTTTAGTGGTCTATGGAAGTCCAAACCCAACGAACAGGGATCAATTATGGGATAATCTAAGCAGCACTGAGGACAATTATAATCACTCCTGGTTGGTGGCAGGAGACCTGAACGAATTTGCTCACCAATCAGAGAGAAGAGGAAGATATTTGGATCAAGGCAATAGAACCAAAAAATTCAACGATAGAGTCAACTGATGTAGCTTAATCGACCTTGGATGTAGTGGACCAAGAATAACGTGGAACAACAAACGAAAAGGTTTGGCAAATACACAAATAAGACTGGATCGTGCATTGGCTAACATGGAATGGACTCTCCAATTTCCAGAAGCTACAGTCCGAAATCTACCGAGAACGTACTCTGACCATTGCCCTCTCCGCATCCAGACTAAAGGTAACCCCACAAGTTCTCCCTGTCTTTTACCTTTTAGACTTGAGGCTATGTGGTTAACTAAACCAGATTTTAGAAATGTTGTTGTTAACTCTTGGAACCAACCTAATCAGAATTTTACTATGGCAACCAAAATTTTTGAACATAATGCTAAAGAATAGAACAAAAACAATTTTGGTAACATATTTCAAAGGAAAAGAAGGGTTTTAGCTAGACTTGAAGGCATTCATAAAGCACAAGACAATTTCTACTCCCATAACTTAGAAAGATTGGAAGTCCAACTTCAAACTGAATACTATCATATCCTTGAGCAAGAGGAAACCATCTGGCACCAAAAATCTAGATCGAATTGGATAAAACTAGGTGATAGGAACACTAAATATTTTCATGTATCCACAATTGTGAGAAGGAAAAGGAACAAACCCCAATCTTTGAAAAATAACCAGGGAATTTGGGTTACAGGGAAAAATGAGATTGAAGAGGTAATCCAAGCTTTTTATAATAACCTTTTTGAGACCGAGAGCTTCAATCATGGTGACCCTAACCAGTACAGACTACAAGCTAAACTGAACCAAATGGATAAACAGATCCTTGAATCCCAGGTTACCAATTTTGAAATTAAAAAAGCTGCTTTTAGTACCAAATCTCACAAATCCCCAGGTCCTGATGGGCTTCAAGCTGTGTTTTACCAAAGATACTGGGATGCTATTGGGAGTTCGGTGTGTCATCAAATTAAAGATATCATAAGTAGAAAAGAGTGTCCGGGGGATATTAATAAAACTTGGATTGCTCTTATCCCAAAGATTGATAATCCCTCCCTACCTTCGCAATTTAGACCAATAAGCTTGTGCAATGTTAGCTACAAAATTATGTCTAAACTGATGGTCTCAAGACTTAGACCATTTCTTGATAAACTTATCTCTCCTTTCCAAAGCAGTTTCATTCCTGGGCGTCAGACCATTGATAATGTTATTGTCACCGAAGAAATTATTCACTCATTAAGGAAAAGAAAAGGTAAAAATAGAGGAATGGTTATTAAAATCGACCTTGAAAAAACTTATGATAGAGTAAGTTGGCCCTTTCTTCACTAAACGCTGATTGATTTTAATTTTCCCCTATCTTGGATTGACTTGATTATGAGTTGTGTAACAGGTTCTTCCTTCTCGATCTTATGGAATGGAAACCCCTTGGACCCTATCAACCCTAAAAGACGACTATGACAGGGTGACCCACTATCACCTTACTTATTTACTTTGTGTATGGAAAAATTATGGCAGATCATATAAAATAAAGTTGATAAAGGTTTATGGAGAGGCATCAAAACCTCTAGGAAAGGTCCTGTCATTACTCATCTTCTCTTTGCATATGACATTATCCTCTTCTCTAGGACTACGAAAAAAGATTGTGACATGGTTAAAGCTGTCTTGGAAGATTTCTGTTCTATCACAGGTCAAAAAGTGAGCATACCTACACCATTCAAACCTCTTGGTTACCTCATTCCATTTGTGATAAAATTGATAGGTTAAACAAGAACTTCCTTTAGGGGGATACTGATGAGAGAAAAAAGGTTCACTTGATTAACTGGGACATTGTCTGCTCCCCTAAGAAGTTTGGGAGACTGGGTTTGAGGAAATGTAGAGAGAACAACCTTGCCGTCCTTTCTAAACTGGGCTGGAAATTGCATTCTAAGTGTAAGTCACTATGGATTGAAGTTGTTAAAAATAACTATATGAATCCATCCTCGAAAGATTGGCCTTTTAAATCTAATGCCTCGACTATATGGAGAACCTTGTTAAAAACCAGTCACGTTGTGAAGGAGAATACTAAATGGCTTATTGGTAATGGTTCAAATGTCTCGATGTAGAATGATTGGTGGACAGGAGATAGCCCACTCCAAAACAGGATGCAGATTCCATCATCAACCGACCCCAATAGCACAGTGGTGGAGATCATATGCCCCGCAGGTAATTGGAATATCCAAAAAACAGGTATGTACTTGCCTCCTAATATTGTCTTTGATCTCCTGCACTATCCTCTACCTCTTGTTGGCTCCCAAGAAGACTCTCTTTCCTAGGGCCTAACAAGCAATGGGAAATTCTCTATTAAATCTGCTTATAACTGGATCTCTGGTCTCAATCTAAGCCAACAGCATGGTTCAAACTGGAATTGGCTTTGGAAGCTTGGGGTACCACAGAAAATTAAGCTCTTTCTGTGGTTGGTCCAAAGCGATAGACTCTTCTCAAACTCCTTGAGGTTCACAAGAAACCTCACAAATGATTCCTCTTGTGAGAGATATAGAGCTCATAATGAAAGCACAATTCATATTCTAAGAGACTGTCCAAAGGCTAGTCTGGTCTGCGGATCATTCCTCAACAGAATGGATCTCCATCTGGATCAATCTCTGGACCTCCATAATTGGCTCGTTAAAAATTATGAAGCTAGGAAGGATTTTTGTTGGAATGGAGTGAAATGGCCCATTCTTTTTGCTTCCCTTCTATGGAACATCTGGAAAGATAGGAATCAAGAATGCTTGGGTAACACAAAACCCCCCCCCCCCCACATATCATTGCCAAGAAAGTTTGGACTCTAATGATTCCCAAACCAGAGTTATCCCCACTCCCCCTAATCTTATTGGTTGGTCTTTTCCTCATGTAGGTTGGACGAAGATGAATGTGGATGGTAGCTCAAAAGGGAACCCTGGTCCAACCGCAATAGAGGGACTGCTTAGAAACGTCCAAGGAAAATGGCAGCTTGGTTTCTACTCAAAGCTCAAGAACTCCAAGAGCCTTCAAGCCGAATTGTGGGCTATCTACTAAGGCCTCAAAATTATACACTCAAAGAACCTTGAGAAGGTGATCGTCGAGACAGACTCCTTGGATGCCCTCAACCTAATAACCGTTAGGTTGGAGGATCCCCACCCCGAAAGGAACATCATTGTCAACTGCAAGCACATAATGAGGCTGACTAATACCCCCATTATTCACACACTAAGAGAAGGAAATTTTTGTGCTGACAAGTTGGCAAGTCTGGGAGGGCTTCAACAAGATTCTTTTGGTAATTTTGAATGTTCCACCGCCTGTGTTGGGACAGCTTCTTTTGAATGACCTTGCATGTATTTCTTTTGCCGGGGGTTTAAATAATCCCTTAGACTCTTTTTATGTATCAAAAAAAAAAAAAATATCTATTATCTATATATATAATATCAAAAAAACAAATTTTACATTGCCGCATACTTTTGGTACGAGTTATCCCAGTAATAATTAGTTTAAGAGATTAAATTTATAAGTCCTTTGGGTCCAATTGATTTTTTCCGTACTCCCAGCTGATTAGTTTAAAACGTCTTCATACGGTTAAAACCCTAAACCCCGTCACTGCCACCTGGAGACGCCACCATGCGCCATCTTCTAACTACCCTTCGCCACCAACAGTACCGGCGGTGTCTCTGCTACATCTCAATCCTCTTTCCCTCCCTCCGTTTGGTCCACTATAAGCCCCAAAAACCCCAACCACCTCCATCCCCACCCAAACCGCCAAAACCACCCCAAAAACCAGTTACCTTCACACTCCACAACGAGTCTTGGGAAGATCCATACAGTTGGATGTCCCAACTCAACGATAAAGTAGCCATGCGTCACATGGATGTCTACATGGAGCAAGAGGAGAAGTACACCGAGGCCGTCTTGTCCGACACCGAACGCCTCCAATCGAAGCTCCAATCTGAGATGGCCTCGCGTATGGCCTCGGACCTCTCCACCCCTCCCCTCCGTTGGGGCCCATGGTACACCTCTCTCCAATTCGAATCGATAATTTGTGTTGCGGTCCAGAATTCAAGAGTATGATGAATTTTGCTTCTGAAAGCAAGATATTTTATGAAAGAAAGATTTTGATTATGAATTTTAAAGCAAATTTTCTAGTTGAAAGGTGCTTTTGAAATGCCTCAAACTGGGACTTAAGAAAAAGTAGATATTTTGCTTTCCGAGAGCAAGAACTAGTCAATTTTTTTTTTTCTTTCGGTAGCCGAAATTTGTTACATATATTGTTTTGGGACAAGTGGAGTGTTCTTGAAATGCCAATCGAAATAGTGTTTAGCTGTGGATCTTGATTTGGCCTCTGAATGTTTGTTTTACTATTTGGAGGAGTATGTTTGTTGCCGCAGGTTGTACTATAGGCGGGTTGAAGAAGGCAAGCAATATCCTGTGCTATGTAGGAGATTAGCTAGCTTGAATGAAGAGTTCATTTCGAATAAATCTCCATCAACTGGGTTTGATTTTTCTTCCGGCAAGAGAATCGAGCACAAGCTGCTAGATTACAATCAAGAAGCCGAAAGATTTGGAGGTATCTCACTATTCTGGACTTTTGTTGATTTGATTTCAGTAACGATGATATTTATTTTGATTTATAGGTTATGCTTACGAGGAATTATCCGAGGTGTCTCCAGATCACAGATATCTTGCATACACTATGTATGATAAGGACAAAGATTATTTTAAATTATCTGTAAGGGATTTGAATTTTGGTTCATTGCTTGGTAAGCCTCAAGCTGATAGAGTTTCAAATTTGGCTTGGGCCAAGGATGGACAAGCACTGCTTTATGTCGTTACTGATCACAATAAGAGGCCTTGTAGGTTGGTAATTTGTTGAATTTCTTGTAACTTTATGTGTCTAAACACTGTTTGATGTAAAACCACACGTGTTTGTTTTTTGTTTAAATCAGGATATATTGTAGCTTGCTTGGGTCAAAGGAAGGAGATATATTGCTTTTGGAAGAGCCTCAAGATAATGTTCATGTAAACATAAGACACACCAAGGATTTTCGGTTTGTGACTGTAAATATGTTTTCCACTACATCTTCAAAGGTATTATTTATATTTTTTTTGTAGCCATGTTTATGTTATTCTTATTATTTGTTGAATCAACTTTTATACCTGTGAACATTTTCTAGGTGTTTGTAATAAATGCAGCTGATCCTTTGTCTGGCTTGACACTAGTGTGGGAATGTGAGGGACAAGCTCACTGCATAGTTGAGCATCATCAAGGGTATCTCTATCTCTTTACAGATGCTGCCAGAGAGAGCCAACCTGTTGATTACCATTATATTCTCCGTAGTCCCGTTGACTCTTCTTCCAGTCCAAGGAAGTGGGAGGTTAGACTGTGTCCGTTGTATTAAACAGATTATGTATATCCATAAAGGTGCTGCATATGCATTCACCTACATTTTTGAACTCATTTATTTAAGTGTGTATTTCTTGAGGCCTTACTGTCACATTTTGCTTCTGAGATTTCTTTGAAGTTTCAACCAGTGTGGTCTTCCTACTCTATTTGAATATTATACTTACTTTCTTATCTTGTTTCTTTAAGCGATCGTTTGCCTATCTCATTGACTGCAGAATGTATTTATTGATGACCAAGAATTTATTATTGAGGATGTTGATTTCAGTGACTCTTACTTGGTACTTATTGTAAGGGAAGGACAAAAGTTTAGACTGTGTTCAGTTGCTCTACCTCTGCCAAGTGGGAAGGTAATAAATTATTCTGTTGCTTATAATTTTGCGGTTGTGCTTCTGAAGATCAAATTTTTTAGGCTGGCAAAATCAAGATATTATTTCCCATAAAATGTCTTTATGTATATATATTCATATATCTTTTTTGTTTGTTCACCTGCTGTCTGTAATTTCTTATTGGATATGGGTAATGGACCCATAGTGGTTGTTTAAACATGAAATCATTTCTCAAATTGAGGTTCCATAGTCTCAAGCTTCTACTAGTATTGGAGAATGGCTAGGATGTTTTGGCTTTAGGAATGTAAGGTCTAATGCCAAGTCCTGATTTAAATATGAAGACTAACTCTTCCAGGGAAGTAGTAATTTTTAAAAGTTTACTTTTTCTCATGTGGATGATATTCCCAGATTTTGCTAATAATAACTGTTATCTTAAGATTTGTAATTTCTATTTTCCTTTGTCCTTTTTCCTCCTTTTTTTCCTTTCCTTTTTTTTCCCTACTTTGCTGAGTGAGTGATAACTATTCTCTTAGAATTCCTTCCTTGTTCTTGGGAAATGATACCATGTTTTGAGTTACAGAAACTTATAATACAGATCCTAACCTGAAATCTGGGCTTTGTGTTCATCATTAAACACTGGTATTGAGTTACAGGTTTTTCCATCAATATGATTGTATAGTGTGCCTGATTTTTTATATTGCTATTTTTTTGTTTGGTTCTTGTATGGACAGGGAGCAGTTCATCTCAAAGAACTTAATCCACATTTTCTTCCTCTTCCAAACTATGTTTCTCAAATCTCACCTGGACCAAATTATGACTTCTATTCCTCAACCATGCGCTTCACAATATCATCACCAGTGGTATGTGATTGATACGTGACTTCTTACTTTTGTGTATTGTTTTATATCCTGTGCTTATGCAGAGTAAATTTCCTTTTGTATCACTCAACAATCCGTTTACCATAGGTCTTTGTCCAAATTGATGAAGTCAATAGAAAGCGAACTTTGTTTAGTAGAGTTAATTTATGTTAGATGCATATCTATCTACCTACTTACATACCTGCACATAAACATATTTATATGCACAGAATGGGTCCACACACACACACACGCATCTTTTTAAGAACCCAGACATATACATAGAATTGGCACACTTTACGATTGATATTCTCTAAACTATTGACTTCTACTGTCCAATATATTTTCTGTAAACTACTTAGCAATATATGACTTGTTTTATATATATGCATACTCTACAAACTGGCCTGGATTGTGGTTTTAGTACTACCCTAAACATTGCAGGTTATTTTTTATGTATTGGGTATAAACTTTGTAGATTGTAGATAGTGTGCATGCATGTGTCGTCCCCACGTGGGACCCACCCAAACACGTCTCCATATAGGACCCACCCAAGCACGTGAGGTAGATTTGGCTCTGATATCACCTGTAACAACACGGTTGTGATATTGTCCGTTTTGGGTTGCCCTTACGGCTTTAAAACGCGTTACGGAAATTAAGACAGAGCTTTTACATATTTAGTGCAACAACATTCTCTAACCAGGCGATGTGGGACGTGTTCATGGATCAAGCACCTCACCAACATCCTCACCTCACCCTTTCCCAAGGCCTCTTGGACTGTTAGATACCTGGACTTTCGGCTGCTACACATAGTATAATTGTTTGGAGCTATGGTAAGAATGAAACATTTAGTCATTACTGCAGCAAAACATTTGAGTGATGAAATGATAAAAATTAAGAATGAATTTTTAATTTTTGTGCCTGAATCTTACATGGGTGTCACTTTAGTTCCTTCATGTTTGAAGAACAACCATAGAAGTTGATTGATATACACCTGATAAACTTGTTTCGCTATTGGGATTTTGAACAAAAAATGAGTTTTCATAGGGTTGCTTTTATGCGTCTTATGGCTTGGATCCCAGCCCTATATTTGCCCATTTGTGACTGTAATATTTGGACCTATTGCTTTCACGATAGGCTTTGCAAATCAATTCTTTGCTGAGTGATTGTCACATGTACTGAATGGAACTCTCACTGGCTTGATTTTGTTATCCATGGTGTGCCTGTTTGTTTGATTTTTAGGACCTTCAAGAATTTTCACAATGTGATAACATAGTTTGTGTACAAATTAGCTTCTTTGCTGGTGTTATGTTATTTCCTGAGATAATGTGTCATGTTGATTTTTTAGATTCTTTATAGTGCTTGATATCAGTTTTTTGTTCTTTTCTTTCTTTCTTCAGTTGGGGAATGTATCTTGTTGAAAACAACTTTCACACCTTTTTTTAAAAATCTTTTTCACTTTGCAGATGCCTGATGCTGTGGTTGATTATGACTTATCAAATGGAAAATGGAATATGATTCAGCAGCAAAATATACTTCATGAAAGAACACGAATTTTGTATGGATCAGGATCTTCTGCTGGAACCAACATGAAGTCATTGAATTTGGACTCTATAGGTGAAGTCAGTTTTGAAGATGATCACTTGTGGAATGAACTCTCTGAATTTTATGCTTGTGAACATTATGATATCTCTGCTTCTGATGAGGCGGTGGTTCCTTTGACCATTGTATATTCCCGCAAAAGGAAGAAAGAAGCTCAAAATCCTGGATTACTTCATGGGCATGGAGCTTATAGTGAATTACTTGACAAGCGGTGGCGCAGTGAGTTAAAAAGCCTTCTTGACCGTGGTTGGGTTGTTGCATATGCTGATGTTAGGTTTGTTTTTACTTGAACCTTTTTCAAGTTATATTAATTAAAACAATTGCTTTTTCTTTGTATTGTTACAGTCTAGTTTTGGTTAAAGAAATTTGGATCCTATAATTGATCAAATGCTGAATAAATTTATCATTTTAGTAGAATTATCAATTTGGCTACTACTTAACTATGATTGTTTGGACGGTCCAACTCTCAGAGGTGGGGGTGGTGGGGGTAAAAAGTGGCATCATGATGGCAGACGTACAAAAAAGCATAATTCTATCGATGATTATATCTCCTGTGCCAAATTTCTAATTGAGAGGGAGATTGTGCAAGAAAACAAGCTTGCTGGTTGGGGATACAGTGCTGGAGGACTTTTGGTTGCTTCAGCCATTAATTCTTGTCCAGAGTTATTTCGTGCTGCTGTTCTGAAGGTTTGTTTGAAACTTCATTCCTGGCTTAAAATTTTGCTTGCTTCTTCATGATGCCTAGTTTATTCCTGGCTTAAAATTGATCAAATGCTGTCAAAGTCTTGGATGTACTTAATTTCATACATATGTTTTCTTTCAAATGTTTTGAGATTGTGAAACTTTTTTCCTGTATTGGGCCGTAGTTTGTTTGTTACAGCTTGGTTGTTATTTTCTTTAGGTTCCATTTCTAGATCCGAGCAACACACTTTGCTATCCCATTTTACCTCTTACACCTGTTGACTATGAAGAGTTTGGTTACCCTGGTGATATTGAAGATTTTCAGGCTATAAGGAAATACTCTCCCTACGATAATATCCAGAAGGATATTCTTTATCCAGCTGTTTTGGTAACCTCATCGTTTAATACAAGGTAAGTTGCCTCCATTTTAACTTTCTTTTTTGCTGATTTGTAGCAAATTATTTGTCTTTTGGAATAATGAGGATATGATGGGATCTTTATCTAATAAGACAGTGCAAACGGAAAGATGCAGGAGATGAGTTGGCGTGAAGTATTTAGAAAAGCAGCCGTATATAGAATGTGATGTGGAGTTTGAATGGCAGAATCTCGATGATTTTTAGGCTATACAGAAATATTCTGCCCATGCTAACATGTGGTTTGATGCCAATTAGCTACATGTTTTTGTAACTAGTTATTTCTACCTTGTTGGATTTTCTTTTGAAATGCACAAATTTGAATTGGGGAACGATGAGGAAACAATGACCAGTGTAGTTAAGAGAAGCAACTAAAAGAGGATGGGAGAAGTTTGCAGAGAGGAAATATAAGGGAAGGAAGCTGTTGCTATGGGTTCATGGAGTTATACAGATGGTATTCGGAACGCAGGCCATTGCATTAGTGGTTTCATGCCTTTTGTGTGATCAATTATCCAGTCTTAATAATTCATGTGACCCCTTTGTGGCATTGTTAACATTAGCTATTCGACATGATTTCATTATGCTGACAGTTATGTTAGGTGTGCAATCTTATGTATCATAAACTGAAAACTTTCTAATTCATGATAGATCAAGCACCGTGCTTTAAATTGCAGAAAATACAAGGACGGAGGTTATGCTATCCATTAGTATTTATCTGTAGAAGTGCTAATGTAGATACAGGTGACACATATATGTAGTGGCTAATGCAATTAAATAAGCATTCTAATCACAGGCCTGACATGTGAAAGCGCATAATAGTATCTTGATTGATAATTGCAAAAAATTGGGAAGTCTTTTCTTCTCATTACTTTGGATATATATAGTCAAATTTTTGTTTGTTAAATATCGTGTATTTATAATCAATTTGTGCTGTTGTGTGTGTCCAGTCGCTGTAGTAAACACATCTTTTACTTTCCACAGTTCTATCAAGTATATCAGCATCCATTCACCATCATCGTAAATTTATGTTTACAGGTTTGGAGTTTGGGAAGCAGCAAAATGGGTTGCACGTGTACGTGAGCGTTCTGTTTATGATCCTAAACGGCCAGTATTGCTCAATTTAACCACAGATATAGTGGAGGAAAACAGATATTTGCAGTGCAAAGAGTCGGCACTTGAGACTGCTTTTCTCATTAAGGTCATGGAATTTTAGATATGCACTTTGCAGGCCAAGCTATACCTGTATACATTGATCCAAGCAATCTATAGAAGTGTCTGATGATGTAAATATGCAATCACGGAGGAAAATTTTTGTTCGAACAGATGAGGAATCTTCTTTGTGGAGTGTGAATGCTTTCTACCCTTCTGGAGCGCGCTATATTTGCTTCTACAGACCTCAGTTCTCGGTTGCTGGATGCTTTCTTCAGTCCTTGAGGTCGTAGTTTTGTTTTCTGTACATGTCAATGTAACTCACTGCTTACCAAAAAACTGCCATTTTTGGCCAAGAAGAGGTTCTTACAACCTCATCTAAAGATATGTAATAAATTCTTATGTTCAGAACCTTTTCGATACAATATATGAAAAATACTTCTTGATATTGATGATCAGGATGGGCAAATCCAAGAATCTAACCAGCACGTATACTTCCCTTTAGAAAACAGCTTCCCCACAAAGACTTGCCAACAACTTTACATCTTCACTTCAATTTTTTGTGGGAATGATCCAATCAGGCTTACCTATAAGGCATAATTTGATCCCAAAAATTTTGAATTAAAATTATGGTCCAAATAATTATAAACACTTCAATTCCAAATAAGGGATTATTTAAATTTTGTCACATCAATTGAGCTACAAATTAAGTCCTAATTATGGTCAATTATTATATTAGTTCTTTTTCTTTTTTTTTTTAATAACTGGACAACTTTGATCTATTTCCAACAAGAAGAGATGTACTTACGTCGCTCAAGCACGTGAGTCTGTGTAGAACAAATACAAATCTTAAGTGTATGAACTGATTCTTCAATTTATACACAAATTAAATCAGGATTTGTATTTTGATGGAGATTCAAACTCATACAAAAATTTTGGATACGGTTCATCTAAACAAGGAAGATTCGTTCTACCAATAAAACAAGTTTTTTGTTTTGACATGAAAAAAATAAAACTTTTATAAAATAAATAATATAATTGGACCACAAGCGCGTTGGTTATTGACCCATATTTGGTAGAACATACTAATTTGCAACAGAAAATTGAAAGGTCAAGAACAAACGGACAAAGAGGAATCAAAATGGAGAAGAAAAGGCCAAAAGCAAAATTGCAAATAGAAGTCGTAAATTGAGGAGAGAGAAGGGCGCACACTTACGAGTAAATACTGTCTGCCCATAATTGGCAACCCAATATGCACACTACACAGCAAACCGGAGAAAACACACACAGACATTGCGTGTGTTTGAACAGCAACCACAAGTTAGGTTAAATGAAAGCGACGCATCAGACTATGACTGTACCGGCGGCACTGAGACAGGCTTGGCATGGCCTACGGCGTTGCACAACTGCACCAGTGACAGCCGTGGGCGTGCCCATCAGAATCCCCGCAAATCTCCGGCCGATTGATTGACAACATACAGGTGTCAAAATCTTATCTGCTTTTAGTTTATCGTATCATCAATAATTTTTCTCAATTTTTTGAATTTTTACTGATATCTTATGTTAGATTAAAGGTGTTAAGTAGAATATAATATTACTAAATTGCTCGTAATATATTTTTAAAATAAATTTATTCATATCCCTTCTAGATATGCATATCTTCAATAAAATCCATTTGTTTTCTAAATTTTTTTATATATTAAAATTTGATTTAAACTAATTAAAATTTATTTTTTACGTATTAAAATTAAATTTGATTAAAAATTATATTTTTTTATATATTAAAATTTTAACTGGTTAAAATTTAATTTGACCCAATAAAAATATAAAGTTTAATTTGTGAGAATTCTAATAAATAAAAAAATAAATTTTAATTGACTCGAAGTAAATTTTAATTGGAGCTAATAGTTTAGATAGATCTCAAATCTCTCGAATTTTAATACGTATAAATAAATTTTAATAAGCTCAAATTTTAATACATAAAAAATTAAAATTTTATTAGCTCGAATCGAATTTTAATCAACTTAAATTTTAATATCTAGATAAATGAATTTTAATCGGTTCAAATTTTTAAAAAAACTTATGTAGAAATATTGTGTAGGCACAATTTTGATATTTTAAATAATTTTTTGGTTAAAAATGATAGTTTAACGGTAGAGAGTATCAATAATATTTAAATATAAACTAGAAAGGGTATCAATAATATTTCAAATAATAAAAAAGATGTCCTTCAAGATATAGTAAATTAGAAATGGTATGTCTGAAATTTTCTCTAAAAAATATTTGAATGCAGTTTTATTTTTTTGTTGAAAGTTCAAACAATTTTTTTTTATATTTTATTCAGAATTTAGTTGTTAATATTCTGATACATCAAGACAGAACTAATAAGTATTTATTTACGGTTTAGCTGACTTGCACTGATAGATCCTATTATATTGGAATTATGTGCCCATCTTTTAACTATTGTTAATGTTGGATTCTACTTTATGTTATAACATTTATGTGAATGTTATTATAGTCTAAGTGGTCGTATTTTATTTTGTGTCCTATGTTGGGAAGCATTACTCTTGGTAGGGTGGATATAGTAAAAGTAGCCTTTATATTTTATAATTAGAAGTTTTAAAGGGGTGAAAAAAATATTTATTGGATAAAAATAAGAATATGTCCACCCAATTGATTTTTTTTTTTTTTTGGAGGAAGAGGAGAGAGGAGATGACTTTAAGAAGACGAAACCTTCACAAGATAAGAAATATTATTAGACTAAAGGACCGTTGGTTCAGTTATGGAGATTCAATTTGCTCGTTTAGTTATTAAATAATTATACTACATAATAATATTAAATTAATATTATTAAGATATAATTTATTGATCTAATTTATTGTGATTTTTAAATTAATTATAAGTTCCATCAAATATTAAAATTTAATATTAATTTAATAATTTTTATAAAATTATATCATTGTATTAACAAATTAGATTATTTTTTTTTGATATAAATAAAATTACTCATAATATTAATGTGTTAAAATTAAGAATTATATTATTTGAACTTAAAAATGTAGGAAATAGATCAATCTAATAATTGCACCCCCACGCTAATCCGACAGAGTATTATTCTGTCTGTACTACATTTGACCGAAATTCTTTCAATCCATCAATCAATCAACCAGTCTCCAACTCTCTATCCCTGATTCTTTTTCCATGTTCTTACAGGCTCACCGTGATGGTTTACATATTGTTACTTAGTTACGAAGATATTTAGTCGAGCATATCTAAGTAACTCTCATATCTTGTACCTCTCGTTACTTAAATCACTAAAAATTTTTATCTTGCTTGTATTTTTTTTTATTTATTTTATTACTGTATTTATTATTATTTATTTAACAAATAATACATAATGTCAATCAATAATATTATGTTGTTTAAATTTTAGGACTAAATTTACAGTTTAAATGATATGACAATATATTTTTTAAATTTTTTATTAAAATTCAAATTATATAACACAAAATAAAATAATTCAAATTAATCCAGGCCAATTTATGCATTATCGATCTGCATACTAAGTCATTCTCGTTTAAAAAAAAAAAGTGAGATATTGTACTGATACAGTAGTACACACAGTGGGCAACAAAGAACCCACCCCCCCAAACAACGCCACCCCACTCCACGCCATATAGGAAGGCCGACCCCAAACAAAGCCTGTTGTCTAGCCGACTGAAAATGTCGACCTCTTAACAGAAACTCTGTTAAAGCTGTTCACTCTCGCCACATAAGCATCAGAACTTCTCAGACGCTGTTTCAGTACACACAATCCTCTCTCTCTCTCTCTCTCAGAGACCACCCATAAAACCCCTCCTCTGTACCTCCAAGGCCATCATCTTCATTCTCCACCAGCCTGTGTCTTCCGCCCATTAAACCAACAGTTGTCAACGACTGATCAAACACCAGAGAGAGTTCAAAACTGGCAAAAATGCTGTCAGAATCCGGCGAGAGACGACCCACGAAACCGCAACAAGGGGGTGCACCACCAACAGAACCGGAACACCTCCCATGCCCACGCTGTGACTCTAGTAACACAAAGTTCTGCTACTACAACAACTACAACTCCTCTCAGCCTCGCCACTTCTGCAAGACCTGCCGGAGATACTGGACACAGGGTGGGACACTCCGCGACATCCCTGTCGGCGGTGGAAGCCGCAAGAATGCCAAACGTTCTCGCACCATCACCTCTGTCGCTACCTTCACTCAGGACAACAGGCACGTGATTGGCACCGCCGCTCCCCTTTTGGTCCCTCTTGCCGCCGAGCACGGTGGTGCCGTACCATTTGTAGGGGATGCTAAGCAGCCAAGTTTGAATTTTTGTGGAAGTTTTACTTCACTGTTGAATAACCAGGGGCCGGGAATGTTGGCACTGGGTCTCGGGGGGTTTGGGCTTGGGCTTGGGTTTGGGTCTGGGTTTGAGGATTTGAGCTTTGGAGTTGGAAGGGCTGTTTGGCCTCTCCCGGGGGTTGGACTAGGAGATGGTGGCGCTACTGGTGGTGGTGGAGATAATGGTAGTGTTGTGGGGAATCCATGGCAGCTGGAGGGTGGAGACGGTGGCTATGGTGGTGGCGATTGCTTTCCTGTGTCGGATCTTGTCATTTCCACACCCGGAAATTGTATGAAATGACATGTTGTATTGGATTACTCTTGACATTAAGAACATAGTGTGTTTTGTGGTTTAAGATTTGCATGTTAGAATGTTTATTTTGCTATGCAAAATCGATAGACTGTATCACCTTTGAATATCCAGGATGTGAATCTTAATGCATATTCTTTCTTTCATTAGTTTATGGAATTTCATTTTTTGTCGGTTGTAATCAAAACTCCTTTAAGTGTGCTTAGTTGAGAATAACAATAAGATGAGTGATCGTCTTGAAAGTCTTTGTGTTGCACTCGTTTTTAAAAATAGAAACAACTTTTATATTTACAAGGGTAATGTTGTGAATATCTACCTTATAACCTCATGTATTAGATACGTCCTAGAGAAGGGTATTAAGAATTAAATGTTTCCTTTGTACAATAAGAATTTCAAACTAGCTTATATGATTTTCTGGTGTGGATTTTGCCTTGGGACTCCAGAGTAAATTTAATTGGAGCAATGATCAAAATCATTCAGCATTGTATCCGGGCTAGACTAGATAAAATCCTTTTGATGGGGATTGCCCGTTTCTGCATAAAAGTTGTTCTCACAGTAACAGGCGTGGTATGTTTTTCTGGTCCAATGTAACAGGATAACCATTGCCCTGCAAAACAAAAGTCTTTTTTATTTTGTAAACTATCTAGATATTTCTGGTTGTTGAACAAGAAAAAAAGACCCTTTTTAGTTTGAACCTTTGGTTTGCGTCTGAGGTAGTTGATTCTTACTATAGTTTTAATCATGAAGAATGATTAATGTGATATGGTTTATTAATAAGTTTTAAACTGTTCCAATCTCACCCCATATTTCAACATGCCTATAACTAAGGGTGCTTTAATGATTGCTTAAGAACACAATAATATGTTGCAGATTGATAGAGACGAACAAGAACGGAGTCAGGATTTGAGCCAGGGGCATTCTTTTGGGTGATTAAGAAGATTTACTTGCATTGGGAGGGAATTCCATTCAACTTCTCCCTCTCCCCATGCTTGTAATGTCATCTTGATGTCCTTATACAACCTTTTCGAAAGTAAAAGCTGGTGTTACACCTGATGTGTTGTCATACAATTATTCTTTTGCTTGGACTTCTCAATCTCACCCCCTCTCTGTCTCAGGCTTGCTTTAATGAACAGAGACAGAGAGAGAGGCCTTACGCATCACTGCACAAAACAATAATCTCTGGTTACTGAAAGCATATTGCCCTCCCCTTGTCGCCCCTGTCCCATACCTGTGTTTATATCAGTGATGTGAAAGAACATATACTTCCATTCTTCTCAAGTATTGGATGATAATTCTGTGAATAACCAAGGCCTGTCCAATTAAAACCACTTAGGATTTCAAATAGTGGTTCTGATACTATATATTGGGTTTCGCACGCGAATTTACTTTTGTCTAATTTTTTAGGAGCAAAGCCTTTTTTTTTTTACTCCTATTGATAGATCAAGGTTCTTCTCGTAGTCGTTTCAGTGACTCGTGGGACTTCCCTCAACTCAGTCTTTTTGGTTATTGAGAATGATCGCCACCTCTTCCAAGACCCTAATGATTATTCTTACCCCATGGATCTATATCCATCTCTGAATGTCATCGGGCTAATACTATTAATTTTCTCATCATTCTCATAACTATGACTTGTCACTATTCACTACTCATCTTTAAATCTCAAACTCCGATAACTTTTTAATCTCTTTACACTCTGGTCAAAAAATAAACACAGGAGGATATCATAACCTTTTTATTAAATTGGGGAAGTGTTTAAAAAAAATAAATTTAGGGAAGTGAAAAAGAAAATTAACCAGAGGGAGGTGAACCGACAAAATCCAGCAGAAGAACCTTTTTCTTCTTTCTGGGTCGTCACCGGAAGGCATGATGGGCCTATGAGCCCCATGCTTTTTTGGGCTTTGATATGGGCCTAAGAAAGTTGACTTTCTGGAAGAACTGAGGGGGAAAAAAAAGGGGGGGGGGGGGGCGGTTTTTTTTTTTTTTCCCCCTGCTGTTCCCGCTCCTCTGTCTGATCTAGGGTTTTTAGAGCCAGGGTTTTTCGAAGTTGTCTTCTTCTATACTTAGATTTCGGTTCAAATTCTGGCCGCCAAATTTGGGGAAAATATTGAAGAAGTTTCAACATGAGCCCTAATTCCCAACTAGAATCAACTACAATGAAATAGCATAACGATTATTTGAAAATGGCGTTCTCGTTTACGCCACAGCAACAACCACAACCACAACAGTCACCGTTCCGACTTCAGCCCCAACAGCAATCTCCTTTTTCACAGATCAGTCCGTTCTCTCAGCCCCAACCACTACAGCAACCGCAGTTACAGCAATATCAACAACAACAGCAGCAGCAATTTCAACAACAACAGCAGCAGCAATTTCAACAACAGCAACAACAACAGCAACATCAGCTTTATCTTTTCACAAACGATAAAGCTCCGGCGACTTACAGCACCAAATGGGCCGATCTCCATCCCGACTCTCAGAAACTGCTCCTGCAAATCGAGTACATTTTAATTGCCTTTTTTTCACCTATTTATTGGTCAAATTTAGCTGTTATTGTTAACTAGAGTACGCGTTAGCTGAATTTATTTTTATTTTTATTTTCGTGGGGTTTTTGCATAGGGAGAGAATTCTGGGGTATAGAGACGAAAGCCAGCGGTTGGATCAGAGTAGCCGGCTCTATGATTCCTCGGTCTCCAATGATGTGTTCGAGTTTGATGCGAGCCACATTGTTCAGGTATAGTTCATCGGTGTATATGTACTACGTGGTTTCACATTCTTGATCTATTTGTTTTAGTTGCCGTGCTTGTATGCATGTGAACTCGAGTATGACTATGGAAGTGGTGAGGATTAGAGACTTTTGGTTCTCATTTTTGGTGACCTTATGGTATGGATGAGTTATATTGTGAAGAAAAGTATTAATTAGGACTAGTAGTTGAGTCTTAGTTAGATAAAGTTTGTTTCCTTCTGGAATTTGTTCTTCTTAGTTAAGTATGTTGGTGGGGAGAATGGCTCTAATTTGTGATTTTCTACTACACACTTGTTAACTTAAAATGGTGATGGTCCCATGTGTGATTGATATAAGGCATGGCTTTACTCATATGCCCTCTAACGTGTTATCTAGTAGTCAAATTCTGATTTTGATCTAAATCAAATTGTAGAAATGCAGCAGACCTTCATAGACAAATATTCAAGTAAAGAAGTGCTGACTTTGCTCTTTAGCTCTTCTTGCTGGATCTGAAAAATCAAATGTTGTGAAAGGTTTCACATTAGGTGCTTATCAGTGTGTTTAATATTTGATCCTTGTGAAAGGGTCATACACTTCATGCTTACTTGTTCTCTGCTGTCCAATGTTAATCCTTGTATAGACTGATTATGCTTTGTTTATTGGTAACAAGGAACTCTCCAAGTAGGGCCACTTTGGACCCTTCCGAGCAAGGGAACCCTGGATACTTACAATCACCCAAAAATCGCAAGTATTGGGTAAGCTGGGGAGACACCAGCGAGATTGAACCCCGGACATTCGAGTCTACGGTTGTCCCTGGCCAACCCTGCACTGCTGGGCTGCCCGTACGGAAGACTGGTTATGCTTATTATAGAAGCTTTAGTTAGAGCCTTTCTCCAGATAGTTAAACCTATGCTGGTGAGGCTGTCACCTGCAACGATTCTAAAGTTCAGACGTGTACAAATGGCTGATGGAATCAGCTCCAACCTTGTGTGCTTGGATGATTTGCTGAGCTTGGGGGATATCATGTTTCATCCAATCTCTAACAGAGTTTCGACTCAGGAAAACTTATACAGGATGAATTACTTAAGTTGCTTCGGCAATCCAGTACATTTACCTCATTGTTTGCCTAAACCAACAATTTAACACCATTACCTATTGTAATCAAGAAAACTTGGTTGCAGCTAGTGAACTTTTTTTTCAAAATTTTCGAGTTTGTTGCATTGGTGCTGTAGTTGAGATACTATACTTCCCGTTACAAGTTTTTTCCCATACTTCTGAATCTTGTTGCATGATAGTTAATATTTTTACAGGAACTTGGTGGAATTAGTACTGCAGTGGATCGGCAAAAGGCTCTTCTGCAAGAGTTAATGGCTAATGTGAAAGATATGCTACGCAACACAGAAGTTGCTGTTCGTTCTTTCATGATGTTACGCCCAAGGTTTCATCATCCAAATGCTGCTGCTGTGTCCAATGCCACTGCATCATCACAGGCTTCAGGAGCAATAGTGCCTCCAAGTGCAAGTAGTCAACCAAGTGCTGCCACTATAGTTCCAGTTTTTGATTTCTATAGTGGGATTCCTAGGAAACCATCTCCTTTTCTGCAGCAAACAGTTGCCAGGTTTGAGAAGTATCTTGGTGAGTGTCGCCAATGGATTGAAGAGTTAGAGCAATTGCTCCTTTTAGATTCTGACAGGAATTCTGTCAACTCCAGCTCCTCATTATTGCAGTCGCTTCCCAAAGTCATGTCAAATGTGCATGACTTTTTTGTTCACGTGGCAGCAAAGGTAAGGGAAACTGTATTTTTTTAGAACATATATGAAGCTGATTTATAGAATGTTAAAACCTTTCATGATGCTTATTGAACCAGATAGCAACTTCGTAGGTTGTATTCAACAGACAAATAGGGAACTGGTTTTCCCATTATTATGGTATCTGGGGCATTTTGGCTGAGAAATTATCAGCCTCTCTTCTTCTTCCTTCCTCACCCTCTTATAATTTGGGGAGCAAAGGTTGGGTATATGTCCCCTGTTCAATACATAATGTATATCAATGAAATAACCATAGGAGAGCATGGAAATCTTCTGGAATGTTTCCTAATCTACATTCTGGAAATGCCAAATGATGTATTTGACAACTGCAAATGTGTCAATATGACAAGTCTCTGATTATTTAGGACTGGTGCTCATGTTCTGTGACTTATTAAAAAATGTAATTGATATATGGCCTTGTGCTGTCTAGGTGGAGAGCATTCATCAACACATTGAATCCATGAAAACAGCATACCTTGCTGACCAGCGCCGTCGTGGAGAAGGGAACGATCCCTTTCTTGAGGCCAATAGACGGGAAACGGCCAAACAAGAAGCCGCTGATCGGAGGGTACATCCAACTTTGCATTTGCCCGCAATCTCGCAACCATCGAGTCAAGTTCCTGGCACGTTTGCCAGCTCGGCAACACCTGTGGCATCAACTGTGTCACACACATCTGCTGCAGTTCTACCGGCTTCATCAGGGACTGGGTTGTCACTTTTTGGTACTCCATCCGCTTCCACATCATCATCTTCTCTGTTCTCAACTCCCACCACTTCTGCTCCAGTGTCCTTATTTGGCTCATCTGGTGCTTCTCCACAAACTTCACTTTTTGGTTCCTTGTCCACTTCAAATCCTGCCTTTGGTAGTACTGCCCCATTATTTGGTTCAGCCCTTTCTGCTGGAGTTTCAACATTTGCAACGCCATTTGCTTCAGGTACCTTCCTAATATTAGTTCTTCATAAGCATCAGACTGCTGCTACCTGATATATAGATGCTATTGTTAACTAACAGAGCTATTTTTGTGGTTTATTCAAATTTTACTTCTCTCTCTTTTAAACCAGATATTGTTTTGTTCGTTAGTTATATAGTTTTAACACTCGGCCCGGACATCAACCTGGGAAAGGGACCGGGTTAGTGGGTCAATGGTTGAACCGGTAATTTAATAAAAAAATAAATAAAAATTATTATTAATAATAAATATACTTAAAAATCACAAAATTTTTTTGGGTAAGTAAACATTGTATTGATATGCTATGCAAGTTTACAAGCCAAAAGCTGTTACAAAAAAAACAACACTAAGGATGGTGCTCAAAAAACAAAAGAGCCAATCTAGAAGGAGCACTGGTTGCTTGGTCAGTGCTACTACAGATTGAGCTCATACAATGTACAAGAAAGGTAACTCCCAACCATCAACAACTCAGGTAGGAGAGGAAAGAAAGGGAAAAAAACAGAAGTAGCAAGGCTCAGTGTTTTGAAAAGCTCGCCTAGGCGAGAAGTAAGGCGAGGCGAGCTTATCTTGCTTGGAGGACCCCAGGCGAAGCAAACGTGAGCGAAGCGAGAAAAAATCGAAAAAAAGCGAACGCTTTATTATAAGAGGTGATTCTGTTTCCTTTTTTTTTTTTTCCTAATTACAGGTTAGTAGTCTCTTTTATTTTTTAATCACTAATGACTTTTTTTTTAAACTATCGGTGGTCTATTTTTTTTTCTAATAAACAATGTTTCGAACAAAACACATTCATTTTTTTTTCCTTGTGTTGTTGAATTCATTTAAAATATTTGTGGGATGTGGGAGTCAGGCGATTGCATGACAAAATTATGATAAAGAAAGGAAGCAGGAGTATCAGGAATGGGGGTAAATAATAGAGTCTTCTAGAAATAAGTGTCTCTGATATGTCTTGGTTATACTTTTCCTTTTTCTTATATATATACAAATGGTACCAAAAAGTGGTCTATACTTATATCATGTTTAATTATTTTAGTACATGTGAAATGTGCCTCTGTTTTGCTTTTTTTATTCAGTACATAATTACATATGAAATTGTTTACAATTGATTCTGCTCCTGTCATGATCATTGTGCTTCTGTTTTTTTTTTTAGCTCATTTTGCTTCTATTTTTTTTTTGTTGATTCTGTTGCTGCTTCGGTTTTGCTGTCCTGTGCTGTTTCTGTTTTTTTTTATCCTCATTCTACTTCTTTTTTTGTTGTTGCTGATTTTGCTGCTGTCTTGATTCTGCTTCTTTTGTTGCCCTACCCTGTCAATATGAAAATGTATACAATTGTTAGTATTTGTTTGAATTTAAATGTTTAAGTTATGACTGTTATTAAGATTTGAGATATTATTAGTGTTTGTTTTTAATTTAAATGTTTATGGTTTTACTTGCATTTAAATATTTAATATATATAAAATTAGAATTTAGATTGTTTAGAAGTAATTAAACTAAAATATATATTTTTTTTTAAATGTTCGCTTTGCTTCGATAAAGCGTGTCGCTTCGCTTCTCGCTTCTCGCCTAGACGTTAGGAGCCTTGGTCGCTTCGGTTCGCTTTACGCCTTAAATAACACTGGCAAGGCTCAGCTTCAAAGTCCTCCCATTCCACACTTAAGAATCACTAAGAATGTGAGAATGCAGGACTGCTCGCCAAAACCCAGATGTAACAGGGCAGTCAAAAAATAAATGCTTGTGGCTTCTTCCACACTTCCGTTTATGAAGACAAAAGAAGCTCATAATCTAACAAAAATCCCACAATCACCAAATAGATTATCAATCAAATAGATAAATCAGTAACAATTAAGCCAAAATTCATGCTCAATTAGGCAGTAAGAGTTCGCCCTCCACCCAACTCTTAGAGCATCTCCAAGAGGGCTATCTAAAATAGTTACTCAAAATATATTTAAATATTGTATTATCTACTTTAGCTAACCACTTTTTCAAACTCACTCTAACAACGCTATTTATTTTAGTTAACCACTTCAACTAACTTTAACTAACTTTCAATAATAAAATTTAAAATAATATTTAGTATGTCATGTCATTACCATATTGATGACATCACATGTTGACGTGTTACGTCACATCATCAAAATTTTAAAATTTTAAAATTTTAATTTTTATTAATAACGGTCATATTTACAACGGTCACGAAATTCAAAATTTAAAAATTTGAGTTTTTTAACGGTTATATTTGAAGTACGCACCATGTTGGAATGGATCCATGTGTAATGCCTATAAGATGAGATAAGCAATGGTCAACTCCTACTGAGCTACCAAGTTACTTAACAAAATTCTAATCTGTTCCATACCAAATAAATATCCACCAGGCTAATTCTAGAACAAGAAAAAATATTGCAAGCCCTCATCTTTGAATTTTCATGGGAAAGACTAATTCAATGAAACAAAATCTTGAATATCATCTTAACAATATTGAATCATAATTGAAACAATTAAATTGTTGGTATCAATCTAAATCAGAATTGAAACAATCTAAATCTTGAATATCATCTTAACAATTTTGAAACCAACAATTTGATTATAATGATTATTGTATCTAAATTGGTATCACCAAGTTCTATCAATGTGTAAAGAAAATGAAACTTAAGAACGATAACTACTAAAAGTGAACTGGGTATCAACAAAATGATCAAGTTACCTGCTCAAATTAGATCAATCTGTAGAAACATTCGTTTATGGAGAAAAGGACCTCATAGCCTTCACCGTCGGGACACTTGAAGTGAATTAATTTAAGACCTTATAACAAGAAAGTAATTAATTTAAAACCAACCAAATCAATAATCAAGATGCTTGAAACTCTGTTGTGGGTAGAACACCAAGAAATCAAGATGCTTGAAACTCTATTGTTTTTGCAAGTTTTTACTGACCCTTTTGATAAAATCACAAATCTTCTTGATAACCAGATGATGCAATTTGAGTTGTGACATTCTCATGTTTAAAAAAAAATACATTACATAAATTTCTCATACCAAAACCAAGCTCTTATATAGACCATCCATTAAAAAATGTTCAAAAAGAACTGATAAAACCCAAGTTTTGAAATCAAAATCTATTCCATTCAATTCTCAGAATCAAGAAGATATGAACTTGGGAAAAGGGAGTATGGCACTGTTTTTGTCAAGTTCTAAAATGTATTTACTAAGAGATGCACTTAGTTCTTACCAAATTTTTATCTAATTTCCAACACTAACAAAACAAGAAAATCAAAAACAACACAGAGAATGACAAATATCACAAGCCCAAAAGAAAGAAAAAAAATCCCAAATTTAGCAAGAACATGTCTTGAACTAGTTTGTTTTGAGCTAATAAACATCAAATCCATGATGAACCGAGAAAGCTCAATTTTGAGCTAATAAACACAATCCCTCCAGCATATGTAATGCTTTTGCAACAACCTAATCCATAGTGAATAATGATCAAAATATACATACCCAGCTTTTAGAACAATGCCACATGCAAAATTGAATAAGTGAACAATGCTAGACATACCAATACCCAAGTAAACCAATACCCACATTGAACAGTGAGGCAAGACCTATCAAGTAACAATTGAAAAATCAGGCAAGACTCATCAAGTAAACCAATACCCACATGATTGGGAAAAATATAAACAAAAGAAAAATAGATCTAAATTTATGAAATTTTGAAACATACCGGAGATTTTTTGGAGATCTGAAGCTTTCAGTGAAGCTTCGGTGGAGCCTTGTCGGTGATAGATTTGTCGGTGAAGTTTTTAGTGATATTCGGTGGAGCCTGCGATGAAGCCTTGTCGTTTTGTGATGTGGAGCTTTAGTGAGACAGAGAGAGAGAGAGAGGGCTAGTGAGCGAGAAGGGCTGGCTACATGCAGCGACTGAAAATGGGGTTATCTATTTTAGATAAGGGAGTAGCTAGCCTCTTGAGCAACATTTTGGGCAGAAGTTATCTAAAATAGCTAAAGGGGTAGGTTTAGCCAACCTCTTGGAGATGCTCTTAATCAAATAGATTAAAACCCTAATTTCATCCTCTTGAATTTCCAATTTTGTAATTTTTGGAATTAATAACTAAGTAATGCCCTTAATTTCATATGCAATATCAAGTATCATCAACTAATTTACCAAGTTAGTCTACAATACAATCAATACTAAAATAGCAGAGAGAGATGTACCTGTTGAGAGGGCCTAAGGGAGCAAAACAATGGTCTGTGAGGAGCAAAAGGCATGATGATATGCATGATAGGGGGCTGGGGGTTTCATAGGGTCGCTCCTGTGTGAGAAGCTGATTCGAGACGCTGCATAAGATGTTGGCGGTGGACGTTGACAATGACAAGATCAAGCACCTTCTTGAGCCACAAGGTGAAGCCTCTCTTCCCTGGCCTGATCGGATTCAGTTCCACCGCCTCAACATCAAGAACGATTTTTGCCTCGAAGGTCTCATCAAGATGGCAGATTAGACAAGATCGATTGCCTTAGATGAGAGAGAGAGAGAGAGAGAGCAAAAGAGGCAAGATGGGTGGTGGCTGGGTGCAAAACAATTAGGGCAAAAAATGCCCAAATAACTCCAAAACCTAGTATTTATAGGATTTGAAGCAACCCTTCCGGGTTGTTTTAAACCGCCAGGTTCATGGATTTTATTACACAACCGGCCGGTTCAGCGGGTTTTATCCGGTTCCTTTGTTCAAATGGTCCAATAACTAACCCCGCCCGGTTCAGACTTCGGTTCACCGGGTCAACCCGTCGGGCTGGATCGGGTTTTAAAACACTGGTTAGCTATCAAGGGAAGCACTTAATTTTTGTTGTGTGTCAGTGTGTTATCTTATTTAGAAATTTATCCCAATTTGTGCACTAAATATTGAATCTAGGTACCAAATAGATGAACAGGTCAATCAGCTGTTTAAGGTTAGAAAACACTAGTTAAGAAAATATTTAAATTAACATCAAACTCAACCTGCTGAGTTTTGTTGTAGAGCAATTACATAAAATCATATTTAGTGATAGTTAAAGCTTTTAGTAATGATGGTGTTCTCCTAAAATCCCTTTTGATTTGATTATTATGCACGTAGTTCCCCCTGGGCATTATTTTTGTGTATGATTTTCATCCAGCCAATTAATGAGAAATGAGGGAATGCTAGTGTCATTTCAGTCTTTTCTTTGCTGCCTGATTTATTTTTCCTGCGTATTTCTTGTAGGAGCTGCAACAGGATCAGGGGCAAGCTTTGGGACAGCATCTGTGAGTAAATTTGTTCTCAGCTCTTTAAACTATGTATCCCTGTTGCACAGACTTGTAATTTTTTGGCCCTTTGGTGGGGTTTTTCAACGGTTTCTTTGACTAGTCAGAGTGTACTCTTGCTAATTTGATCTTTCTTGCACTTTTTAACACTTCCCGGAGTTTGATACCTCCTCAGTCACACCATTAGTTGTTCTCTCAAACTAGCATTAATGCCAAAGCAAGCTACAACAGCTACCACAATATTTACCAATAGTTTTTTTTCTTTTTCTTTTTCTTTTTTTTTTAGTTTTTTGTTTTGAGGGGGAGTGGCGGCAAGGAATTTGTACTGCCTACCTTCATCCACAACTCTCAGATAACCATCTTCTGGACTCCTTTAACATGGAAGAACTATAATTCTTGGAGGTATGGACCATAAGGTGGAGGGTGTTATGTGCAATTGTAATAGCAGTGTAATTTATGACTACATAACTATGGGATTAACTGCTCTGTATGACAACTGTTATGGGTGCTCACTGATTCTTGTTGGATGTTCTTTGACGCACATTTTTTCTTTTTTCACTTGTCTGAATGATGTCTCTCATGGCTCTCATTTCCTTGCAGAAAGCGAGAGCAAAAAGTCGCACTAGCCGACGCTAGTCACATCCTCCTCTGTTGATGATAATGCAAACAGCCTATTTAGTGCTCAATGACTACTTGCCAATTACCATCAGATATTTACTGAATCACAAGGTTGATGATCAAATTCATATTTCAAGTGACACAATTTCCCCATTCAGGTGTCTTTCCTTCTGATATCTAATTTGCATGAAGGTGCTCTGAGATTCATATTATTGTAACATTGTGTATTGACTTTGGGTAGATGTTTTGTTGGTGTAGATTTTTGTGACGAAGAATTTGTAGCTATTGATCCAGCAAATGAGAGTTTTATTGGTCATGGCTCCTTATTAAATAAACCTATATTGAATTATTGGAAATGTGTGTATTAACATTTTCCATCCAATTTCTGAGTAAAAATTATCTGAAAAGCCACATGATTTGCACGTGAGCCCTAGCATGGGGTATTTTAGAAATTTTACTGAACCCATTTCTTCTCATAAAACCTGGCCTAAAATCTGTTGATAATTGACTATATTCTTATGGTGTTATTCATGTCCCTTGAAAATAACTGTTGCATAATATTTTGTCATAGATTTGGTCCCTCTGTCCAAATGATGACATAGCTTCGAGTTTGAGAATCCCTCTCTCCAAAACAGGGCCAAGACTGCCAACTACTTCTCTATCCTAACCCCTTATTATAGAAGGGATACTTGTGTACTGTGTATAACTTGCAACCATGAAATCCAATCCTAATTCACCAAGCTCCTTGCGTGTCTTTTGTTTTGTCTCGTCTTGTCTCTTCATCATATACATGAGCCCTCTGGGTCAAATTTCATATGTTTCCAACCTCATTAGGTTTCCTTGCAATCTATGCAATTCAGTTTGCATTTCACCAACCTTTGTCTGCGACTGATCACCGGAAGTGAATACATGGAAACTGTTCTTGACCTCAATCCAGCTTAGACCAGGATCTTTTTCCAAAACCATTCCTCTTATCTTTCTCCTCATTTCTTTAACACGATCCCATCTCCCTGCTGCAGCATAAAGATTCGTGAGCAATACATTTGTTGCGCTGTCTTCAGTACTTATGCTTAAAACTTGCTCAGCAGCATGGATCCCTATTTTTGTGTTTCTAGTAAGGACACATGCGCTTAGCAGAGTTCTCCATAACTCCAGATAATTATCAACAAAAGGCGAAGCAATAATCATTTTTTCTGCCTCTTCTAGTAGTCCTGCTCGACTTAACAAACTCACCATGCAAGAATAGTGCTTAGGCCCAGCTCTCAAACCAAGTTCTTTCATATGAGTCCACAAGAACTTCCCCATGTCGACCAAGCCACAATGACCACAAGCGGAAAGCATAGAAAGAAATGTCACTTGATCTGGTCTTAGGCCATGTTTTGGAATTTCACTGAAAACTCTCAATGCCTCTTCTGCCTTCCCATGGAGGCCATATCCTCCAAGCAAAGCATTCCAGCACTTTAAATCGGGGTTTGTTACCTGGGAAATGATCAATTCAGCGGGTTGAAGGTCACCAATTTTGGCATACATATCTATGAGACTACCACACACCGACATTTCAACATCATATCCTGTCTTAACAGCCTGTGCTTGAATCATCTCTCCTTGTTTCAGAGTTGCAAGTTCAGCACATGCACTCAAAACACTACTAAGGGCAAAGCTGTCGATCTTATGGCCTTCTTGTGACATTCCACAAAAAAACTTAATAGCACTCTCTCCATCACCCGCTCTAGAATAACCAGCGATCATGTCAGTCCAAAGAACAACATCCTTCTCTGAAATTGAAGTGAAAACTCTTTCAGCCAACTCAGTTTCACCATTATTGAAGTACACTGAAATTAATGTACTTCCAACATAGACGCTCCTTCCAAACCCTGCTTTCTTGACTTGGGCATGGAGTGGTTTTCCATAATTGGAAGCTGGGAAAGCAGCAGTTGCGGAAATGACCGCTGCAAAAGTATGTCCATCCGGTTTAGCAAAAGGTGTCCGAGAAAGTTGGACAAATACGTCCATTGCCCTCTCTCCATCTCCATTCTCTGAGTATCCAGCTATCATTGAATTCCATGAAACTAAATCTGGATTCTCAATTCTACTAGTGACACTAAACGCTGTGTTAAGGTCACCACAACTAAAGTACATGTCAAGCAGGGCATTCTGCAAAGGCAAGTCAAAAGTCGCCCCAGATACAATCACCTGGGCATGAGCTAGTTGTCCTGTATCGTAGTCTCTCAATCTGCTACAAGCATTCAACACCATCGAATAAGTGAATTGAGTAGGAACAGCTCCACTGCTCACCATGTTACCAAAAAGACCGAGGCCTTCCTTTACGTTACCATTTTTCATAAAGCCAAAGATTATAGAATTCCAGGCTACAGCATCCTTATGACCTATATGGATGAAAATTTCTTTTGCAGATTCCAAATCTTCAAAGATTAAGTACACCAAGAGTAAAGAAGTTTGAACACATACATCATTCAAGCATCCAAACTTTGCAACATGGCTATGAAGTGCCAAACCTAATAAGCGGTCTTCAAACCAAGACGATGCTTGTAGCAGGCTCGTGAAGGTCGACCCATTTGGTCTTAGACTGTCATCTTCCAATTGTTTGAGTAAATTAAACACCAAATGGGCACGGGTATGGGTGCGAGAATAGGCCGCCATGAGTGCGTTGTAAGAAACAAGTGTTCTGTGAGGCATTTTGTCGAATAGGAGTTGAGAGTCGATCAGGGAACCACATCGTGCATACATAGAAATGATGTTGTTGTCTAGATATGGGGATTTTAGGTTGGTGGGAGTGGAGATTAGGATGAGGGCGTGAAGTTGACGGGCTTTTGGGAGGAAGGTTGTGGCGCTGCATTTTTGAATGAGGAAGGTAAGTAAGGAAGAGGCTTCATGTGATGATGGCATAAAAGACCGTTGGATGTTGTTTGGTTTGCTTGGCATAAAAGACCCGCCAAAGCCAACCACTTCACAGCCAAGAGGTTGTTTGATGAATAACAACTCGTATATCACAAATGTCGGCTGCGATTTCGTACAACTCGATGCTTCTGTTTGCCTTTTCTCTTTGACAACCCCTGATCTCACCTTACTGCTAATGGGTCGTGATCTATCAGATATAAGTCGAGCCAAAGTTTTTTTTTTCATCAGGCAAAAGTAAATATTTCATTTAAGTAAGAAAAATTAAATTAGAAGCTTAAGTTTGGGCGGCGAGAGCTTACCCAACTTAACGGAAGCGAATTATTCGTAGCAACAAAGTCGAGCTAAATTTGAATCAATTATTTCTAATGTATTTATATTCATATACCGTCAAATCTATATTATGTTAGATTTCTTAATGATCCGTTTAATAAGAATGATAGAAAATACCAAAATTTAAAATTTTGAAATTGATCACATTTATGATACTTTTAATTATATTTGTGTGTATTTTTATCACTGTTGTAGTACTCAAAAAAATGGTGAAAATAGTTATCATAACAGTAATAAAATCATCCACGATTGTAATAAAAACACCCATAAATGTGGTAACTCACCCACAAAAATAATAAATTTTTTTCTACTTAAAAAAAGTGGTAAAAATAGTTATGATAAATGTAGTAAAAACATCCATAAAAGTGATAAATTTTTTAGTTATAAAATGACCCATAAAAATTATAAAAATACTCTTTAAAATAATAAATTTTAGAAGTATGATACAAATTTTTTTTTATAGACACAGTAATCAAGTCCTCAAAACTTATGTTGTGTCGTCTGCCACCTTGAGAGGGTATTTATAAATTCATTAACTTTTGAACCACTTTTCTCCCACTTTCGGCTCATATACATGTAGTTAATTAAATTATTCAAATTAGATCAAATTTTTGAATTGTTAACAAATTCGAATCAAAATTTTAAAATCTAATTTAAATTCAAATTAGTTAGAATCTGATTCAAATCCGATCTATTGTTAACAGACTTGTACATAGACGGCAAGGACCACAAAAAAATCTTCAGTGTAGACAACTATGTTTGAGTAAAGATATATTTACCAAAAATGATCTAAAACTGCTAACTCATTTAATAAAAATAATTTTTAATAAAAATTTTGATATGCATAACATTTTCCTTGGCCAGTAGACTTTTCTAGTGACAGCAACCAACAGATGTCAGTTTGCTATCCTGTTGATGTTGAATACGTTAATGTGATAAAGAGTTGAAGCCAAGTCCGGCGAACTCTATTTTTCAGTGCTTCTTCACAATTCACTATTGTATGTATTGTTGCATCTATATCGGAAGAAAATATCGGATATAATGGTGTCATGACATCAACAGTATCCAGTGATCAAGTCTAAGGTAACACACAGACATGATTTTCTTAGGTTGGTGAATATTGTCAAAGATTCTTTTTTTTGTTTTTTCCTTGACAACCTATGTGAAAATGATGATGTTTCTAACCTTAACCACAAATAATAAAAATAAAATTGCCAAGATAATTGCAATGCAAATCATTGTGTTGTACTTGATTGGTTAATAATTGAAAAAAAAATAATTTGAAAATAACTTAAATGATAACAATGACAAATTGTAAATCAAAATGTATTGAATTTGAATTTTAACAATTTTTTGGGGTCAAAGTCATGAAAAATTTATTTCTCATGAATACCCTATTATTGGCGTAAATACCCTAATTAATTGAGGTGCACGAAAGGCTGTGGCGACACCCTTATTGAACCAAAAATAATAATAATAATAATAATTGAGAAAAAACAAAATACCTTGAATTAGTATTATATCCTCAAGTTGCCTCTACAAATTAAACTTAAAAAATAGACTTGATAATTACAACAATTGATTTTACTGTGAGTTTCAACATTTATTGAGACTCATTAACTCTTCGTTGATTATTATTATTGAGTTTAGTTTTTAAGTTTATTTAATGTTACTCCAAGAAAAGCTAAACACAACGAAAATATCAGGAGATTAATGGGAGTGGTAAGCATTTTGTGCTGGTTCATGGAGCTTGTCACGGAGCATGGTGCTGGTACAAAGTGGCTACGCTGCTAAGATCGGCCGGCCACCGTATCACCGCCCTCGACATGGCTGCCTGTGGAATTCACCCAAAGCGGCACGACCAGGTCCCTTCCATATCCAACTACTTCGAGCCCTTGATGGAATTCATGGCAGCTCTACCGTCGGAGGAGAAGGTGGTTCTGGTGGGTCATAGCATGGGTGGGGTATCCATAGCCGTTGCTATGGAAAGGTTCCCTGATAAAATTGCTGTTGCTGTTTTCCTCACCGCTGTCATGCCTGGTCCGGACTTTGATTTGCTCACTATCAATCAAAAGGTACCTCCTTTTCCTCTTTAAATATTCACTCGGACATTTTCACAAACACTTTTACTAATTCTAAAGGAGGATTAAACATGAGATGCAAAAACCAGCCTTTGGACATAATAATACCAATATGTGCACGTGTACTGTTATGCTGATCAAATTATAACTTAAATTTTTTTATCACGAATGCATGTACATCACACACATAGCTGTAAAGCTCCATAAATCTCTATTTCTTTTCTTGTCAAGACAAGATTGATCGGACTAACAACTACAATCTTATAGTCAATCTCCATAGAAGGATTGGTAAAACTAAGGTCTGATGCCTATGATTTAATTGAACTCATACACAGAAAGTCGATGGAAAAGCTGTATTAGAATTAGAAACTCTGTAACTATGAAAAGTACTTTATTTTTGGTGTATGAACATAAGGGTCTTGAGATCATGAATGATGATAAGGACGAGGCATTGTCTTTAAATTCAACTTTTTATATGTTGGAGGGAAAATTACACTTTGACCCCTCCATTATGATCCCTGTCTCATCTTATGTACTGTATCTATACTTGCACTTCAATTACTACTAATCTATTTTCTTGGCACAACAGTTTAATAGAGATTTGGATTCTTACATGGACTGCAAATTTACATTTGATCAAGGACCAGACAAACCGCCAACCTCGCTTCTCTTCGGCCCCGAGTTCTTATCAACCAAGTTGTATCAACTCTCCCCGCCCGAGGTATATACATATGCATGCCCAAGTGAATTGAATTAAGTCAAGCGCTAAACTGTTTTTTGCTTTGGCCTGCTTGTTTATAAATAAAAGCTTGGAATCGTGACAAATTTCAAACATTTTTCTCAACTACAATGAATTTCAACAGGATTTGAGTCTTGCGACCTTGTTGATGAGGCCCTTCTCTATTTATGACGAGATAGAATTGGCCAGAGAAAGCATAGTCACTAAAGAAAAATTTGGATCGGTCCCAAGAGTCTATTTTGTGGGCGACCAAGATAAGGTGATAAAGGAAGAGTTTCAGAGGTGGATGATTGAAAATAATCCGACGGATGAGGTGATAGTGATCAGAAGTTCCGATCACATGGTCATGTTCTCCAAGCCTAAAGAGCTGAGCTCCTACCTGCAGGGGATTGTCAAGAAGTACTGCTGATACTTCTCACTTACAAGATGTTTTGGCTGAGAGAATATGATTTGGAGGCAGTACGTCCTGTACAAAACCAGTGTGCTAGTCGACTAATATAGGAAATAAACACAATATATGCTCATGCTTCCATTGTATTAGCTAGCTAGCTAGCTAGGATCATGTGTCCAGCATAAAATGTCTCCTTAGCAAGTATTTATACCACAAGTACTTGGTACTGATCACATGTCCTCTCACCAAAAGTCCCGTTCTAATCCAATCTATCCTAGTATTGATCACATGTGCTTACCTCAATTTAACTCCCCGCCAAAGATATATTCCCCAAAGCTTTGCCCTACATTAGTATTTTCATGGAGTTACCAAACGAAGTCACACTGTAAATTATGATCCAATCAGATCAAGTTATAACTGAATTATGTCAATGAATTAGATTTTGATTATAATCTGATTTGATTAGTTGGAAATGAATTTATACTTTTTAACGATTTTTCAAACTCAAATATGAAATCTTATATTTTACGAATTCGAATTTGAATATACTTATATCTGATTCAATTATGATCTAATTTGAGATATTTATATATTTTTGTATAAATCTTAAAAAAAATTAATTGATTATTTGAAGAAAAAAATTAGATGTAATTTGTTAAAATTTAGTTAAATTAAGTTATTCGGATCGAATCGAATTATCGAATTGTTAAGGATTTGGATATGAACCACGAAAATAAAATTCGTCAAGCTATCAGATTGAATTTGGATAGGACTATCAAAATTTGATTCGAACCACCCAAACTCCGATCAAACCTCGATTTGTTATTAGGCCTATACTATAGGTATTAGTTAAGTTCGAGAAACATTAGTGAGATTCGAACCCATGACATCCAAATCTACGATTCGTCCAAGTTTAACCCCACCACCACTAAAATGCTCGTGAGGGTTAACATAAGTCAAGTTAATGTGCCCCTTCTAATGCAATAAAATATGGGAGAATACTATAGTACCGAAAAGTAAATCACCTCAAAAAATGGTAAATTTTAATCCAAAAAATGAAAAGTCATGCACCCAAAACGTAGTAAATGAACCCAAAAAATGATAAGTAAACCAAAAAAGTGAATACATCCTAATAAATTGTATAGATAGTTAGATACTCTAAAACTTATTAAGTGATACGATATTGAAATTTGTTTTCCCATATCGTAATTAAACTTGATATTCAATGACATGCAATGCCACATTATTTGAAAGAGTAATTCTGCGTGAATTTAAAAAATAGACTTAAAAATCAGACTTAATAATTACAACAATTAATTTTATTGTAGATTCCAGTATTTATTGGGATTCACTACTTACTCAATGATTAAAATTATCAAGTCTAAATTTTAAGTCCATCTAACATTATTCTATTTGAAATTTATTTTTTGATAACTTTTTAGATGCATAATATCGAGGTTGGGCTGTCGTTCAACAAATTCCAATGTTCTTTGTTCCGTGGAGACTGGGAAACCTTGGTCACATTCAAACTCACCCGTGATATTGTGACCGTGACGGACATCTACTACCTCACTAACTACTTCATTGTCTTTTTTTTTTTGGAACAATGGGAAGGAAAGAGTCATAGAGTTGAAGTGGGAAACAAATTACGTCATTTTCTAAGTGAAAAGATTATTGTACTAAAACAAGTCGGACGTCACAAGGGCGGAAACACAGACAAATGTCCTCTATGTAAGAATAAAATTAAGTTTTAAATTTTTTTATTGAATTTTTATTTTAATTATATTTAAATTATGTGAATTTTAATTACAAATTTTTTGGTCCTATTTAGTGTGAATATTCAAGAATAATTATTATTAATTTTAAAATTGATTTTATGAGTATTCAAAGCCAAACATTCAAATTCATTGAATATATATCACTTTTAGGTTACACAGTAACAAACAGTAAAAACTATTGAAAATGCCAAACAGTCAATTATTTAAGGTGGTTATGAAAGCCATCATGTGTAGGTTACATTGTCGCTATACAAAGTGGTTTTGTAAAATTGTTTAAAGGTGAACGAAATCAACACTAGAATCATTCCTATTGCTCATTTCAAGTAGATTTTTCAATTGCTCGTATCAATTCTTTTACATTTTGCCTTATTTTTTTTAATTATCATATATTATTTTATTTTGGGTAATTCGATTCGAATCAAGTTCACTTCAACCTTTCAGTGAACGTGACCATGAAGAAGGTGTTGCTGCGAGAGTTTGGGTTGGATCTTGGAGTCACTGGTGTCCGTCAGTACCCTCACGTGAGGAGGCTCAACTGTTTTAAAACAGTGATTACACGCCTCTCACACTCATAGATCAGCTCTTTTCAAATTTATTTATGTAGTTTATATAGAATGCATGCTAATACATTTTCTATATTTATTTAAATTGCATGTTATATTTTTAATGATTTAACTATTGTTTACATGTTTTATTTCAAATTTTAAATTACAACACTCATAATTATTTTGCTCACATCATAATTCTAATATTTATTGTTTTTACACTCTAGGGTATGTTTGCTATGAGGAAAATGTTGGATGGGATTGGAGTATCATCTTCCATCCATTCCTTCCACACGGGTTAGGAAAGCATAAATCATTTTCATTTCTAAAGCAACAAAGCACTTGGACATTAGGCTACCTAAATATTAGCCTACACATGTTCATCATATCATGTTTATTAGCTACCTAAATATCACCTTTCATATGTTCATCACATGTCCCGTTGTCATTAACTTCTAAGGATGTGTTACCGGCACGTTATTTAAGACTTAAAAAAATAAAAAAAAAATAGAATTAAAAAAAAAAGATTCAACTTCGAGAGGGTAAAAACTTATGTCGATTCACTTCGAGAGAAACTCGACTTTTCAAACTTTTTACAAAAAAACTTATTACGGATGTCAGATACTTATTCATTAATTATAAAAAAATTTTAAATAAAAGAGATAAAGAATTCAACATAACTACTAAAAACACTGTCTATTTAACTATCCAATAAACTTATAAATATTATATTGAAAAAATTTCAACCACACATTTTCTAATTTATTATGTTTTAAAGGACATCCCTTTTATTATCAAAAACATTATTGACACCCCTCTTAATTTATAGTTAAACATCAATGACACCCTGATATTAAATCATCATTTCTAATAAAAAAAATTCATCTAAAACTCCAAAAATGTTCCCACATAAACCCCAAATAATTTTTTTACATAAAATTCAAACATATTAAAAATTATTTTTTTACATATTAAAATTCGAATTGATTAAAATTTATTTTTTTACATATTAAAATTTAATTCGATTAAAATTCAACCCGAGCTGATTAAATTTTATTTGTTTAAGTATAAAAATTCGAGTCTATTAAAATTCTTTTTATTCGTATAAAAAATCAAACCGGTTTGAGCTCTACCTGAGCTATTAACTCCAATTAAAATTCGCTTCAAGTCGATTAAAATTTATATTTTTTTATTTATTAAAATTTGTGCCAATTAAATTAAAATTTATTTTTTACTTATTAAAATTTGAGTCGATTAAAATTTATATTTTTTATGTATCCAAATTTAGGCCGATTAAAATTTAATTTGAGACGATTAAAAATAATTTTTAATCAATTCAAATTTTAATACATAAAAAATATATTTTAATTAGCTTCAATCGAATTTTAATACGTAAAAATAATTTAAAAAGTAAAAGAAATTTCATTGAAGATATGTTTATTTAGAAGGGGGTGGATGAAGTTTATTCTCAAATAAATCATAGACAATTTAGTAAATTATATTCTAATTAACATCTTTAATCTGACAAATAATGTTAGTGAAGATTATCCACCGATTTTACCCAGTTCTTCGTCTTTTGCACCATCCACCAGTCTCAATGAAAATACCTGGCTGGAGAAAGTAGAACTCTTCTTTTATTTCCATATGAACTGGTTTGAGAAGGGTAATTTGGTCTTTAGAAGCTTGGCTTATATTGACAGTGAGACTTTTATACCATATTCACTGTCACTGAGGTATTAAATACAACCGCAAAAACGGAATTTTTGACAACTGTTCATGCAAGCCGGCATTGGAATATACCCTTTTAATCAGGCCAAAAAAAACAAGGCAAACAAAATAAAAAGTGGGGTCAAGGTTATGTCAGTCTTATCCCGACTGCTTCTACCTGTCTTTCCCTCCGAGCAAACATATCCCTTGAATATCCTTTTTTTATTTTATTTTTATATTATTATTATTTTTTATAATCTGAAATAGTAATATTTTCTAAATATAATTATTTTTTGATCGGTTCCCAAGAGACAATGTTCGTCACGCCACAAATAAAATACGGTACCCTTAAAATTAATTTAAGCGATAATAAAAATAAATTATAAATTTAAACGCCATAAATTTAAATTTTGACAAACGAAAAACACCAAAGACTTCCATAGAATCAGAGAGAGATGGATTTTCTGGTCACTATGCTGGCCCTATTGTTTGCCTTCACTTTGATTCAATCCCTTCTCTCACTAGCCACAGGAGGAAGCAAAAACAGAAAGCTTCCACCGGGACCAGCCAAGTTTCCGATCATCGGAAACCTGAACAAACTAGGTGATCTTCCCCACCAGTCCCTGGCGGAGCTAGCCAAGACACACGGCCCAATCATGTCTCTAAAAATAGGCCAAATCACCACAGTAGTCATTTCGTCATCAGTCACAGCCAAAGAAGTCCTTCAAAAGCAAGACTTGGCCTTCGCTAACCGAGCCATCCCTGACGCCGCCCACGCCAGCAACCACCACCAACACTCCGTCGCATGGTTACCCGTCGCCTCCCGGTGGAGAAACCTCCGAAAAATCATGAATTCCAACATTTTCTCCGGCAACAAGCTCGATGCCAACCAGCATCTCCGCCGTACTAAGGTGGAGGAGCTCATATCCTACTGCCGTAGAAGAAGCCAGGGCGGCGTCGCCGTGGACATAGGCCGAGCCGCTTTCAGGACTTCCTTAAATATGTTGTCCAACACCATTTTTTCTAAGGATATGACCGACCCATTTCAGGATACGGCCAAAGAGTTCAAGGATTTGGTGTGGAACATCATGGTGGAGGTTGGTAAACCTAACTTGGTGGATTTTTTTCCTTTGCTTAGAAAGATTGATCCACAAGGTATAAGGCGTCGATTGACTGGTTATTTTGAGAAGGCACTGAAAGTTTTTGGGGGTTTGATCGATGAACGATTAGATATAAGGAGATTGCAGAAGACCGAAAAGGGTGATGTGTTAGATGTTCTTCTCAATACCATTGAAGAAAACCCTCAAGAGATGGATAGAACTCAAATCGAGCACGTTTTCTTGGTTGGTATATTTTCTCCTTTCTTCTTTGATTTCCCCAACATATTAAGCACCACACTACGGGTCAGGAATCTCTACTGCTAAAAATTCAACAGAGGTGGTGTTGATTAAAAAAAAGTGGACGGCACTATTTTAATCAACACTACACCTCTACTCAAATTGGTTTTTGTATCAATATTATTGTTAAAAATTCTAATGTGCATCCCACTAATAGTTTGCCTATCACTGAATTCTTAGGTGGTTCAGTGGGTAAAGTATATTCTCTTGTAACTAAAAGGTTTTAAGTTCGATTCTTCTTCGGTTCCGTAAAAATTAGTCATTCTTACTTCTCACTTCTTTTTCTTACGAGACATGTTCTTAAATTAATTGGAGTTAAAATTTCTCATTTCAAGGCTTGAAAGCTGTATTTAGAGACTTTTGGTGCATTTTTTAAGTCAAGCATCTTCAAATAGAGTTCCAAACAAGTTTTTTTTTTTGTGAAATCACCTCAGCCCACATCACTATGTGAGTAAATTAGGTCTTAATAGCATTGATATTTTCTTCTTAAAGGTGATAACTTCTTGCATATATATTTTTTTTGTTCAGATAATAACCTTAAAAACAATCTCCATTAACAAATCTAACAAAATAAAGTCTCAATATTGTAGGACCTATTTACTGCGGGGACAGATACAACTTCAAGCACAGTGGAATGGGGAATGGCAGAACTAATGAAAAATCCCGAGGCCATGAAGAAAGCCAAGGCTGAGCTTCAACAAACCATCGGCAAAGGCAAGCCCATAGAAGAAGCAGATGTATCTCACCTACCTTACTTAAGATGCATCATGAAAGAAACCCTAAGGTTACACCCAGCAGCTCCATTCTTAATTCCTCGAAAACCCGAAACCGATGTTGAAGTCTGTGGCTATACAGTCCCCAAGGGGTCACAAGTGCTGGTGAATGCATGGGCCATCGGCCGTGATTCATCTGCATGGGAGAATCACTTGGCATTTGTGCCCGAGAGGTTCTTGGCTTCAGAAATTGATTTCCGAGGCCAAGATTTTGAGCTCATTCCGTTCGGTGCTGGACGGAGAATATGTCCCGGAATGCCGTTGGCAATCAGGATGATCCCGGTGATGTTGGGTTCGCTTATAAACTCGTTTGACTGGAAGCTTGAAGGTGATGTTGCACCAAAGGAATTGGACATGAAGGAGAAGTATGGCATCACCTTACAGAAGGCTCATCCTCTTCGGGCTGTCCCAATTCCAATCCATACTTGAAGTTGCTAGTAATTTTTCGTGGAGTTAACTTTGGGATGGCCGGTATGTACTCAGGACGTTTGAGTTCAACTCTCATTGTGTTTCATGGACTTATCTTATATCTATAATTTATAATTCGTATGTGATATATTGTATGGATCCGAAATTTACTCTCGAATAATTAGGTCAAAAGGATTTATGGGTCCCGTGAAAGCTAGTTGAAATAGAGAGGACCATATATTCGGGAAGAAGAGGACAATAGTTTTGGCAGTGCTTATTACTGGTTCAACATATATATATATATAAAAATAAAACACTACAAGAATTATGGATTTTTTGAGATAAATTTTGCGTGGCAAGCATAACGGAAAAAACTCCTTCTCATGTTGCATTTCTTTGGTTTGGAAGTTCCAGAATGTTTTTGCGTGGCGGTAATGTTCATTGTCACAAAAAACATGTTTTATATAAAAAAAAATTGTGATAGTAATGCTATTTTAAAAGGTCAATTTGTTGCCACAAATACTATTTGAAATAAGTTGAAACCATAAAAATTGTAAATGATTTATAAATTTTTTTTTTTTTTTTTGTAGTAAAATAACCACAAAACTGGAGGCGTGCATTGCGTGATTTTATAGTGTTTTTTGCACTTGACTGAGTGGACAATTGACTGAAGCAGAACTTCGATTCGCCCGGCCAGTAGGAGGGCGGCGTGCTTATCTTATTTGATAACGTGAGTTACTTGAGTTTGGTTCAGATAAAACTCAGTTCAAGTTTGACTAGTATTTTAAATGAGCTAAACTTGAAAAAAAAATTAGGCTCATTTAGAAAAACTAACCTAAAAGATTTGGCTCAAGTTCAGAATGTTTAAGTTATTTATATGTAAAATTATCTAGTTATTCGGCTCAGGCTTGACTCGAGTTTTAAATAAGTCAAACTTGAATAATTTTTTAAATTTATTTAAAAAAAAAAATTTGTCAAATTCAAACTCATAAAATTCACCTCGGTTAACATCCCGACCTATCAACTATAAGACAACTCCCCAATTGGGGGTGGAACATCAAGCTCCACAAAGGGCCTCCGTTTTTGAACTCCAAGATTATTCAATTCCATCAACCTTCTACGGCTAGTAATAATAGCTTGTTGGGATGCATTTCCTCTGCATTGAGAGTCAGAAGCTTTGCCACTGCAACTGAATCGGTTTCCACAATTACAAGTGCAATTTGTCTTCCTGGGATGAGCTTCAATCCTTTCAAGATGGCCCATAACTCGTCTGTTAATGTTGTGTTTGATGCATCTTGGATTTGATGAAAACCAAACAAATGTTTAACTGCCAGTAATAGCTAAAATGGACTTGGCTACGACAACAAATTTTTAGTGTCATACTTATAAAAAAATTTATCACTTTGTGAATATTTTTATTACTATTACGGGTATTTCTACCACTGTTGTGAGAAATGTTTTTATCACTTTTCTTAATTAAAAATATTGTTGTCACTCTATTGCACTGATTAAATTTTTAATTAAGTTTTTTATTGAGAATGCTACTGTTTGATATTACTATTTTTTTGTTGCGCATCTTACTGTTTGATGTCGCTTTTTCTTCGGTGGAGACTTAAGGTATGTTTGGTAACGTTTTTATTTTTATGTTTTTTAAAAAATAAAAAATAGAAATAATTTTTGTTTTTTTTTTTGTGGTAAATATTAAAAACAGAAAACATATTTAATAGTTATTTATATTTACCAAATTATGAAAACAAAAATAAAAAATATATTTGATAACCACTCCAAGTTATGACTCAATTATTAGCCTTATATTATTTCCCTGCTACAAAAAAAATAACACTCAAAACAAGATAATAAAATCACATAAGTCTTTAAACATATCACTACGTTCCATTGTTCAACATACTACACCAAGCAAGCTAACAAAAGTTCAATTCATGCATCCAAGGTGCTCTCAATTACAGTAAAAATCCATCAGGGTTCCAGCTGAATCAAAAAGTATTAGTGAAGAAACTGGGAAGACCATATCTCTATTTGTAGGAGTATGTTCAATAATCTGAGATGAAAACATTCCTTTACAGCCAACTATGGAGACTATTGCAAAAGAGTCTGGCCTACACAATCCTCAACTTGGAAGCAAATTAAATTTTCTATTTAAAAATCACTTCAATTTCAATTCAAACCTGCATGTTAAAAAAATAAATTAAAACCTGAACAATCTACCACTCAATTGAGACCAGTTCTTTGAAAATTTTGAAAAGAGCATCAAGGAGTGTAGTTTCCTTCAAAAGTAGCACAAAGGAACCTTTTTTTAGGCAAATAAAATAAATTGACGACTGGAATTAGATTTCAAGATTAGCAAAATCAAGAAAATATCATACATTAACCAAAAAATACTTGAAGAGGAATACCAGAAAATACATAAATCAAAAACACATAACCATAAAAACACACATCGCGCACACACACAAACACAAAAAAAACACACACACACACACACACCAGACCCACATATACACGTGCACACACATACACCCCGAGGCGCACACACAGACCCATTAACATAGATCTAAAAACCCTAATTAACACGAGACGCAAACACCCAAGGCAAATATATATATATATATATATATATATATATATATATATATATATATATATATATATATGTTATTCTTTATCTAATAATTTCAATAAAATCAAATTATCAGATTAACAAATATTATAAAATTTTTAGGTCTTGATGATACCTCAAAATAAATCTCAAATGCCAGTTCAAGAGGTCAGCTCAGCCCAGGAGGTCAGACCAGACGAACAGAACTCGAAAGAGTAGAGCTGGAGGTCCCTTCGAGATAAGCAAGAGCAATAACAACTAAGGCAACAGCTGGAAGATCACGAGAGGTTCCTAAAAGCGTTAGGAAGCTATAATCAAGGCACCGAATCTCAACCAATCAAGATCTTCTCTTAGAATTAGGGAGAATCCCATGAAATAAGGGCAAGAATTTCGGTCGGGATCCCACTTAGCAGGGAATGGCCCTATAAATGTACGGTAACACCTCCTAACATGGGGAGGAACCCTAGAGGCAAAAATTTGTCATTGTACTCTTGCGATCATCATTATTAAAAGACAAGGAGAAAAAGTCTCCATTAAAGAGTGGATTAGCCAAGCACCTGAGCTGGTGAACCACTATATTTCTACTGTGTTAATTTTTCAACTTCCTGACAATTCTAAGTATCATTCACTCGAGTCTAGTAGCTCAGATCCCAACAATTCAAATATTGTTTCTTTCATTTACTCATCATCACAAATTTGCATCACATTGAAATATACCATCAGTTTGGCGCCGTCTGTGGGAACGACTGTTCCTGTTACAAATAAAGCTGATTTTCCAGTGACTGATGGTATCAACGCGAAACATAAGCCAAAGTCAGACCAATCCTCTACGGATGCAAGATCAATAGGAAGTCGCAAAAAACAGGCAACCCGAAAAAGCTCAAGAAGCAGATCCCCCCATGAGGGGCCTTCCTATGAATAATGAGATGGAGGCCCTTCGTCTTGTCAATGAATGTCTGATAAAACAGAACGAAGAGCTCTTAAAGCTCCTACAACGCCCACCGGAGGCACGACCGGCCCAAGGAGGCCAGAATAACCCACCACCAAGAGAGCAACCCCATCTCGACCCCCTCAGAGAAGTTAATGAGGTGGAAGAGAATAGCCAGACCTTCGGGCAAGAACCTCGCCTACCCCCTAGGAATGGACACAACGAGGAAGTTCAAAGTCAGTATAAGGAAGGGGAGAGGAACGACTTCTTCCCTTATAAACAGGAGAGAAGAGAACACCACTGGGAGCAACATTTCAAAGACATCCAGCAAGAGCTCAGCCAGATAAAGGAGGCAGTGAAGAGCAAGACTCCAGTCACTATGAATGCCTTGGTGTAGTAAATCGAATCTCCATCCACTGCTGGGGTGTTGCATTTCCCTCTCCCACCTAAATTTAGAATGCCGCATGTGGATGCTTTCGATGGGACAAAAGATCCCGTGGACCACCTCAACATCTACAAAAACTAAATAGAGTTGCATGGATATCAAGATCCAGTGAGATGCAGGGCCTTTGCTATCACCCTAAAGGGCTCAGCCTTAGCATGGTTCAACAGACTCCCCCCAGCCTCGATTTCCTCTTTTAAAGAGCTATCAATCTCATCTGTGTCCCACTTCATTGGAGCTCGGACCTATAGAAAATCGAGCTACCATTGGTTAAATGTGAAACAGGGACCTGATGAGAACCTACAGTCTTATGTCCAATGGTTCAACTCAGAATCCTTGAAGGTGGATGTCCTAGACGAAAAATTTACTATTACAACCTTTATAGCAGGTCTGGGGGTTCAGTCAAAAGGCCTGATATTTTCTATCTCAAAGAACCCCCAGGCTCGTATGGCGGAGGTGCTCGCCAAAGCAAAAAAGTACATAAATGGTGAGGAAGCGCTCATCTCTAAGGTCGGGAGCTCTTCGTCGAGAAAGAAGAAAGGGAAGGAAGAAAAGAAGAGAGAACGAAGTCCCATAAAGGAAAGAGAACGAGGCAGGTCTCCAGGAAGAGACAGAGAGCGTTCCCCGAAGATAAGGGAAAATGTCAGGGATCGCCTCGGCCCTCCACAACCAGAGCTACAACCAAGGTATGCACCCCGGCAGCTCAACCCCCTGACTGCTACAGTGTCTCAGATACTGTATGAGGTGCAAAATGATAAGTTCTTAAGGTGGCCACCCCGGATGAAAGCAGACCCAACAAAAAGGGATCCTATGAAGTATTGTGACTTCCACAGAGACCATGGTCATCACACCGACAATTGTATCCAATTGAAGAGAAAAATAGAATTTCTGATCCGGTGAGGGCAGTTGCGACGCTATATGGCCAATGATAATCAAAATCGAGCTCTCCTATCCCCACCCCCACCCCTCAGCGTCAAGCACCAGAGCCACACCAGCAACCTATGGGGGAGATCAAAGTGATATCTGGAGGATTTGCCGGAGGAGGAGGGTCTAGCTCTGCCAAAAAGGCCTACTTGCGAAAAATCAGAGCCACAGAAGCTCCCGAAGTATATACTATGTCTAATCTCCATGCTTAGACACAACTATCACTTTCTCAGATTCAGATCTAGAGGGCTGCCAACATCCCCACGACGACCCTTTGGTGGTAAGAGCTGTGGTGGCCAACAGGACTATCCATCGTGTTTTGATTGACATTATTTTTGCTTCTGCTTTCGATAAAATGGATATAGGGAGAAAAAAGCTTGAACCACTAAGTGCCCACCTATTGGGATTCTCAGGAGAAAGAGTGCT